ATCTAGATAGAGTTACCCCGGAGCCGAAGCTATAGAAGTAATAGTAAGATCTTCTTAATATAGACTAATATAAGATACGATACTAATAGTCGATATAGATAGTAATCGTAGTAGTAGTAATAGTAATAGTAATAGTACCCGTAAGTAAATATTATAATATACGTTAAGATAATATAATTAATATACTATATAGGCCCGCTCGCGCGATCTCGGCTCTTTTCTTTCTCGGTATCTTTCTTCTTTTAGCGCTCGCTACTTCGGCTACTTTAGTAGCTTCGATTCTTCCTTCGTCGTAGAATATATCGGCGTAGCCCGCTCCGTAAGTCTATATTCTAGTTAGTATTTATATCTTAGCTAATATATAGTTATAGCGTAGCATTTATCGATACCTATAACTACGTAAGGCGTAGTTTAGTAGCTATTACTAACTAGCCGCGCGTAGCGTATAGATTATCGGCGAAAGCCGTTAGGGCGGCTCCGCTCTACGTAGCGACTACTACTAAGAAGTAGTAGTTAAAATTAGGCTACTCCGCTTCGGCGGAAAGTAGCCGTAATCTCTCGGCGAATATATTCTATATAGAACGTATTATAGAGACTACGTTAGATAGATAGCTCTTTAGAGAGGACCGCTACTCGCTCTATTAGTAGGGCGATCTAGAGTATTAGATATATTTAGAAGATATATTTAACTATATCTCTAAGATTAGGGACGCTTATACCCGGTATCGTACGGCCTCTTAAAGAGAAGCGTGTTTAAAGTTAGTACATAAAAAAAATCCGCGTAAGTTTACCCGTAAGTACTCTAGTTTAAAAGAACCGGGTAGTTCTATCTAAAAACTACCGTCTAAGGGCGACGATCCGGGTTCTAGCTCTAGCGGGACGGGTATAGCGGTCTAATCTATACGAGCTCGGGCTACGTCGATATAGATAGAAGTAGTAGTAGTAGTAGTAGTAATAGTAGTAGTAGTAGTAGTAGTAGAAATAGTAGTAGTAGTAATAGGAGTAGTAATAATAATAATAATAACGATAACGAAGACGATAACGACGATAACGACGACGAAGACGATAGTAGCGATAATAATAATAATAGTAGTAGAAAAATTAAAATTAATTCTTTACGACTATATATATAATACTCTATAATATATACTAATAACCTTAGATATACGCGATATACGAATCTACGAAGTATTAGATTTCTTATATCTATAATAATTTAAGGGAATATACTATCCTTTAAATCTTAGTAGTTACTTAGTAGTTATCGATTCCGGCACCGCGATATATACTATAGAAAATATACGGCTTAGTAATTACTTAGTAGGTATAATCCCCGGTTATATATACTAAGTTCGCGGAGAATATATAGCCGAATAAATCTTAGTAGATATTTAGTAGTTATAGTTTCCGACTAGGTATAATAATACGCGGAGAATATATAGCTAGATAAATCTTAATAGTTACTTAGTAGTTATAGTTTCCGACTATATATACTAATCCGCGAAGAATATATAGTATAGTATATCTTAGTAGTTACTTAGTAGTTATAGCTCGAGACTTACGTTCGAGCTATATATCGTTATCTATATACGGATTAATAGTTAGGTCGTCGATAATATTAATCTCGTCTTTTACGTCTACTTTTAGATTAATATAACTTTCGTTTAGACCGATAAGTCGCGTAAGCCTAGCCGACTCCGGCTAGTCTACGTATAGTTAGTTAAACCGAATAATCTTCTCTTCTAACTATATAAAATCCGTAAGGAATACGTCTTCTAAGTCGAATATTCGAGGAATACTCGCTAAGTCCTCGGGTAACTATAGCGAGCCTATATCGTTAAGAAATAGCTTTCGAGTAAGACTAAATATCTCGTTTTATATTATTATAGTAGTATAGCTCCCGCTCGTATACTTATCGAAAGCTATCTCGACTATAGCCTTATAGCTACGTATCTATATATTTAAGAGATAGATTCGACTAAAGACCGTATCTTTATTATACGTAGAGTTCTTAAAGTACTTTATCTTAATATAATATACGTAATTAAGATACTCTAGTCTAAGATCGATAGACTTCTAAATATTAGGTCTACTAATCTAATTTATAAGGCCGGATAATAGAATAGTAGCTTAGAGATTCGGTATCGAGATAGCTAGTTTAAGAAGCTATTAATAGTATATTATCTCGTATCCGTAATTATATTACGTAGCTCTAAAGAATAAGACGATTAACGAATCTACTAGATATCGTAATAGATCGACGTTTACGTACTTTACGGTATATCGTATAGCTAATAGTAATTCTACTTTACGTAGAAATCGATAAAGGATACGAAAGCTAATATCCTCGTATATTAATCTATTTTAAGTATCCTCGGTACTTAAGTAGCTTTAAACGTCGTCTATAAGAGTAAGAAACTAATCTAGTAATAAACGAGAGAGCGAGCTCTTAACCCTATCTATATCGCTAAAATCGGTAGTATCGAGTAACGCGCGCTACTATATAGTAGTATAAAATAATATTACTATACGAATCGTATAGCTTTAGATAAAAAGAGATTCGAGCTAGTAATACTTAGCGTTATCTTAACTATATTAACTACGATTCTATAACTTAATATTAAACTTAATATAGTAAATCGTCTCTTTGCGATAGTCGATAGAATCCTAATACGTACGGACGAGCGTATTTACGAAGTTTATCTAAATATAGAACTAAGTAGAAATACTAAGTAGCTATTAACGTCGATCGTAATACTCTTTCGCGCGATACTACTAGCTCTTTATACTCCGTATTAACTATAACGTAAGTTAGTCGCTATATACGAGCTAAAGACGATTCTCGAAATCCGTCGAGCTCTTTAGTCTAAGGTATTATAGAAATATACTATTATAGATATCGTAGATACTTTAAATAGTTTCTTCGTTCTCGTAAATCGCGCTAAGCTACTAATATAACGTCTTATATATATCTAGACGATAAATATTTAGTATCGAAGGGCGAAGCGACTAGTAATTCTTAAAGATATTTTTAATAGTATTTAGAAAAACCCTCGCGATAGTATCTATTAGAAGACTACGTATAATCTAACTATCGATATTATTAACGTTAGATCTAAAGATACTAGGCGACTCTACTATATCGCTCTAGTAGAGTTCGATCGTAAAATCGTATATATCTTAACGTAGGCCGTTCTCTAGTATCTCTAGATATATAATAAGCGCGGAAGTTATAAGATTACGTATAACCGCCTTATAGCTAAGATATTTATCTCGTATTATACTTTTAAAATTAATATTATCGTAGTATATTATAGTATATAGATTCGCTACGTAGCGCTTAATCTACTTTTATATATACGAATATTAGTAAGATTCTTACTTAGTAGTTACTTAGTAGTTAGAGTCTCCGGTAAATACGGGTAAAACTAGGGAAACTACTACTTAGTAGTTACTTAGTAGTTAGATATCTCTAATAAACGCGGCTAAAACTAGAGGAACTATAACTTAGTAGTTACTTAGTAATTAGAGTCTCTAATAACCGTAGATAACCCGGGGGAAGAACGACTTAGTAGTTACTTAGTAGTTAATATCTCCGAAACGTATATATAATATATACTAAGTACTAAGAGAAGATCTCTTAGTAGTTACTTAGTAGTTTAATTCTCTAGTAACGTAGATAAGAAAGTCGAGATATATACGTATCTTTATCTCTTCTACGATAGTCTCTATTAACCTCTTCGCCGATATATATCTATAGTATATATTTAAACCGCTAAGAGTCTATAATATCCTTCGCTTCGTTCTAAAGCTTATTAAATACGTATCTAACGTAGACTATAAGAAGTTCGAATTAATCCGCTAGCGCGAATAATAGACTATACTAGTAATAGTATATATATATCTCGTAATCGCTACTATCTAAGGTTTACTATTATAGCTAGATTAATAGGAGCGTTAATTAGATATAACCCTTAAGAGTATACTATACTACGTAGAAGTAATATTCTATAGATTCTTAATAGTACGTTCGATATTAAGATTCTTAAGATCTTTACTATAATTAAAACGACCGTAGTAGCGGTTAGAGGGAATATATAAATTACTATAACGAATAAGAATATTAAGCTCTTTACGATAGTCGCTAATAGTTAATAATACGAGTACTTAAACGACTAGATCTCTAAAGATATTATATACTTTCTTCTATCGCCGGGCTAGTATTATATTTATATAAGAAGATAGGTCGATATCTTTACTAGCCTATATAATAGCGAGATATCTAAAGCTTATACTAACCTCTCGTATTATAGTAAATACCTTTTAAAGCCTCTATCGTATACTATATTATATATATCGATCTCTCGTACGCCGACTACTAAGCGGGATATTATTAACGTATATAGAATCGTTTATATCGTCTTTCGAGTTCTTAGAATCGCTAGAGCCTAGGCTAGGGCTAGAAAGAGTATTATCGTCGTCGTTAGAGTTATCGTTAATAGCGGAAGACCTATTAGAGAATATATATTAGTAGAAGGGCGAGCTTAGAGAAGGACTATTTAAGAAGCTTAATAGCTTCGCTAGTATCTACTCGATAGAATCTATACCTACTTATAGCTATAGGGAATTAATTAGACTATCGATTATATATACTATTAGGGTCTTATAATAGTATTAGTAGTAAGAAGTATACTACTAAAGACGAGGGTATCGTTTCTTAGTAGAGATATAATAGATATACGTAAAGTTAGACCTATATATACTTAGATCCTCCTACGGAGGAGGATAACGATGCGATCTAATTAGCTAATATACGATGCGCTAATCTGCTATATTATGCTAAACCCAATTCAGGCGCTTGGCATCCTCCCGCAAGAGGGTCTGATTTATGAGATAACGTCACCCGAGATTCGAGCGATCGACGTCACCAGCGACGCGCCGCGACGCGAAAACTGACATCTCCGCCGCTGCCCACCACTCACCCCGCTTCGATCCCCGCCATGCCCCGAGCTGCAAAGCAGGCCAAGCCGTCGCTCCCCTCCAACACCCTGATCGTCGACAATGGCGCCTACAACATCAAGGCTGGCTTCGCCCCGCCAGACAGCTCCACCGAGCCCACCTGCCGCATCAGCCCAAACTGCATAGCTCGCGCAAGGGACAGACGCATTTGGGTCGGCTCGCAGCTGGACCAATGCAAGGACTTTGGCGAGATGGCCTTCCGCAGGCCCGTCGAGAAGGGCTTCGTCGTGAACTGGGAGGGCGAAAAGGCCATCTGGGACCATGAGTTTCTGGGGAACGACGCCCCGCTAAAGGTACACACAATCCCTCGTTTTCCTCCCATTGCTGCTGACCATGCTCGCACAAACAGTGCGACCCGCACGACACTGCCCTCGTCCTGACCGAGGCCCCCAACTCCCCGCAAGCTCTGCAGACCAACTGCGACCAGATGGTCTTCGAAGAGTTCGAATTCGCCTCCTACTACCGCTGCCTCGCCCCCGTGCTAAACGCCTACAACGACATCCCAGCCCTCTTCGGCGACCCGGCCACCACCACTTCCCCCGTCGAGTCTCTCCTCCTCATCGACACGGGCTACTCGCACACGACCATCACCCCGCTGCACCACGGCCGGCCCTTCCACTCAGCCATCCGCCGCCTGACAGTCGGCGGCAAGTTCCTAACGAACCACCTGAAAGAGCTCATCTCGCTGCGCGCCTACAACTTCATGGACGAGACGCACCTGGTCAACGAAATCAAAGAAGACGTGTGCTACATCTCGGCCGACTTCGCCCGGGACCTCGAGCGGACATGGAAGGGGGGCGCCCTCTCGTCCACGACCACCCACAAGAACAAGACCTCCGCAGCCACAGACCCCTCCATCGTCGTCGACTACGTCCTTCCCGACTACTCCGAGCGCACCCGCGGCTTCGCGCGCCCCCACGACCCCTCGGCCACCGCCAAAGCGAAGCGTCTAGGCACGCTCGCCCACGCCACAGGCGGCGGCGGCGGCAGCGGCGGCGGCACTCCCACCACCACCACAGCCGCAACACCGGACATGGCCGCCAGCAAAACCCCCGAAGACCTCCTGCCCCTCGGCAACGAACGCTTCGCCGTCCCGGAACTCCTCTTCCACCCGAGCGACATCGGGCTCGCGGAGCCCGGCCTGCCGGCCGCCGTCATGCAGTCCTTGCAGCAGCTGCCGGAGGCCCTGTGGCCGGGACTGCTCGCGAACGTCGTCGTCGTGGGCGGTAACGCGTTGCTGCCGGGCTTCGTGGAGAGGCTGAGGAAAGAGCTGAGGGCGGTGGTGCCGGGCGAGTACGTGGTGAGGGTGGCGAGGCCGGAGGATCCGGTGGGGGCGACGTGGAGGGGGGGTGTGAGGATGGTGGGGGAGAGGGGGGAGGGGCTCAGGGGCGTGGCGGTGATGAGGGAGGAGTACATGGAGAATGGGGCGGGGTGGGCTGCGAGGAGGTTCGCGGGCTTGGTGTGAGGGGTCAAGGGGAAGAGATGGGGGGAGGTGAGGGGAGAGGGGAAGGAGAGAGCAGGCGAAAACAGATACCCTTACTGCATTGGCAATTTTTCTTCACCATACCTACCTACCTTTTGCATCTTGTTGCTCGGTTCGATCATCGCGTGTGGCTATCCGCAGCGGTCTACTCCCGATGTCTTACCGTGCTCAGTCCAACGGCCTCTTGAGCTCGTGTCGCTTGCTCGTCATCGGTCATCGCACACATCACATCCCCTTCTGCTTCGAACCTCCACACGTGCACACCGCATGGCCACCCCATGATTGGCCGCGCACCCGTGCTCTTCGGCCCTGGACTGAGGAGGATATAATATAAAACGGTGCCCCCCACACCTCACCTCGTTCCTCCATTCTGCAAAGCAAGCCTTTCAGTCATCTTGCGTTTACTTCAACAGCAATGATGCTCTTGAGTATAGCTTCTGCTATGCTCGGAACTGGCAATTGCGTCAACTGAGCACTACAAACTGCCGCGGCGGCGTCCTGGGGAGGTTGCTCATTGTACTGACGGGGCCTCATTGTTGGAGGAGGAGGAGGTTTTGGTGCGTACGTACATCAACAGTCGCTGATGATGATGATGATGATGATGACGATACGGACACGTAGATGAGTGGTGTGCGTGCGGCATTGTGTGATGACAGTGCTGGCAATTGCTCTTGTGGGGTGTTGGTGTGTTGGAGGTGCGGCTGGGGTGGAGGAGGAGGGGTGGGGTTGAGACAAACAGCTCCATCCATCAAGAGGTCTGTACCTTGCCCGAACACGTTACAGACTACCCCATCGAGAGGACTCGATGCTTACTTGAGCGTTCTCTTGACGCTAATGCGGTAAAGTAGTAGGGAAAGATGTTGATCATCAACTGTCTCAAACGATGACCAGTGGATTCTCATATGTGTTTCATTTCCAGCCAAGGGGACACCCAAAGGAGAGTAGGCGTGTCTGATCGGACATTAGTGCCGGCAGAACCGTTCTCCCTCAGCTCTTGGAGCCAGGGGCGAAGAAGTCCAATACTCCGAATGGTGACCAAAACAATGACATCGGAGTATCCGGGAATTTTATACCGCACCAATCTTGTTGCAGGCAAGGCCGTCACATGCATCTGAGCCGTCTGCAGCCAGCTAAATGGTGGCGCACAGGTACTGCCGCATCGTTGACCAGATGCACGGGTCACCGGGCATCCTGGTTTGGGTAGACCTAAGCCTGTTGATGTGATCATATGTCAATGAATGCTAACAAGACTTTGTATCGAACGAGGTACATCTACTTGAGTTCTAACAGAGCTCTCTTGGTCTACGTGTGGTGAGAAGCCTTGTATTTCTGAAAGCATGCAAATACTACGCCGGAACGACGCATCAGCGTGTCATACTTTGGCTTTTCTGTTGTAATCGATTGAATTTGCGAGACTCGATGAGAAATTGGGGATATCATGATATAAGTTCTCATATGATGAGCCTCGATAGCAGATAGTAATGATAAAGAGCATTCTTTGAGTATTGCTGTAGACCTCACAAGGATAAGAATGATACAGCATCTATTCGTCGCCTTTAGTGAGCAACCGCCTTCAATCTAGCAGCTAGCCCCAGAAACTGTTTAGCACGTTGCTGAGAGATATTTAGAGTGAAAAAGAAAAGACCAGCGAGTCTTGGGCAAAGTGAAACACCAGAGAGATGCGAGATTATACAGTCTTACACGGAGGAGTTCAAGAATGAAGACAGTGTAGGGTTTTCAATACAAATGTCCATCACCAACGGTAGATGCTGCTTAGCAGCACGCATTGATTAATAAGCAGCAGCATCATTATCATGTGTCAAAAAAATGGCATCAAGCAGTCCGCAGGGAGGATATCTCGTCCCTGCCCATAGATTGCTTCAGCTGCCCGCTCTTTTGGGCCTTCCTCTCGAATTTGGTTCGGGTTTGTCATTCCAAAGGTCCACGCTCTGAGAGGAGCAGGGCCGTCAGTGTCCGGCTCCGGCGATGGAGAAGACATTGTCGCTTGTTGCTTGCGGATGTCAAGCCACCTCTCGTTCACCGGCGCGGGCGGTTGGGGTGGCGCCTCTTCCTCACCCGCTGGCGCAACGCTATGCCTGCCGGGTCTGAAGATAGCGCTTAAGCGCCTGCTCCTACGGCGCTCGTTCGCGCCCTCGCGGGGAGTAGCGACTATGTTGGCGTCGCGTTAGTTGCGGTCGATGGCCATACGCCTAGCCACGGCAAGGCGCTCCTTGCTGGTGTCCGTACTTCTGGATGCCGGCTTTAACCGGAAGCTGGTGTGGAGGAGCCGCTGTGGGACGCGGCGGTGGGTGCTCCTGGTGACCCGACACCTTTGCGGAGCTAGATTTGACTCCCGGCTATCGTTGAGACTCTTAGCCAATAGGAAACATTGCGAACGTCAGAAATTTGGAGTTAAGCGAGAGCAAAATGTGGAGACAGCATGGAGAAAACTTGGAGACGCCGAAATCGCAACAGCAACTGTCCAGAGGCCTTGAGGCTCGAGATGGAGACAATTGGAGTAAGTTGTAAGAAACACATTTGATCCGTCAGATGCTTGCCCACCCTCAGGTCCTTAGCTTGTTAATGTTCATAATCGTAGACGTTTGATATCGCTCTCTTCAGGACATTGGGCTGCTCTACAGCTTGAAGTCTCCAGCTTGTCTTTCCCAACCCATTGCACTCGGCTCGAGAGCAGACACTTTGTCGACGAGCTCAAGCTTCCGCTCCCGCGACCTTTCAGTGCAAAGCTCGTAGATGGTGCTGAGATTGAACGTCAAGGCATGGAAAGCGTAAGACGAGTTCTCCCCATGGTCTATGAGATCCTCCAACAGTGCACGCGCATCAGCTATCCGGCCAACATAGAGTAGACATACTGCGCGATTTTGCGTGACCATGGGATCATCAGGACTTTCGGCGGCCAGCATGTCCCATATAGTCAGGGCGGTGGGATAGTCCGCTTCGGCCATGGCGACCAGAGCATTGAGGGGGTCAGCAGGAGGCGGAGCATCGCCAGCAGAGGGGGTATGAGGAGCAGGCGAGGGCGACGCGGCGACGCAGCGTTTTGCAGCATCAATGTCGCCGACTTTGATCCACGTCAATGCTTCCATGGACTTCAAACGCGCTGATTCCGGGCTCAATGATGCCGAGTCTGCCTTCTCTTCTGCCGCAATTGCTTCGTCTGTCCCCGAATCTGCGCGAACAAGCCCTGCCAGATGTCTTGCCGCACCCTCACATTCTCCCATCTCGATCAGCGCATTGGCGACTCTGATGGCGAGCTCCCTCAGTCTGCCTTTCCATATCTGTTTGGAATTAGGGTCGTGGGACTTGATCGCCTCTATCCTTGCTTCCCGAGCCAGCTCGTAGTAGCCCATGACACCGCGTCGCCAGTCGCCGTATCCCAAGCCCATAAGTCGCACAGAGAGCACGCGCAGCTCCCACGGCACGATGTGGGAGCCGGTCAGAGGGTTCCGGTAGAAGGCGCTGGCCAAATCACCAAGTAGCTTTGCTTCGGCAGCGGCTAGAGCATGCTGGTTCAGGAGTGTCAAGCAGGCCAGTCGCACGTAGAAGAGCGAGAAAATGCGCGCATGATCAGCGGGCGTGGTGTTCGTGACCAAAGCCTTGGCAGCCGCGATGGCAGCGGAGCGGTAGTGTCCCCCATCAAGAAGGTCGCGAAGTGAAGCAGAAGGCGGAGGCTGATGGGAGGCGGAGAGGAAAGGATGCGGCGTGGTGTGCGGAGGGAGGGGATGGAAATTGTTGGCGTGCAGCAGGAAGCCAAAGTCCTTGTCGGTGGACTCGAGGACAGAGGCGGGGGTGGAGGGGGCGGGCGACAGCTGAGACTGGCGGGTGGGAGTGATGGGTTGCTGGAGATGCTGCTGCTGTTGGAAGTGCGGATGCGAGAAGGGATTCGGCGACAAGGGCGCAGGGCCGGCTTGGTTGGCGGCGGCCGGCGAGGCTAGAGGACTGATGGGGCATCAGCAGAGACGGTGCAGGTTCTGGGGTATGGTATGACGCACTCGTCGAAGTCGGCGTCCAGCGGGCCTTTGGTGGAGCGGCGGGTGATGGCTACTGCGGCGGCAGTCAGCTACGGCAGGCGGGCATCGTGGGGCACAGAGACGCACTGCGACGACGCTCGTCGCTGGAGGCCATGCGGCCGTGGCCTTTGACCCGGGGGGGAGGCTGCATGGCGGCGATGCGGTGATGCGGTGCGAAGTGGAGGTCTGGCCGGGGTTGGGGTTGAGCTGCAGGAGCGGCGGGCTGGCATGGACTTAGGCGTTAAGCGGCGCCAAGGCTGGGGATGGCACTCGGGCGTGATGCTGGTTCCAAAAGCCCCAATTGGTCCGATTTCGGAGCGATGGCCCCCTCCTCGGCAAGGTGGAAATGATCGACCAAACCCTCACACTATTCTTGACTCACCACCACGCATTCCTTTCGCCCACAAGATACCCGCCGTGCTCCCCGCGTGCTCCCAGCCTGCGACCTGGCCATTGGCACCTCTCCCCTCCTCCTTCGCGACCGACGCCTCACGGCTCGCCCCTCGTCACCATGCTCAAGGCACGCCAATCGCCCAGCGCTCTCAAGAGCGTGAACTTCGCCACCCGCCGTTTTTCTTCGACGCCCTCGCCCGCCGCCGTCTCGCCCTACCGCAATGTCGCCGCCGTCCAGCAGAATGCCCAGAAGCCCGTCGTCAAGAATGCCATCAAGCGCACCCAGAGCACCGCCGCCGCCCAGCAGACCGAGCGACCTGTTCCCGCGTCCGCCTTCAATCGCGAGGTCGCGCCACCACAGGTTGCCTCGCGCTACCACTCGCAGATGGACCACTCGTTCGTCGGCATGAAGGGCGGCGAGATCTTTCACGAGATGATGTTGCGACAGGGCGTGAAGCACATTTGTATGTTGTCATCTGCCGTCGCGTTATTTTTTCGTCGGCCAGCAGTGCACTAACCAGATGACTCAGTTGGATACCCAGGAGGCGCCATTCTCCCCGTTTTCGATGCCATCTACAACTCAAAGCACTTCGACTTCGTTCTCCCCAGACATGAGCAGGGCGCAGGCCACATGGCCGAGGGTTACGCCCGGGCTTCGGGCAAGCCCGGCGTTGTTCTCGTCACCTCTGGCCCTGGCGCCACCAACGTCGTCACCCCTATGCAGGATGCCTTGATGGATGGCACGCCCATGGTTGTTTTCTGTGGTCAGGTGGTAACGTCTGCCATTGGTTCGGATGCATTCCAGGAGGCCGACATGCTTGGCATCTCCAGGGCCTGCACCAAGTGGAATGTCATGGTCAAGAACATCGCCGAGCTGCCCCGCCGTATCAACGAGGCCTTCGAGATTGCTACTAGCGGACGTCCTGGTCCCGTCCTCGTCGACTTACCCAAGGATATCACCGGTGGCACTTTGAACAAGCCCATCCCGGTCGACAGTGCCCTCCCGACTCACCCCAGCGCTGCCAGCTTGGCCGCGCGCGAATTGAGCAGGGCTCAGCTCGAGGGTGCCATCAGGCGCTCGGCCAACCTCATCAACATCGCCAAGAAGCCCGTCATTTACGCCGGTCAGGGTATCGTTTCGGCTCCCGACGGCCCCAAGCTCTTAAAGGAACTTGCCGACAAGGCCAACATTCCGGTTACCACGACTCTTCAGGGTCTTGGTGGCTTCGATGAATTCGACCCGAAGTCTCTCCACATGCTGGGCATGCACGGCTCTGCGTATGCCAACATGGCCATGCAGGAAGCAGACCTGATCATTGCTCTCGGTGCTCGTTTTGATGATCGTATCACCGGCCACGTCGCTCGCTTTGCTCCTGCCGCCCACGCCGCTGCCGCTGAGGGACGTGGCGGCATCGTTCACTTCGAGATCATGCCCAAGAACATCAACAAGGTCGTCCAGGCCACCGAGGCCGTCGAGGGTGATGTCGCTACGAATCTGTCAGCGCTTATCCCGTACGTTAACGCTGTTCCTGAGCGCCCCGAGTGGTTTGAGCAGATTAACGACTGGAAGAAGCGCTTCCCCTGGGCTTACGAAAAGGAGGGTGCGAACGGCATGATCAAGCCCCAGGTTGTCGTTGACAAGCTCAGCAAGCTCACCGAGAACATTCGTGACAAGACTGTCATCACCACCGGTGTGGGCCAGCATCAGATGTGGGCTGCTCAGCACTTCCGCTGGACCCACCCGCGTACCATGATCACCTCTGGAGGTGCTGGTACCATGGGTTTCGGTCTCCCGGCCGCTATTGGCGCAAAGGTTGCCCGTCCTGAGGCTCTCGTCATCGACATCGACGGCGATGCGTCGTTCAGCATGACTCTTACCGAGCTCAGCACCGCCGCTGAGTTCAACATTGGCGTCAAGGTCATTATCCTGAACAACGAGGAGCAGGGCATGGTCACTCAGTGGCAGTCTCTCTTCTTCAAGGACCGTTTCTCGCACACCCACCAGAAGAACGCCGACTTCGTCAAGCTCAGTGAAGCCATGGGTCTTCAAGCCGACCGCGTTGCGAAGCCCGAAGAGCTCGAGGATAAGCTCAAGTGGCTCCTGAACACCGAGGGCCCGGCTCTCCTCGAGGTTGTCGTCGACCAGAAGGTGCCCGTCCTTCCCATGGTGCCGGCTGGCAGCGCTCTCCACGAGTTCTTGGTGTACGACGAGGGTAAGTTCAGCTCCACACATTCAAAATGAGCGATGAAAGAAAGCTAACGCACGAGAACAGCCAAGGAGAAGACCCGCCGCGAGCAAACCCGCCAGCGCTCTGGCAGGTAAATGCTCTGCGTCATGTCTGCGGAAGAGGAAAGCCAGGTCCAAAAAATTATTCTTTGACTTCTATCTGTCTCCACGGTCGCCAAGACACGAATGAAAGGGAGGTGGCGTCGTGGCCGCGGAGGTGCACGAGGTCGCGGATGACGCCACGGCGGTTGGGGTAGTAGGGAGACGGCGGCATGTTGGCGGCGGCGGCATTTGTGGGGGAAAGGGGCGGCGCCACGATGAAGGCGGAGCGGCGGGTGCTGGCGCTGTTGTTGTGGTGGTGCTCGGAGTCGGGGTGGTGCCCATCCGTGGGCGACGCGGGTTTGGGATGGATGCGGCTGTATAAAAGTACAACGTTAGCGTATTAAGATTCTTTTTTTTTTTTTGGAAAAAGGTAGTGGCGATGATGGTGGGTGCGGGCGTGGGCCCTTGTAGATCATTAGGTCAGGGCTAGGCGTAATAGGAAATTTACTGTACCGGACACGTCTCGACGCTCGTTCACGTTGAGCAGCCAAGGGCCAATGCATTCGGGGTGGAACTCGTGGTTGCAAAGTATCAGGTGGACGTCCTGGCAAGGCTCAAACTCCTCGGCGCAAATTGTGCAACGCGTATACGCATCGCCCTCGGAGGCCAAGTTTTCCGCGCTAGCTACTGAGGGAAGATGTTTTGGGAATGGTTGTCATGAGAGCTATAGAACGCAATATAATGAGCACTGTAAAGATCGGGCTTGGAATAATAATGATGCCCGGGGAACGGTCACTGCGTATACTGCGGCTGGAACTAGGCCTAGAGAACCAGTCCCCGATTTGGGGTGGAGACTGGGGTGTGGACTGAGACTGGGTGATTTCCAGGCAAACAGTTGGTTAAACACGTCTTCCGAAAGCACGGGCCTTGGGCTCTCACGCGACTGGGTTTGCTCACCTGGGCAACATACTTGGAGAGAGCACGTACACAGTAAGGCGCAAAGCGAGGACATGGCGATTTCGAGGCTCGATTCTGTAGGGCTGCCGGGGAACACTCTATCCAGGCAAAACCCAATCGTGAACATGAGGAAAATTGAGTCACTCAAAAATCGAGGGAACCAAGGGCATCTTGACTTCAAGGTAATAAGGCGGGCGGGGAACACCTCCAACCGTCACAGGAAGTCCCGCCAAAAAAAACTCAAGACCTTGCCGCATCCGGAGCCAGTGGATGTGTCAGATGCTAGCGCGTCTATCTCGCATACAGCCTTTGGATACGTCGAAGTGTCGGGCTCGCTGGCGCATGGTGTTGACAGGAATCAAGTAGAGCGGTGGTTCATGTTGCTGGATGACAAGGAGAAAGTGTGCTCCAGCGCGTGAAGACAATGTAGTAGGAGGGTATGAAAAATTCTGATCACGTGATGACGCGCTCGCGCGGCGACTAGCCCGGGTTCCACTGCAAGGTACAAAACCCCGCCGTCCGTCATCAGCCTTCCAGCTCCACCACGCCTTCCTCCGTCCAACCAATTCCCATTCCCAACCAATTCCCCACCAGTCCAACACGAAAAAACAAACGAACAAACAAACAAACAACCAACCACAAAACGCAAAACGCAAAACGCAAAACGCAAAACGCCAAAAAAAAAAAACCCCCCCCCAAAAAAAACCCCCCCACTCGCCCCCCTCAAACCCCCCCACGCAAAAACAAACAATGGCCCTCCTCCCCGGCCGCATCCCCCGCGCCACCGACGCGGACCGGCCCTCGCACACGCACGCGCACGCGCAGCACTTCTTCCACGAAGCGGCGGCGCTCTGGCCGGCGACGGCCGACGCCGTCTCGCTGCGCGGCCTGCGCCTGGTCGCGCGCGCGGGGCACGACGTCTGGGGCCGCACAGACCGCGCGCAGCCGGTGGCGCTGTCGCTGCGCGTCGCGGCGCGGGCGCGCTTCGCGGGCGCGGCGGCGGGCGACGCGCTGGACGCGAGCACCGTGCACTACGGGGTGCTGAGCAAGAACGTGTTGGGGGCGCTGGCGGGCGGTGCGGGCGATGCGGGCGGTGCCGGGTCCGGGTCCGGGTCCGGGTGGCTGAGCGGGGTGGAGGTGGCGAGTCGGGTGAGCGAGGCGGTGGTGAGGACGGCGGCGGGGGGCGCGGTCGAGGCGTTGAGGCTGGATGTCGGGTTTCCGAAGGCGAGCACGCTGGGGACGGGCGCGGGCGTGGAGTGGATGGTGTTTTATGGGGGGGATGGGGGCCAGGTGGTGGGGTTTGCGCGGCAGTTGTATGTGAGGGGGATGGCGATTCCGACGCTGATTGGGGTGAATGCGAATGAGCGGATGAAGAAGCAGATGTGCTTGGTGAGCGTGTGGATCGACAAGGTGTCGGAGGGGGCGGTTGATGGGTATGATGTGGTGGAGGATATTGTGTTGAAGGCCGTTGAGAATACGGATTTCGAGACACTTGAGGCACTCGCCGAGAGGGTGGCCCATGTCTTGTTCAAGTCCTTCATCGCGGGCGAATCATCTGGCTCGAACCTGAGGATTCGCATCGAAAAGCCGACAGCAGTGCCGCTTGCCGACTTCCCGGCCATTGAAATCTACCGGACTCAAGATCAGGTGCTATACGCTTAGTGGAGAAGGTCTCTTAGCGTTGTCGCCATTATTTGGGTGGCCCTTGGCAGATCTTCGTATCCGTATAGACAGTCAGCCCAAATTGAACAGGAAAAGGCTAGCGACAGGTGGTTTCTTCGGTGGTTTTCTGCGATAATGGCAAAGCTTTCTATCTTCTTTCAGGCGTTGTTCGGGACACAAGGAATTCACCAGTATGGGTGGAAAAAAAAACTGATAAGGAAATCTTTTTTGTTCATAACCAAGACGTTTCCTTGGAAATCCAAGCTCTTTCAAACACACATTTAAGCATAACCCTTCAGCACCGCCGCCTCGGCGTTCAGGATGGACGAACCAGCAGCACCGATGACAGTGTTGTGGCTCAGCGCGACGAACTTGATGTCAAAGATGCCACTCTCGTCCTCCCTCACCCTACCAACGCTGACAGCGTAACCGCGGTCGGTCTCTCTGTCCAGCCTAGGCTGCGGCCTATCGGGCTCATCCATGACGACGATGGCGTTCTGGGGCGCCGAGGGGCAGCCCAGCTGCTGAGCCTCAGACACATACTCGCGGAATGCCTGCTTGACCTCCTCAGCGCTGGGCGCGGGGCTGCGGGCGAACTTGAGGGAAACGCAAGCCGTGTGGCCGTCGAGGACGGGAACGCGGTTACACGCGGCCGACACCTTCAGCGGCTGGTCGACGAAGCCGGTAACGTCATCGTTGACAGCGCCCAGGATCTTCTGCGCCTCCGTCTCCAGCTTGTCCTCCTCGCCCGAGATGAAGGGCACGACGTTGTCGATGACGTCCATGCTGCTAACACCCGGGTAGCCCGCGCCCGAGACGGCCTGCATGGTGACCACGCTGACCTGCGCGACGGGGCCGAATTTGGCCTGCAGCGCGGCGAAGGGGATGACGAGGCCGATGACGGCGCAATTGGAGTTGCAGACGAGGAAGCCCTTCTGCAGGCCGTAGTGCTTGCGCTGGTGGTCCAGCACCGAGAGGTGGTTTAGGTTGACGGTGGGCACAACGAGGGGCACGAGCGGGTCGCGGCGGTAGTTCTTTGCGTTGGAGAAGACGGCCAGGTTGGCCTTGAGGAAGGCCATCTCTGTGGAGCAAAAGACGGGGCGTCAGCAAACTGCGTCTTAGAGCCGCTGAGGGAGGCATTGTCATCAGTCCTCACCGACGTCGCCGGCGACATCGCTGTCCAGGCCGGAGAAGACCAGGTCGCATTCAGCGAATTCCTCGGGGGTGCACTTCTTCACGACCAGCTCGCCCAGCTCCTTGGACATGGGCAGCGCCTGCTTCCACTTGACGGCATCCCTGTACTTCTTGCCGGCCGAGCGTTCCGAGGCACCGACGGCGTGCAGAGTGAAGTGCGGGTGGAGGGCGAGGAGGAGAATGAAGCGCTGGCCGACGGAGCCCGTGGCGCCGAGGACACCTGCGGGGCCAATGATGTCAGTGCTGGAGCGGCCAATGGCTCGGAACTGGGGGCGCTTACCGCACTTCTTCTTGGGGAAGTTTCGGTTGAGCGAGGTGAAGTTCTGGGCGTCCATTTTGCAGTTGGTGCGGAGTGTGGGAGCGAGGCTGGCTGGCTTGGATGGTGGTGTGCAAGCTATTGATTAAGAGTCAACGGGCCGCGATCGGCGCGCGCGGCGTTTTTGTGAGGTGATCCTCTGCCGAGAACACGAAAAAATCTCGGCCGCGTCCACCTAAAACACGCGCGTAACACCAGAGAACGCGTTTTTTCCATCGTTGCAAATGGTGTTTTCGATATCCATCCACCCAATCCGGTGATCGCCTTGGTGCTGCAATGTCCCCCTCTCGTCGTTGTGCCAGCGAGAGCTCCGAGTGCAGCGCTGCGACGCGGGCGCGCCAGAGCAGCTTAGGTGGCGATTTCCCTATTTTTTTTTTCAAAGCAAAGAACGGAGGTCGCACTTCATAAGGACACTGGATGGGTACACGACCTCCTACCAACGTTTGGAAGATGCAAGAATAAACTGGCGATTGTCTTCCTCGGGCACTGCGCGTTGTTCGAGGACGGAGTCAATTTCAATGACACTGAGGATACACCCAGGCCTCTTACACTTAAGATCATCCGCGCACTCTCGAACTTGATGCCCATTGACACAACATGCGCAAGACTTGTAGGCGTACCAAGCCCAGTGGCAAAGACTTGGAAAGGAGGATAACTCGCTTCTGCTACCCCATCCAGAAAGTTGGAAGCAAGGCCTTTCGGCGGACCAGTCACCTTCGGCCAGCCATCGCCCAAGCCGAGCCTCCAAAGGCGAGCTCAGCTCCGCCATCGGAGAAGTCAGACGCGAAGAGCGAGCGCGCTCCGCAGTTCCAGCCCCCTCGCTCTGGCACACACCGCCAGCTCACTCACTCATTCCTACACCCGGCTGTTGTGGAGACCCGCTCGTTGGCAACACGCGCGCACCGAGACATCGCGCGTGACACGTTTCATTTGGAACGACAACGAAAGTGAAGGTCTCAATCTCTTCCTCCAGAGCCCGCGCAAGGCGAGTATCTCGACGAAAAGTAAAACCGTGCATGCTTTCGAGCGGAATCAGTTCAGGACAATCATGTTTCTGCCCCTGTTGATATCCATTCCGTTTGAGATCTTGTCGATGTGAATACGGTCCCAAGCTGTTATAAGCAGGGAGGAAATCTGGTCCGTGACATTCGTCTCAGCCAGGCTCTGACGGCAGCTGCGCGCGAGGATGTCAACGCGGATGATGAAGAAATAGCCCAGCAAGATTTGATCAAAGCCGGCTTGGGCAGCTAACATGGGAAAGCCTTCGCTCATGTTCGACTGGTAGATCCCAACACGCAGACTCGGGGCTCTCGTCTCAGTGTATCTGAGGAGACTCCGAATGGTGTAAGGAGTGCACGTAAGCCCGTCGATGCCACGCACAAAGATCAGGGGGTCCGCGTAAGAACGAACGCTCTCAACCCACTCGTACAGCTTTCTATAGCCGGACCACATCGTCAAGATGTTCTCGAACGGTGGTATCTCCTGGTGGCTTTTTCTACCAAACCAGAAGTGCAAGCTAATGTTGGCAGTTGGGATTCCTCCCCACGTGCTCAACCTCAGCGCAAGAATAGCAGCCTTCAAGACCTCACCGGTTCTTTGGCTTTGGGGGGCTGCCCCGCTAGTTCTCGTGAGGATCAATGCGTGCTTTTTATCCGACGTTTCGACCGGAGGCACACTTGGGTCTCTTTGTTTGAGCCTCGATTGGCGCGCAGTCTCTGCCTGAGCGTACTTCTGGCGGATACCGGCTGGTAGTATGTTCCAGACTTCAGCAGCTGTGAACATAGTAGAGCCAGCAATGGATTTTGACTCTGAACCGGTATCATTTGAGGGACCGGAGTGGCGACGGTCCATTGATCTCGCGATCAGGTCCGTGATTGAACTCGAGATGATTTTTTCTTCATCTCTGCCCAGGTTAAAGGCCCTGCCTGAAGGCAATTCGGGCTGAGTGACTAAAGGTGCGGCTTGCACCTCAGTAGGAGCTGTGGGCGTCGGAGTGGCTGGTTCCAGCTCACCAAATAAATCCTGCGCCCACAGGGGAATGGCTGGTTGCAGCGCATCCGTGAGGGCCGCGGGTGTAGATGGCACCTCGCGGCGGGGAGTGGGTGTTGATTGCACCACACTAGGCGTCGGGCTGTTTGGCCTTCTGCCATCAGGTAGCTTCCACGGAGGGAGCATTCCTGGAGGACGAATGGCTGGTTGCAGCACATTCATGGGGAGCGTGGGTGAGGATGGCACCTCGCGGCGGGGAGTGGGTGTTGATTGCACCACACTAGGCGTCGGGCTGTTTGGCCTTCTGCCATCAGGTAGCTTCCACGGAGGGAGCATTCCTGGAGGACGAATGGCTGGTTGCAGCACATTCGTGGGGAGCGTGGGTGGGGATGGCACCTCACGGGAAGAAGTGGGTGTTGGTGGCACCTCACGGGGAGAAGTGGGTGTTGGTGGCACCACACTAGGCGTCGGGCTGGTTGGCCTTCCACCATCAGGTTGCAACCACGGAGGAAGCGTTCCTGGAGGACGAGCCACCACTGGTGGAGGGACCCGTGGGGGAATGTACTCGGAGAAGCTTTGGGTTGCTTCACCGCGCTGGAGTGCCTCCCAATCGAAGCGGTTGGCCCAGGGAGTCGGAGGGGGTCTGTTCTGACCTGCATGGTAATGTTAGCTTTGAATTCTGAGTAAATTCGCGTAGCTCAACACTCAGGCGGCGCAAAGCCCAATCTCGGCGGGAGGTAAGTGTTTCCACAAGTAGCTCTTCAAGCACTGCAAAAGGGAAAATGTTCGGTAAGGTTTGGGATGATTGCGTGTGTGTGTGCATAATCTTAGTCTCAACACGGGAATAGACCATGCACAGGAGGGAAAGGTGCAACGTAGGAGTAGAGATGAAGACCCACTGTGCAGGGATTGCAGCTCTGCTTCTTGCTGCTCTTTTGCCGCCTTTCTCTGGCGGGGATTGAGGCGGGATGTTTTCGCGCCTTCAGGCCGATCCTTCTTCTTGTTGGCGGCCTGGTGAGCCTTGCGGTCTCGCTGATTGCGCTTGACGGCCATGGCGACAGCTTGTAACTAACTGTGAGTTGAGTGTGAGTTCGTCCGGTCACAAAGCTGACTGCACGATCAGATGTAATAAGGTTCAAGTTGTCTCGCGGTCCGCGCGTGCGAGAAAGTTTTCGCCGCTTCCTTCTGGTCAAGTCACTTTGGGAAGGCGAGATGCGCGACTGGGAAGGCGCAAGCAGCGGCCGCCCTCCACAGTCCACCCCGCCTCACCACCTACTCCTCGCAATCCCGATGAACACGACAAGCCGACTGCACGCTCTTTACCTCCTTCTCCGAGTCTGTATATACGCGCATCGCCGAACTTATACCATCCAATGCTGTCTACGTCCTTGTGTGCGGAAGTGGAAGATGGGTGGATGTCCAGTGAGTGACAGCAGTACTTGAAACGAGCAAACAACGGACTAGCCTGACCTGAAATAGCATCCGTAGTCTCGCACTTGTCGTTCGATAGCCGAGTCCAGCTCGATCATCACCAGCTTTCGCATATCAGGTCCCACCCTTACGCTTAACCGAGTCCTGTACGTCCATATTTCCTACCTGCCTTGCCCATGCGCACAAGATGAGATATGATGGTGGTGAGAAGCAGCATCAGAGTTAATCTCTGACGGGGAGTTATGCTTTTTGTACATTCTGTACGCGGTGTTGCCTTGGATCTTCAGGTGCCTCTTACAGAGCTTATACCTTCTGTACATTCGTGTACGTGGTGTGGCCCTTGCTTGTTCAGGGGGTCTTGAGAGGTTATACTTGCTGTACGTATTGTACGTGGTGTTGGCCAGCTGCTTCTGGTGCTTCCGGGAAGTTATGCCTTCTGTACATTTGTGTACGTGGTGTCACCCTGCGCTATCCAGGGGCTTCTGTGCTCGCATTGTTCACTCCGTTTATGCCTCTGATTTGCGGAAGTATTTGATTCGGTCTACTTTCTTTTTTTCCTTTTCTTCTGACTGAACTCTCATTGCAGGCACACGTTTTCCCGTCTCGACACGCTCGCCACTACCGTCTAAGACGTCTTTACTAGGATGTATTGGATGCTTGGATTCTTTGGATACAGGGCCCCCTTCATCAATATTAAGGAGAGAGTGGAACAGCCGAGGCACCTGACTAGACACGGATTTGGATGATTGATCCAACTTGTGTCGCCCAAGGTGTGCTCCCCCAAGGACCACGGGCATTCCAGTCTTTCAAGAACATTCAGATGGCAATATACAGGTCATGGAATGGTAAGAACGCTTCTTGAATGAGCAGACGAGACGGGAGCCACTGCCCGGGTCAGGTTAGCAGAGCAAGCTTCCGAGGAAAACAAGCCGAATAAAGGCCTACAGGGATATTTCCAGAGTGTGTTCAATTTCTACCTGAGAGAAAAGTAATACAAAGCTGTAGACAAACTCTGGGCCCGCTCAATCCAATCCAGGCTTACACTACACGCCCTCCCGCCATTGTGCTTTGTGATACTAGCCCGTTTGCTTTGGTAGTGTGCGGCAAGTAGGAATTGCAGCATCTCTTCGGAAAAGGTTCGTGTTGTTGCGACGTGCCTTGGAGGAAGTCTTCGAACCCGAGAGCCTGGTGACGGACGTCGGCTACATGCAATTAGAATGTGAAATATCGACGGGAGGCTGGCTGTGTGGGAGAACCGTTGCAATTCGAATCCTAAAACGATCCAGTTAGCGAAAAGGCTCTTGTAATGCGGTAGGTGAATGGTTCCCTTTTGATAGATCTAAAGTGACATGTTGCAAGCTTCTCTTAGCATCTCAATAGAGTATTGAGAAGTTCCCACCCGACACGAAGCGTGGACGTGGAAGCTATCGTCGGGCTGGCTTTGGTAAAGCGGTTTTTCCATCCGCTGTGGGTGTGAAGCGCTGGTTGGCGCATTCAAGGGTCAGGGCCTCGGGATTTCTTGCCCTTGCCCTTGCCCTCGTCGTCGTCATCGTCGCGCTGCTTTCTCTTGCCGCGGACGGGAGCGGAGGACTTGGAGGAGGACCCATGGGCCTCCATGGTGGTGACGAACATGTTCGTCATAGCAGCCAATCCCGCCTGCGAGCCCGTTCGATGGACTTCGCGGAAAGCGTCTCTGAACATTAATTGATCAGAGGCGGCGGTTGGCTGAGCCGGGGCGACCGGCGGAAGACCAGCTTGTTGCCGTTTGGCGGCGGCTTCGAAGCAGGTAAGTCGAGAGCCATGGTAGCCATGGCACTGCCTGCACTTGGGAGTACTGCACTCTCCCGAGTGAGGGTGAGCGCACATTGGGCACACATTGCCCTTCTTGGTGGGGGCGGAGGCCTTGGTTTCGGCCTTCCGTTGTTGAGCCTGAAAGCTCTTCAGGACTTTCCTGCCCGTGGTTTTACGGGCTGAAAAGCTCTTCTTTTCCTCCTCATCTCGATGAGGAGGAGCGTGAGCCCCGTTGCATTGGGGGCATGGGGGCGCGCCGGCTTCCCGCCAGGCCTGCCAGGTGGCAGCCTGCTCAGCCTGCCAGGCCTGAAAAGCCTGGGCGCGTTGGGCCATGGGAAGGCCGCTATCCATCCAGTCAGCGGATGGCTGACCGGTGGGGGTTGCCAGCTCCTGCTGTGAAGCAGTCGCCGGGGCAGGGACGGTGACCGGCGGGCCACCAATCCCTGGGGCGAGGTATGTCTGCCGGTTGGCAGACCCCTCGGTGATGACGCTCCTGGCGAGAGCGTCAGCGGGGGAACCCTGGCCCTGCTGGTTGGCAGGCGGGTGAGAAGGAGGAGGACAAGGACGAGGAGCATCTTGGGACATCAGTGTGACGCCCTCCATGCCCTCAGCGGGGGCGAGATTGCCCGCTGGAAGGATGTCAGCGCGCTTGGAGACCGGAATACCCGTGAGGTGACGTACCATCGGCGCCAGAGAGCAGGCTATGCTGCCTGCGGCGGTCGCCAATGGCGGCGAAGTCGGGTTTGCGACCCGAGCCCTTCTTGCTGCTGCTGCTGGTGTTGCTGCTGTTGTTGCGCGACATGACGCAGGGCGATTCTCGATTCGAAAATGGTTGTTTTCAAAATATTGCGAGGATCGTTGGAGAAAACCAGAAGAGCACCAGAGCTGCTAAGAAGGCAGCGACCGGCTAAAGCGCGGGCGCGCCGCGCGACGCGACGCGACGCGGCTTGGCGCACGCCCGTGGTAGAGCTCGCCGTCGAACTGGGACGCCCACCATCGAATAGACGGGAAAGGCCTTCGCAAGTAGCTTGACATATGCGCAGCCTTGCATGCAAAGCCGGTTTGGCCGACGATCCACCTTCCCGAGTGTCCGCACATAATTCCTGGGGCATGTGGCCGTTGGGTGGATTGAGGTTCCTTGGGCAGATATGATCCCTTGAATCTGATAGACGAAAGGTACAAGTTGCGGGAGAACACAACAGCAATGAGTACGAATCATAATTTGTTTTTGTTCAGCAATGAAAGGAAGAAAAAGGAAGGAATGATTAATGACGGGTTTGGCTGTTCATTTTGTGCTGCTGAAGACATAATGGAAATCGTGGAAGGAACTCTATGAAGATTGCCCGCGAATCCCCAACTGGAAAAAAAAATAGGGAGGGAAAAGATGTAGAACGCAAAGGCTGACAGAGCTTATCACTCTAGAGAGAAAAGCCTGTCGAAAGGTGAGCACGCACGATCTATGCTGCTTAATCTCATACGCAACCTCGAACACTTAGTACTTTTAAAGCATTGGAGAGGGTGTCAACATGCTTCCTTGGTGAGCTTTGCTGTACAGTAAATCCTTGAAATTGGCTGCATGTTATACATACAGACCCGAAAGACCGGTTCGTGATGTGGCTCATCTATGAAGGTACATCTTTTCCAGTCAGCACATGAGGGCGATTCTTTGGAATAAGTTCATGCTTGTGATGAGCGCTGGCATGCGCGATGGTGGCCGCAGTAGATAAGACATTGGGGCTTTTGAGGAGGAAGTTTGGCTTCCAAGAGACGTCTGCTGTTTAAGCCTGTTGTAAGAGGGGACCCGTGACGGTCGAAGTTGTGTCGGTGGTGGAAGATTTTTGTTACGGGCGCACTGACGTCTAGGTACCTCTAGGTGCTGTTCGTGTGTTGACGGGCGGCTAAGATTCGGCAAAGCGCCGCAGTCCGCAGCGCCAGGGCGCCCTGGCGCTCAGCCAGACGGGCAAACAGCAGCACCAACATCTGCCGCTTGTCGTGTGCTGGGGCATCGACGCGCAGCCAAATGGCCTCTTCTAGCTCAAGGATGTGGATAATAGGGATCCGTGGCCGTGGCCTCAACCTCGACCGCCCTTTCCAGTTATGTGCTCACAGAAGCTGGCGCAAGACTGAGCCAGGTCCGCTCATGCACCTGTCGCTCTTGAGCCGTTGGGGTATAGCAGCCTTCGCGATCGGCGATCGCCGTGCGCCTTGAGCGCTTGCCTGCGAAAGGCGGCACCTACAGGCCACGTCATCTAATGCTGACTCGTCCTCGCTTACACGCACGGTCCTCTCAATCTACCTATATATTTGGGCCTCCCCTCGCCTCCTCCTCTTTTCCGACTCATACTTGTAAGCCACCCTCTCCCGCCCCCCCAACGTTGCGATCAGAACACCTGCTAACATTCACAGACCTTGTCGGGGCTTCCGTGATCAACAAGACGGACGGCCTACCAGGCTGCCCTGCATTGCACAGCGCGGTGGTGGCTTGGTATGAATCTCCTTCGGGGGCTTCACTGGCGCAATTTTTGATGGCTTTCCACCCAGGATTTACTTTTCGTCGAGATGCTCGCCTTGCGCGGGCTCTGGAGGAAGAGTGCCAAACGTCGCGTGGCGGAGTCGCGAAAATGATGACCATGTTCCAAGCCACCCCGCGCGGTCCAGCTCGCTTAAAAATCCGACGCGCACTCGCGTGTTGCCTCCCAGTCCCTTTCTGCTGTGCGTAATGATGTTGCCTACCAGACTAATAACGATGATGCTCCACGCTGTTTGTGAAAGAGTGTTAGAAGTTGCATTCGCCAAAGACGGCGCGAGTTAGTCTGATGCCATCGCATTTCCAGTAATGCGATTGCTTGTGCCCACGGTCTCGAGGTGATCTCGCGGACTGCGAGGATAGGCTTTTGTGTTCGTCTGGACTGCACGCTCCGGTGCCTGCCAGCCTGCGCCCGGGAAGGTATCGGCAAAATTTTGGTCTATTGGCTACTTTAAAAGACAAATCATGTGATTCCGTGTTTCTCCAGGGTTATCCCGTGCTGCGCGTCGCGTACCCCAACGAATACCGCCACCAGCGGCGAGCGAACACCGCCACCACCAGCGAGCGAATACCCCCAGCAGCGGCGAGCGAATACCCCCAGCAGCGACGGGCGAATACCCCCAGCAGCGAGCGAACACCGCCAGGAGCGAGTGAATACCCCCAGCAGCGAGCGAATACCCCCAGCATGAGCGGCGAGCGAATACCCCCAGCAGCGAGCGAACACCGCCAGCAGCGAGTAAATACCCCCAGCAGCGAGTGAATACCCCTAGCGGCGAGCGAATACCCCTAGCAGCGAGCGGCGAGCGGCGGATACCGCCAGCTACGCGCTTCGCTAGGGGTCCCTTTGATAGATTTTGCCTCGCCAATCTATCACCAGCACATGTTATGATGTATAGCTAGTTGTAGTTGGACCTATCGCTGACCACTGCAGAGCAACGCTCGCTTCTGGGTTTGGGCATCGATGCACACCAAGTATGGAGACATTCATCGCACTCTTGCTCTTGATGTTGACTCTTTACAGGCGAGGAGCGCTCGGAAAGGCGCGCTGTCACGACGGTCAGTCATGTTGACGAAGGTTCGACACAACCCCTCTGCGGACCAACAAAATGCACACAGCGCGACGGTCGCAGTACGGGCCGTGGTAGAGCTGTTCAGACTGGTCAAGCGTGAGAAGGAGCTTGATCGCGAGATACTGGCTTTTTCGGTATCTGTCAGATATAAGGACCTTAGCCAGCACTGAAAACAAGTGCGGCGTCGTACCTTTTTCAAGTGCGATAGTATCCCACGACCACAACACCGACAGGATCTACTCGGGGTTCCTTGAGAGGTTGGGACCCTGGGCCCCTCTCCACCATGTTCGCGCCGACCTCCATGACACGCCTGACCCCGGCGTCGGGCATCGGATCTCCATGAAGTGCCGCGACAGCGGCAATGTTGGCTCCGGTCCTGAAGAGGTTATCCTGGGCTTCGGCCTGACCGCGATCGAGATCCCGAATCGCCCGGAGGGCACGTTGCGCTATGGCCTTGGCGGCGCTTATGGCCTCCGTTGAGGCATTCTGTGCCTCCAAGATGGATATGAGAACGTTCGCCGATACGAAGTACTACCGCCGCCATCTCTGCTTCTCGTCGCGTCAGCTGCACAAATTCTGGCCCGCTAATTTTGCGCAGAAGGGAGCCCCGTGTGATCGGGTCGAGCCGTTGGGCCGACCAGCTATCCTCCAAGCCGAGGACGGCTCCCATGTCTTCGGGACATGTGGCGGGTACGCGTACGTTGGAAACTACGGTTTCCAACAACTCGCTGCGGAAGCAGGATCGCCAGCGAACGCCGTAAGCCTCTAAAGGTGGTTCCGCCGAGAGGACCGGGCCAAGGGGCTCGGTTACTCGAGTAAACTCAACCCCGAGGGCTTCCGACAGCGCGAGTACACCATCGATCCGGAGCGGATGGATCCAGGTCAACGTTGGCCGCACTCGATCCTTAAGGTCCTACAGGATTACCGTGACGGACGCCTGATCTACAGGCCGGGGGACAATTCCCCCACCCACCCGGACGCACAGCCGTACTGGGCGACCGTTGCCGCGAACCTCGACCAACGCAGGCGATCGAAGCTCCCCGCGAGAATGCCCTCTTTCGGTGACAGACCGCTCGACCTGTGGACCGCAGTATCGGTTCCAGACGCAAGCTTGGCCGCTCCGAGCGGAGGAAGCGCGAGCCTCGGCAGGGAAACACAGACCCGCCTGAATAAGATCTTTGAACTTGCACGTTCAACTTTACGGAATAGGACGGCAAGGAAAAATGGACAGCCTACAAGTTTACGAAGAACGTCTACGACAACTGGATGCCCGCTCACTTCAAGAGGATCTGCGCCGCCATCGACGAAATCCTATCCGACATCAGCTTCGACGTCTCAGAAATGCGCTCCTCTGCGGATCTGACGCAATCGGAACGATCCATATCGGTAGTTGGCTCGCATGCCGGCTCGAGCATTATTGCAGACATTGAACATGCGACTCCTGATACATCTGTCTCGCAATCGTTCAAGAGACCAAAGCGACGTCGGTGACCGCACGATTGGCACGTTTTGCGGGTATTCCTTTTCGGGCATTCCTTTTCGGGCATTGCTTTTCGGGCTCTCATGTATGCTTTACGGCCTTTCTTTTGTGTTTTTGCAGTATTGAACATCGGCCAGCACACAGCAGGCGTGCCTCATTGTTGGACTACACAGCTTGCTTGTTTGCTTCATGTAGATCGACTTGGCCTCGCTAAGCCTACGCAACAGTCCTATGCAACAATCCTACGCATTTGTTTTTCCCTTTCGCTAATAAGGCGTGTTTGTGTGCGAAACTTAGGAACGTGCGCAACGCCACGCACCGAGAGCGGCTGAAAGCTGCGTCCATTCCGTGCCGCTGTTGTCGAACGTCGTGGGGAGCTGATCTTGCGCCCGCCCGGTCGAATAATGTTGGCGCTCGCGATAACACCCGTCCGCCATACATGGGCTTGCAGCCACTATCTAAGCGCCGGACTGCTGCCTGTGACCATCTGCTGTGCCGCCCCCTCATTTGTGTCAAATGTGTCGTGACTTTACAGCTCATTCATCATAAAGTCTTGTTGATTCCCATCATTCGTGTCTGCACCTCACTCTCCCTGTCGAATCCAAAGACAACCATGTAAGACAAAATCATTTGCGCACTGGCAATATCGCTGATGATCTACCTAGGAAACGATCTGGAGTTTATGAAGAAGACAGCTCGGCGCCAAAAAGAGATCGGCAGGACGCTGACGCTGGTACCCCATTACCCTCTCGACCCAAGGAACACAGTCCAGGTACGCATCCTACTACACGGTTTATCGGACTTTTCTGTGCATCGCTTACTATTTCCAGACTCAGATGAGATCAAACGCAAAGAAACCCTTAGCTGGCTCACCTCAGCCAGCCATGCAATAAAGCATGCCAATTGCTCTGCTCAATATCTCCAAGGGTCTAGCCGATGGTTTTTGACATCCCCGCATTTCACTTCATGGTTTGGAGGGCGTGAAAACGCACTCTTCTGCCCCGGTCCTCCAGGATGTGGAAAGACCGTTTTGGCTTCCATCGTCATCGACTACCTCCGAGCGACACGGAAGAGCAAGTCTACAAAGATTGCCTTCATATTCTGCGAAGAAAATTCTCGGCAGGATCAAAGCGCTTCCAGCCTGCTTGCTGAGTTGCTGAAACAGTTGGTCGAAGAAGACGCGTCGCTTCCGATAGGTGTTCGGACCCTATATGGAAGTCGTCCAGAAGCTTCGGAACTGTCCAAAATTCTTCGCTCCGTAGCGTCTCGGTGCGGCAGGGTCTTTGTGGTGGTAGATGCCATCGACCAGTGCTCGAATCAGGTCCGTGAAGAACTCTTGGACGCCATAGACCATCTACGGGGAGAATCCAACACGGCGTTTCTGGTGACATCGCGTAAAGAGCCATCCATCGAAAAGCTCTTCGCAGATTATTCCCGTTTGGACATGCAGGCTTCGGATGAAGACATCGGGGATTACGTGGACAAGGAGATTTCAACGCGGCTGGACTGGCTGGAACAATCGGAATTCAGTCAAAGGATCCGAGAAGTACTCGTAGAGACTGCGAACGGCATGTAAGTAGACGTCCTGATGTGTTTGCAAGCGGGACAACCACCTAACATGCTTTGATAGATTCCTCTCTGCACGACTCTGCGTAGAGTTGCTCAGCGATAGACTCACGCAAGAAGAGGCCGAAACCGAGTTGACATTCATCAAAAGCTTGACCAGGAATGGAGGGGTATTCAGGCAGCTGTATGCCCGGCTGGTAGGTACAATCGACTGCGCCGGAGCCAGGCACCGGACCTGGGCCCACCGGCTTCTAGCCTGGGTGTTCCACAGCAAAGACCCATTGACAGTTGCAGAATTACAGCATGCGCTGGCAATAAGAGAAGGTGTCGAGGGGCTGTGCAAAGATCGCCTGGTATCTGTTGACAAGATATCTACTTTCTGTGCTGGCTTGGTGTCGGTGGACTGCAAGAGTGGACTTGTGTATCCCGTGCACAAGTCAGCCCGCGAGTACTTTGCAGAAAGCCCGCCGAGTTGGATGGCAGGAGCGCGACTGGACCTCGCACGCGCGTGCTTGGCCTATCTACAACTCGACCGTCTTGCAGGAGGACCAGCAGCAACTCTGGAGCAGTTTGAAAGGCGGCTGTCGGAGATGCCTTTTCTTTCTTACGCAGCCAACAACTGGGCTGGCCTTGCACTGGGTTTCCACGAAGCTCTTCTCCGACCAGCGACTGCATTCCTTCTGGACAATGCATTGACGGCATCAGCTTGTCAAGTCATGTTCTCGCCGCAGAACTTTGGCGGAAAGTACATCATGGAGAACTACACAATCAAGCACGCACCACACGGCTGTCACATCCTCGCTTTCTTTGGTCTGGCTGATTTGCTCGGCCTTGTACTTGGCGGAATCCATGGGTCCTGGGATATCATCGACGAGAAGGATCCAGAGGGACTGACACCACTCGCGTTGGCTTCCATTCACGGACGTCCGGAAGTGGTGGAGCTACTTCTGAAACTCGAAGAAGTCGACCCCAATTCGAAAGACCCTTATAATGAGACACCTCTGCACCACGCGGTGTGCAATGGCAACACATCAGTTGTCAAGACGTTGCTGGCCTCGGAGCGGGTGGACGCGAACTACCGAGGTTGCGAGCACGGGATCCCGCCCTTCCACTTTGCAATCGGCGGTGAGGACAAAGCTCTCGTCAGAATGATGATGGACGAGTTCAAGCACCGCATCGACTTCAACGCACCGGACCGAGCGCGATACACGGCGATGCACAAGGCTGCACATTGCGAGGATTCGGACATGATGGAAATCCTTTTCGAACTGGGCAATGGCTATGTCGATTTCAACGCCAAGGACATTGACGGATGGACCGCTCTTCACCATGCCCGATTCTACAAAAGCGTTGCCGTACAGCAGTTTTTGTACACACAGAAGGATGTGTTCGACGTTGACGTCGTAGCCTACTGCGGCTGGCATTCGGGACTGGATACCAAAATCACGACTGGACGGTACGAGCAAAGGAGAGGGAAGAGCCCACACCCTCTTGTTTACTATCTTCAAAACAAGCCGTAGGTTTATCGTCTTTCGCCCATTGAGCAGACATCTTCTTGCTTCCACATTTACTAGCTAGAATTTCATAGTTAATAACCTAGATCTTGTATTGTCGTAGTCGGAGTCGGGGAGGGTGACGAAATACATCATGTCTAACTTGGCTTCGATAGCTTTGTGCATGGTGCGGTTCCCGCTAGCGTCCAAGCACGATTACCTAGATAGGTAAGTGTTGATCTTTTGATGATCGAATGAGTGTTGATTGTTGGGCTGCCTCATATACCCCGAAAGTGACTAATCTGCTTAGACGAGGCTGGGCCTCCATGGCCCCGCTGCCATAGAGGCCCGGCAGTTGCCGCCGTCCACGAGGTATGCCAGCGCGATAAGGGTCTGGCCTGTGCCGGCCTCGTTCGCCAGGATACAGCCATTAGTGTCCTCAGCTTCCATAGCCTTGAGCCAGGCGACATCGAGTACTTGATGGGGCTTGAGCTTGCGGAGACGGTGCCCGTCAGGGCCGTTGGGGACCATTGGGTTCGCCGGGTCGACGCCGAGCGTCGCACAGGCTCCGCTGCAGGAGAGGCTCTGCTCGACAACGTTGACGTTAAGGAGGGCCTTCTGGCGGTTGAAGAATGTAAGAGCATACTGCTCGGCCTTTTCCGCGTCCTCGGCGGTGGCACCGCTCTCTACTTCGGCATGGATGGCCGAGATCCGGGCCACCGAGTTGAATCCAGTTCGAGGGTTCTTGGTGGTCAATGGCAATGACTTTGCTTTCTTTCACCGATGGTTTGCTTGCCGGGGCTTGTCCATTGTCCTTTTTCTTTTCTGCCGGGCAGTGGAGAGATTGAGGATACACCTGCCGTCCAGCCAGCCATTGATCGCCATGGCTCGTACCTATCAAAAATCTCGCCCGCACGATCGGACCTGCCGTTTGAGATACCTACCAAGCGGTACGTCATTGCGCAAGCTGTTCGATGCCTGACTAACTTGCAACTCCAAGAATCCATCCAAGTGATCAAGCCACTTCAAAGAAGTCCACATCTTCAGCAGCAACAGGCCCACCTGTATCTCGTTCCATGCGATAGCAGCCGCTTCGACGCTCGGGTGAGCCTTCCCTCTCGTCACGCCCTACGATCCCCAGGGAGGAAACAGCGCCACTAAGTAACAAAAAGCTACAACGAGGTATTTCAACCGAGGTTCTTTTGCAGCGCCACGACGACTAACCGTCAGCACCCGAAATCAGTGTGACATGGAGCGAATGAGCCAGGATGACGTGCGGCGTCGCACTGATGGATTCGGCCCCCATCGAAGGATGCGGGAGGATTCGCACTGCCCAGCGTAGGATTCGCCCGTAGCTCGCTCGCATACTTAAGAATGAAGGGAATCCCTCGAGTTTGTCATAGGACACATGAACAACATGCGCTCGCAACTTGTCGCCGCCGCCTTGGTTCCGCAACTTCTCGGTGCCGGTGCCGGGGCCGTCTCGCTATGGGAACCCACCGGTCCCTACCACGTCGGCTACACCCAACATGTCTTTAACCACTCGACTCCGGTTGACCCAACGCCAAACCCGGGGATACTGCTTGTAACAATCTACTACCCCACGCTCCAGGCGCCCAACACCACCGCTCCCTACGTCGACGCCACCACGGCGCAGATATACGAACCGGCCTTCGGCGTCCCCAACGGCTCTCTCTCCACCGTGACAACCCAGCTCCAATACCAGGCCCCCACCCTCCTCGGCACCCACCCGGCCTTCGCCAACGGCTCGTCGCCGTACCCGACGCTCATCTTCACCCCGGGCGCGGGCGGCTTCGTCGGCATCTACAAGGCCTACCTCAGCGAGCTGGCGTCGCACGGCTTCACCGTCGTCGGCATCGACCACCCGGGCGAAGCCCTGTACACGGCCCTGCCGCCTGATGACGGCGACGACGACGACGACACGGCACCCGCCGGCGTCGCCGGCTCGCCCGCCATCATGAGCGGCGCCGCCCCCGCCGAGACGTACCGCCAGATCTACCGCTACCGCGTGTCCGACGTGCAGGCCGTCCTGGCCGCCCCAATCCTGCCCGCCCTCGTCGCCAAAACCGGCGCCCCCTTCAACACCACCCACCTGGCCGTGTGGGGCCACAGCATCGGCGGCGCCGGGGCCGCCGGCGTCATCATCGCCGCGCAGGAGCAGCAGCAGCAGGCCGCCGACAACCAGACCGCGTCCAACAACAAGGACAACCGCATCCGCGCCGCCGCCAACCTCGACGGCACCTTCCAGCACCTGCTCGCGCTCAGCCCCAACGGCAGCGTCAGCCACCCGGACCCCTCGGCCCCGAACCCAGACCTGCGCACGCCGTTCCTGGAGCTGGCGAGCGCGCGCTTCGGCGGCCGCGAGGACGGCGGCAGCGACGCGACGTGGGCGCTGTTCAACAGCAACCAGACGAGCGCGTGGCTGCGCGACGTCTACGTCAACGGCACCGCCCATCTCGACTACTGCGACCTGCCGCTGCTGGTCGACGGGCTGGGGCTGAGGGGCAGCGCCGCCGTTGCCGCGCAGGTGGGCAGCATTGCGGGGAGGAAGGTGACGGAGGTGGTGACGGGGCTGTTGGTGAGGTTTTTTAATGAGATGGTGGGTGGTGGCGTCCCAATGGGCGGGGTGCCTGGCAGTGCGGATGAGTTTATTGACGCGACGCCCGAGGCGATTGTGCTTGCGGAGAGGAATTGAAGGGGCGCCTTTTTCTTCTTCTCTTTCCCTTTTGTGATTGCAGGTAGAAATCGATGGGTACGTACGCTCGAGTCAAAAAAGGTGGGGATAGCTCAAGGCTGATGCGCCAGCCTCGCTTTTTCGAGCAAATACGAGGTGCAGCTGCAGGTGTTTCACCTCAGCTCAAGGGCTTCGCCACAGCGCCTCACTCTTTCAAGATTCACATTCTCATCACTTGCCCCTTTGCCCCTCTTCGAATAAACAGTCCTGTTCCAACACTCAGCAGCCCCATATCCATTGTTGTTGTTTGATCTGACCGTCTGCGATTCGTCATGTTTCGTTACACACTTGGAAAAGTGCAAGTCTTTCTCTGCTATCTCATCGAGGCACTGATACGGCTTTTGGCTGCCATGATTGTGGTAAGACAACCGTCGCTGAAACAAGAGAATCATCACTCAGTAGCAATGCCTGCAGGACTGTTTTCTTCCTCAATTCAAGCACAAACGTCTCAAGCAAGACGACAAGTACTTCAGACTTGTAACCATTCACCCACCGAAATGGGACTACTTGATCCGTTGTTCGGTCAAGGAAGAGGAATTGGGCAAAGAACCCAGCTACGAGGCTCTGTCGTACACCTGGTACATCGATAGGGACACTGGAAGCCCCATTGAAGGAAGAATGCGGACAATGATATGTAACGGGAAAAAGCTCAGGGTACACCAGAATCTGTACAACGCCTTGTTACAGCTACGGAACCAAAACAGACGCTCTCCACTCTGGATTGACGCCATCTGCATTGACCAAGCAAACGACAAGAAGATGAGCGACAATGAAAAAAAGAAAAGAAAGGCCGAGAAGAGTGCACAAGTCAGAATGATGAAAACGATCTTTGGCTCTGCCAAAACAGTAGTTGTCTGGTTGGGAAGATCCAGCATCATTACCAGTGTAGCTGCAACGTGGGTACGACAGGCAATGGCATTGCCGAAGCCAGAAAAATACAAGGCCGTGGAGTTAATCCAGAGTACCGTCGAAAATCCTCACAACTACAAAGCAATGCTTGACCTCTTGAGTACCTACGGCTATAGTCTGGCGTTTTACTGGATATTTAGCCGGGGCTTTTTTGAGCGCGTATGGACGTTGCAAGAGGTGGTTCTGGCAAAAGAAATGCTATTTCTCCTGGGCGATCAAGAACTCCCCGTCCTTGAGCTGGCCAGCCAGCTTGAGACCACGGAACAAAACTACAAAAGGGCCGAATCGAATACCAAGGGCCCCGATCTGCTTGCTGGATCCTTTAGCCTGGCACTGTGCAGCCTCAAATTTGCATACGATACCCGACGAGAGTTTCTGAACGGAACACCTTGCCCTCTGGAAGACGCCATCGAGGAAATAAGAAGACGAAAAACCACAAAGGAGCATGACAAATTCTTCTCTGTTGTCTTAATATCCCCGCCAACGGGATACAAAGTAGACTATGACAGACCAATTATTGACGTCTATTGCGATTGCGCCGCCCAACTTCTTCAAGGCCCCACCGGCATTCACTTACTCTCTCTTGTTGGTCAATTGCGACACGGCTGCACAAGTAATCCCAGGTTCCCCGCCGCCTCTACCAAGAGGTTGATGAAGGATGTCAACTTGATCCCAGGACTGCCTTCTTGGGTACCAGATCTCAACACAGAAATTCGGCCAATACCCTTCCGTGACATGCTATGGCGTACCAACACCGATCCTTTCAAGTCAGACAGATCGATGGAGGCTGAATTCAGCTTTCACCGTGGCGGTCGGTCCTTGCGAGTCAAGGCGGCAATCCTTGATGTCATCGAACACATTGGAGATTGCTTGGATGTGCCGGAAATCCATGTCCCTTGGACCTTCTTAGAGCTCCCCACGCTCATGGGAAAACAATATCAACCCACGGACGAAGACACGGTTTCTGCCTTTTGGAAAACCCTGGTTTCAGGTGAGAGATCTGCCGTGAGCTGGCGTCGCAAGGACCAGGTGAGGGAACTCACAAACAAGGACTTCACCGATTGGTTTGGTGTCATGGCCGACCAGACACCTTACTATGGTCCGCATTCTGGAAGACACATACTGGCAAACAGTGATATGCAATTTAGCGACAGAGAGGCCGCAGAACTCGACAAGAAATCCGGCTTTACCTATTACTACATCGCACTCAGAGCCAAGGCCAAACGGAGAATCAACACGATTCGAAAGTTTATTGATACTTTCGACTGTGAGGAGTACCCTCTTCGTAATAAAATTGAGGAGAGGTACGAGCGAAAACGTCAACAAAAATTTCACGAAGCCAGGTATTACGTCGGTTTCGAGCCCCGGTACAGTGAATCAGCAGATCCTCCGCCTTACCAGAATGTATTCGAAACGCGATATCTGCACCGCTGTTTGTTCTTGACCAAAAAGAAATACCTAGGCACGGGGCCTTGGACGATTAAGGAGGGAGACGTTGTCATGCTTGTTGCAGGAGCGGAGCAGCCTTACGTATTCCGATCACTTCACAAGAATCCAGACACCTGGGAGCTCATCGGGGAGGCTTACTGTCATGGTTTCATGTCCGGAGAAGCTCTGCATCTACCGGATTTGAAGTTCGAGATGAGAGAGATTGTCTAAGCAATTTGTTGATCATCTTGGTGCGCACCATATCCTTGCGTGCATAGGGAGACAAAAGAGTGTGTAGGAATCTCTGGTCTTGTAAATCTAGACTATACACGAGTTCTCGGAGAATTGAAAACGAAGGTGGGGCTGATCGTAAAAGCAAAATATCAAAGATTACAAATCGAGACGGTATGGAAGAAGTAACGTGTCAGTACCCTTACAGATAGAAAAAACCAAAAGGGGACAATGAAATTTGAAACGGATGGTTACTGCATTATGTCTTCCTCTTCTTTCCTTCTGTGCTTCCGTCTGCCTTCCGCCCTCGCGGCACTCGAAAGAGCCAATAAAACGCAAACACACCCATGACGTTGAATGCTATGTAAACAAGCATGAGAATGGCATTCCTCCACCGCTGGCTGTACTCCACGCCCACCAAATCCAAATACATGTTCGTGTTCTGTAGTGGACAGAACCTGCACTTGTCCACGTCATTGGGGTTGATGATAGCGCCCCCGGAGTAGGTCTGGTACGCGGATAGATAGTCTTCGCAAGTCTTTCCCGCCGGTGGAGCCACGGAGAGGAGCTCAATTTCCGAACACTCGACAGGCGCATTGGCGATGCCAGCAGCCATCATGGCAGCCGCCAGGTAGGTCAAGGGTGACAAGCGGTACATGAAGATCCAGAAGCCCGGGAGCGCCGTTGATCTCACGAGGATTCTGGAAACTGTTAGCATGCATGAGAGGCTCGCAATGCTATTGGCCACGCTTACCCGCAGAAGATGAGCAGGAGATAGTAGAACAGCTGCGCGATCTGGACTGCAGTCCCCGCGTCCTCCATTCCTGAAATAAGCATTGTTGAGAAGGTCGAGCAGAAAACCATGTATGCCCACAAACAGAACGCCATCAGCCCCGCGCGCTCATTCTCGTCCGGCCCGGTTGCATTCCTGAACATGCCGGTCGGATAGAACCACACGGCAAATAAAGTGATGGATATAAGAGTCTGCCAGGGTAGCTCGACAAGGATGCTAGAAAGAAGGAAAACCGTGGATGAGTAGGTTTTCGATTGGCTCTCTCGCGCTTCGTACAGTGCCCTTCGCTCTTGGAACTTTGGGATGATCAGCTGTTGGATGTTGCTGAAAATGGTCAACACCAGGAATATGGCAAAGATCTGGTTCTGCAGGCCTTGGATGCTATTGGGTGAGTCCCAGAAGGAGAATCCAATGAAGAAAGCCTGTCTGCAAGATCAGCAGCGCCGTTCATCAGTGCGGAAAATGAGGGGTGACGTTACTTACCGTTCCGAAACACAGAAAACACATGGACCAAAGATACGTCGGTGTGCGCCAGAGCTCCTGGAAGCTCCGCTTGCTGACTATATACAGTTGCGATCCGAAGCTCGCAGCGTATTCACGGGACGGCGTCTGCGTCTCCGGTGCGCCCATCTCGCGGAAAGTCCGCTTCATCTTCGCGAGCTGCTGCTTCACCGCAGCCTTCTCGGCAGAGTCGTTCCACACGCCTGCCCACTCAATTGAGTTCTGCATGCTGGCCGTAACATTGAAAACCCAGTCAGCCGGATTCTCATCCCGCCCGCACGGCCTTGCCCCGTTCTTCTCGAAATAGTCGACCATGGTGCGGCAATCCTCCCCGAGCGGGCCAAAGTATATCGTCTTGCCGGGGGCTTCGAGCAAGAGCAGCTGGTCGAACATCTGGACGAGCACGGCTGAGGGCTGGTGCAAAGTGCACATGATTGCCTGCCCGCTCAATGCCAGCTTCCGGAGCAATGTGCAAATCGACCAGGCTGTCTGGCTGTCAAGACCCGACGTGGGCTCGTCGACGTGGAAGTCAGCGTCAGCAAAAGGAAGAGTCAGTTCTCTTACCTACCTAAGAAAAGAAGAAACTCGGGTTTTGCCACCATCTCAATAGCGATGGTAAGACGCTTCCGCTGTTCCACATTGAGACCTGGCGCAACATGTCAGCAACGACACAACAACAGCCGGCAAGCCGACCAGCGCAACGTGAGTGAGCATCAACCCACCCTCTCCCGGCACGCCCACAACAGCCTCAGCGTACGCCTCCATCTCCAGCACCCCAATCACCTCCTCCACATACGCCAGCTTCTCCCGCTCCGGCGCCTCCGCCGGCTGTCTCAGCAGCGCGCTGAACCTCAGCGCTTCCCGCACCGTCGCCGTGCGCAGATGCAGATCCGCCTGCTGCACGTAGCCCGTCTTCCGCTGGAAGCTGCCGTCGCGCGCGCGCCCGTCCACCATGATGACCTCGCCGGACTGATCGACGCCGGCCGTCGCGCGCCCCGCGAGCACGTCCAGCAGCGTCGTCTTGCCCGCGCCCGTCACGCCCATCAGCGCCGTCAGCGTGCCCGGCCGCACCCAGCCGTCGACCGCGCTGAGGAGCCGCTTCGGGCCCTTGTCCGTCCGGATGTCGTAGTTGACGCCGTCCCAGTGGATGACGGCGCGGCCCCCTTGGTTGTGGGGTCGGAACGGCGTCGACGGCCGGGCAGTGTCTTGCTGCGGCTGCTGCTGGTTCGGCTGCGTGTTGCCTTTGGGCAGTTGGGTGGACGCGTGCACGCTTGCAGTAGGGGTGGTGGCTGCCTCGTCCTCCTCGTCGGCCGGAGTACTGCTGCTGAGCTGCGGGCCCAGGCCGCGGCGGAAAAGCAAGACTTCGCCTTTCGAGCGCTCGGCTTGGATGAACTCGGAGGCCAGCAGATGCGCGCAGCAGAAAAAGCAGCCTATTCCAATCACGATACCCAAGTTCCTGTCCGTCCGTCAGCGATTGGGTTTGAGTCCTGATGTTAGTTTCCTTTCCACACAAACGGAGCGCATACCTCCACAGGCGTGAGTGATGGTAGGAAAAACTCAATCCGATGTACGTGTCCCCGTCTACAAAGTCTTGTCCCGTCACCGCACCAACTGCAGAGCACACCTTCTCCGTAGGACCAGCATTGGTGTACAAAGGGCCTTGCGGGACGAAGGTCGCACACGTAAAATTTCGATCATGAAACTACAGTGACAACTTCAGTACGCATTTTTCAGCTTCTTCAGGTTGATACGTGGCGACCTACCTCGTTTACCATCAAAGACTCGAAGGCGTAGCTCATAGGGTCGATGTACCTAATCCATTGCAGCCAGGGATGCATGTAGGGAATCGAAACGACAAAGCCGGTGTAGATGATATAATTTACCAAAAAAATGGCAACGGGAGCCATCGTCTGCGCCATTGTGCGGGACATCGACCCAACCATACGGAAGAACATGGACATGACAATAAGGCAGGTGAATGTAAAGAGGTAGAAAGTAAAGAATGCAGTACGAGTCCGACGAAGATTAGTCATAAAGTAGAGGGTCAGATTGAATAGCAAGGACGTGATAATCTTCGCCGGTAGATCAGCGAGCATGGACGCTACTGATTCAACAAACGGATGGTAAAAGGCGTATCTGCTGTGCTTTTCCACGATTGGCCGTTGGGCCCACATGGTGAGGACCTGTTCGCTACTTTGTCAGCGAATGTCCAGCGAGGGAACACACGACAGCCCGAGTGGTCCATGTCACTTTCCAAGGCGGCATGCAGATGACTTGCCTCGAATGAGCTCATGAAGGCGTTGAGCAAGACGGCAAAGAAGATCAGTACTCCGCGGCTGTAGAAACTATTCGTCGTTTCATCAAGGTCGTAGAAGATGCTTCCGACAATGATGGCCATGACCACGTTCCCGAGAATGGCCGAAAGCGGCGGACCCCAGTTGTTGCGTAGTCTCTGGAAAGCTCGACGGATGCACAGCCGCATCTGGTCGGAAGTGGAAATGGAGTAAGGCGAGCTTCGACTCCTTCACGCAAAAGCATCAGCCTCGAAGAAGCACGGAGAAGGAAAACAGGTGGCGTCACCACATACAGCGAAGGGGCTTTTTCGGCCGCACGCGCACGGCGGAAAAGACCCATGTGCGGGCCGCGGAGAGGAAAGTCACGCTCGAACTCGGCGATGCTGTCGAGCAGGCGGGCACGGTGTTCACTGCTCAGCCACGCCTGCCTGAAGTCCTCGCCGGTCCGTGGAGCGCGCAGCTCGCAGCCCTCGCGCACGAGGGCCTTCGCTTCGGCGGGGTGCGTGAGCGCGGTCAGGAAATCGGCCGTCGTGGCCTTGGGCGGGCACGCGAAGCCGAGACGCTCAAAGTATGCCCTCGCCTCGTCCGCGCTGCCGAAGAAGATCTGGAGCCCGTCGTACAGCACGGTCACTTTGTCGAAGGAGTCGTATATGGCTTGCGACGCCTGGTACACGGCCATTATAGCGGCGGCTCCGGCCGTGCGCGTGTAGAGCCGCAGCGTCTGCACGACGCCGTACGCGGTGGCGCTGTCTAGCCCGCGCGTGGCGTTGTCCCAGCACTGCAGCGGGCTCCATCCCGCAAGGGCTTCTGCGATGCTGACCCGTTTGCGCTCGCCGCCGCTGACGCCGCGGATGAGCTCGTTGCCCAGTTTGGTGTCGACGGCGGACTGGAGGTTGAGAAGCGCAACGAGCACGTCTCGCACGTGTTGAGCCGACACGCCCTGGAGCGGACATGCTGCTGCTCTGGCGCGCGCCGCCAGGCCGAGCGTCTCGCCGACAGTGAGTTCTGGAAAGTGGACGTCGACCTCGGCGGTGTAGGTGCACTCCCCACGGAACTCGGAATGCATGGTTTCGGGTGGGATGCCTTCGTGTAGGCCATCAGCGGAGGGTCCTCCTTCTCGACTTGTTGAGAGGGGAGAGGGGAAGGGTCATGGGTGTATAAGCCGACCTTGATAGTTGATGTGCGAGTCCGGATGCACAGAAAGGCCGTGAGTGTCTCCGGCCAGCGTCTTCAGTAGGGTCGAGCAGCCGCTCCCAGGCCGACCCAGCACCAAAAGCATCTCGCCACTCCTGACCAAACCATCGAACGAGCGTATGATGTCAACGCGGGTGGTTCTGAAGAGCCGGGCGCCGACCGCCTGCAGCAAAGCTAGCGGATAGTTGCCGAACGTTTGCTGGTAGTCAGTGGACGAACGAAAGCCATGGACGGTCAGATTGCGGACCGACACCCCGAGGGACTTGGGGATGGAGCCGGCCCTGGATGCTGCTGCGGCATTGAACCAGGCGGCTGGCGAAAAGCCGGGCGAAAGCGGGTCAATGGCGTCGGGTACGGCCATGGCGTCGACTGAGTGGTGGCCACACCGGACACATGGAGAAAGGGTACAGTTATGGGAATGAGAGGAAGAGGCACAGCTCCAGGCACCACTTGGCAAGCGAATCACCATGCACTAGTTCTATTCACATTCTACATATGGAATTTACTTGGCCCCCAAGAAAAGCAAGAACCAGGGGTCCCTGGAGTGCTACCTACAACTCGCATGCAGGGCGCCTCCGGATGCGGTAGGGTACCCGCCCCACTGGCTTCTGCGAGCCGAAACCGTAGGTGTGCCAATCGTTCTGCAGCGCCTTATCCGCCGCTAGTATCTCAATGTCAAAATCGCGGGCCAGCAGCGCGCACATCAGTAGCATTTGGCGCTTCGCAAAATGGCGGCCCGGACAGGTCAGGGCGCCGCCGCCGAATGGGATCCACGAGCCGGCCATGGAGGCGTCCAGCTGGAATACCGGGGTGCCGGGGTGGCCGGCTGCCTTGCAATTGGGCGCAGTCGGAGGGCGAACCTTTTTCTTGGGCCCGCTGAAGGGGTCGCCCGGGTAGACGAGGAAGCGGTCGGGCCAGAACGAGTCGAGCGGGTGCTCGCCGTGGCGGCCTGCGTTCCAGGCGTTGGGGTCCAGGTGGGCGGGCGACGACGACAGCAGGATGACGCTGTCGGGCGGGATGGTCCAGTCGCCCAGCGGCACGGGGGCGGTGCCTGTGCTGCGACTGTTGTAGATGTGCACGTGCAGGCGCAGCGTCTCGGCGAAGATGGACTGCAGCAGCGGCTGCTCCACTAGTCGGTCGACGTCGAAGCCCACGGGCGACGCAGCGCTGGCGCAGGCAGCCGCCTCGGCGCGCACGCGGGCGAGCAGGGCGGGGCTGCGGAATATCTCGGCGGCGGCCCAGAAGGCGGCCAGGATGACATTGTGATTGAACCTGTTTCCGCATGCGGCTTAGCGTGGGCTGGGCGGGACGGGACGTAACGGGACGGAACGGCGGGAGCTAGGGCAGATCAGAGCCGACCAATGGTGTGCTCCGTATACGAATATAGTAATACTCACCCCCAGATGGCGGCAAAGTCCTCGGCCGCAACCGCGCGCTCGTCAAAGTCGTCGACGGCCAGCAGGACCTCCTGGCGCCGGCGGAAGAAGCGACAGCCCCAGTATGGATCGGCGTCGCCGTCGGCCGCCACGTCCTCGGGCCGGAACCGCTCGCGCGCGTACTCGTGCCAACGCCGCACGCTCTCCACCAGGGAGTCGCGTACCGCGTACGCCCGCGGGGCGAACAGGCGCGGCAGCTGCTTCGACAAGCTCGACATGCCGTTGCTATACTCCCAGAAGCGCCGCGTGAAGTCCGGGTCGAGCGCCAGCAACACCGGCCCGCAGATGGCCTCGAGCGCGACGCCGGTGAAGTCGAGGGTGAAGAGCTCGAGGAAGTTGTCCATGGCCACCCACGCGCCGCCTACCTCCAGCTCGCGCACACGCTTGGCCAGCCCGCGCTCGAACCGCCCCACCAGCGGGCCCAGCCCCGGCCCGGTCAGGAACTCGGCGAACAACCGATGGTTGCCGTACGCGATGCGGTTGTTGTGCGCCGTCCGGCTCTGCGCCTGCGGCTTGTGTGCCGTTCCAGAGTCGTCGAGCAAGTAGCGCCGGCTCGCTCTGGCGCTCATGCCGAAGAGGTAGCGCAGCGCATAGTAGAAGGTGCCGTTGGCCGAAGTGATGGACTTCTCCTTCCAGAGCTGCTTGACGTTCTCCTGCCCCTGCACGAGGAACACACTGCGGAAGCCCAGCCTGAGCTGCACTGGATTCTGCTGCTGGCTGCCCGGTTCGCTGTTTCTGCGCTGAGTCAGAAGGAAAGGTACCACCTAGGGGCTAGATGCACGCCATACACGGTTGCTTCTATGAACTTGACCGGGTTCCAGACGAATGCCAGAACGTTTCCGAGGAGAGGCAAGGTAGTGGGAACGGTTGGTGGTATCTTCCCCGGCCTCTTGCTCCGTAGAGTGTGTCTGAAGATGACGAAGCAAACAAGATAATGCAGCTGAAAGGGTATGGAAATGAGAAAGACAGAAACGAGCAGCTCCCGCACCGTCGGCATCTCGAAATCCATCTTTGATGTTGTAGCTGCTTGGACACCTCTGTGGCCCTTCCGCCGTTGCTATATGTATTGTCCAAAAAGCGGCGCCCCTGCGATAAAGATAGCCCCCAAACATGCAGCTGCGCCTCGTTGTCTTGTTAGACTTTCGAACTCCACCAGCGCCTCTTCAGAAACCGAGTCTGATTCACTTCCGAATGCTTGGCCCATCGGGCCATCATGCGATGCCAACTGCTCGATATCTACCCTGTAGCTGACATTGAAGGCAGGTGCATCGGCACACTTACCGAGGCTGCTCTAGGATACTCATCCTACGGCTTCGACTATGTGCCAAGGACCTATCAGCTGCCAAAAATAGTGGGCACTGATAGGCACAGCCAGCCCTCGTTCTAGAGCCCTGCTATTTGTCGTCCGAATCATCAACCACAAACTTGGGTTGTAGGCAGCCACTGTCTATCTATTATACCAGAGAGGGTATTAGGGCGCGGGCAAGAGCTACATGCATACAAGGCCCACGACACATCTCGGCCCCCATCTGCAAGGCAGTACAGGGAACACGCGCACTCAATAAAAGCTGCATAGTGCATACTACCTCACGACTTGCGTGATCGGGCCGTCGTATGGGATGGGGCGGGGCAAAGTTAAAGCCGAATCCAGCTCTGGGATGCCCGCCGTACACAGCCGGTAGAAGACTTGTCTTCAAGCTTGGTGCTTCTCCGATTTTACTCACAGTACTGTACAATGGCCGCCACCCAGGCGCTCACGGGCGCTGCCAAACAACATGCAATCGATACGTCGGGCCCAATCCATAAACAGCACTGGCTCGTAAGTATCTCCCCCGCTTGAACGCACGAAGAGAGGCTCACTGAGTAGGTGGCTATCTGGGTCATGTGCAGCCTCGCGCTCCTCACAGTCGGGGCGCGCATCGCCATGCGCTTCATCACCCGCCGAAAGCTCTTCCTGGATGACTACTTCCTGCTCATGGCGATTCCATGCGTCGTCGTGGCCACAAGTGTGCTCCAATGGGGCGCCGAAGGCCTGTTTGCGTACAAGGCACTGATGTCCAACGCAGCCATTGTGCTAGACGCCAACGACCTGGAAAAGCTGGTGCGGGTCAGCATTGTCACGAGCATTTTCGTCGACACCAGTTGGACTGCGATATTCTGCGTCAAGTTCTCGTTCCTGGCTCTCTTCCGCGTGCTGATCAAGAACGTGTCGACGCACCTGTCGCGGTACTTCTGGTGCGTCGTCGTCATCACGGCCGTTACCTGGGCATTCCTCGTGGCGGAAACGTTTATCTTATGTGCGCACTTTGGATGGGAAAGCTGTAAGCAAGTTCGCGTCTCCCGCTTTTCAGATCAAGGCCAACGCGTTTTAGTGAAATGCTCGGGGACGGGCTCCAGGCTATACACGCCGCTGACTGTAGTCGTCACCGTGCTTGACATCGTTACGGACGTACTGGGTGAGCATCCTAATTTTCTCATCAAAAATGCCCGACTGACGCCCGCAGTTGTCACTTTCCTAGTCGTCATCCTGCGGAGGGCGCGAATGGACCGGGCGCAGAAGCTGGGGCTGGGAGCGTTTCTCTCCCTGTCCATCGTGATGATTCTGTTCGCCATGATCCGCGTGCTGGGAGCCATTCGACCGGGCGAGGCGCAGCTCGATGTAACGTGGGAGTTGTTCTGGCAGCTGATGGAGGCTTGCACGGCCATGATGGCGGCTTCGGCTACAGTCTTCCGCACCATTTTCCTGCGCCGCAGCCCATCCCCCGGGCATGCCCCACTGGAGTCGGCATCAGACGGGAACTCAGCTGCGCCACGCCTGCCGCCGCTCCCTGCCGCGAAGCCGATGATGACGGAAATAAGGTCGTTCATCCAGCGCGAGAATATGGACGACATTCAGCTTATTCGGTAATGACAATGCACACAGCACGGGCATCTGGGCATAGCAGAGCGTATCTAAATAAAACTTCATCCCTGACTCGTATCTATCGCTTTGTTGTGAATGATCACCGCGCGGAGAGGGATGACCCGAGTGGATATCACCCCGCGGCGCAGTTCCAATGAACGTACCACCTGGCGGGCTGATTCGGCATGTCGACCCACTCATGCAAAGTCAATTTGGTGACGATTGTTCCCAATATGGCGGACCGCTTAGCGCCTCGCTATCAAAATATGCACTGTGTGTGATAGGCTGCAGTGATCCCTGCTGTGCCGCACCATTCCGCTGCGCCGCTTGGAGCCCCAGCTGCAGGTCTCAGCTGCCTAAACCCACTTCCGTTGCCGGTTCACGCCTGTCCAGGCTGTCGGGTAGGCTCTGTGTCTCATTTCCGCACTTTGGCCATAGTTTTTCTTTCCTCCAGCCTGCCTGTTGAAGCCAACATCCGCCGCTGCTCTCATCTCCCGCAGCCATGAGTGGACCTGGTATCGCTGTTTCTGCCTCTGGCATCTCAACGTATTTGCTGGTCGCCCTTGCAGGCGCACTGTTCTACGTTGGCACCAAAGCATACCGCTCGCGCAAAGTCATCAATGATCTGCGCAAACAAGGACTGGTTGGTCACCATTCCGTCCACTGATGTCGCTCTGCTGACTTGTCCAGCCAATGCCGCCGTTTAGCTGGATTGCAGGCCATATGCTGGTGATCAAGAAGTGCCTCGAAGATTTGCCTGTTGACGCTGTCTTCAACTACACCGCTCGCCGTCTTTCTCTCGATTTCCCCAAACACCACATGTTCTACCTCGACTTCTGGCTAATCAGCACCCCGTTCCTTATTGTCGCCAATCCTTATGCCGCCTCACAGATCACCCAGTAGCTTGGTGTTCGCAAGCCGGATGCTGTGGAAAGTGCATTCCAGTCACTGGCCGGAGGCCCCAACTTGATAACCATGCCCAATGGTCCATGGAAGAAGTGGCGGTCCATTTTCAGTCCTGGATTCAGTCCGGCCTACATGCTGGAACAGGTGCCCAAGATTGTCGACAAGGCCGAGGTATTTTGCCAACTTCTGCGCGAGAAGGCCGGCCAGGACACAATGTTTCAGCTGGAGGAGGCTACATTCCGCCTGACTATTGACATCATCGGTCTCATCTCGCTGTGCGTCATCCCTTTCTGGTGGCTCTGCTTCATGGATTTCCCGCTGACATGGGCTGCAGAGACTCAAGCTTCCACTATCAAACATCCGATTCGGAATTCCCCGCCACTCTCCGCTCACTTATCGAATGGGCCACCTTCGGGGACGAAATCAACCCACTGAAGCGGTGGAATCCATACCGGCCGTTTATAACCTGGTACTACGGCCGCCGGCTCGACGCATTCATCCACGCCGAGCTCGAAAAGCGGTTCGCCGAGCGCCGGCAGTTCCTCCAGCCCGAGAAGCAAAAGGACCGCAAGGTCCGCTCCATCGTGTCCCTCGCGCTCGACAGCTACATGGCGGAGCACCCGTCGGCCGAATCCGCCTCGCTCGACCCGACCTTCCGCACCTACGCCACGGCGCAGCTCCGCCTCTTCCTCGTCGCCGGCCACGACACCACCTCCAGCGCCATGACCTACACCTTCCACCTCCTCCACACGCACCCCGCCTTCCTCGCCCGCGTCCGCGCCGAGCACGACCAAGTCTTCGGCCCCGACCCCACCGCCGCCGCCGCCCGCCTCCGCCGCGACCCCGCCCTCCTCAACCAGCTCCCGCTCACGCTCGCGGCGATCAAAGAGGCCCTGCGGCTCTTCCCGCCCGCCGGCGGCATCCGCATGGGCGCGCCGGGCATCGAGCTGACGAGCGACGTGGACGGCACGCGCTTCCCCACGGCGGGCTGCAGCGTGTGGGTGGTGCACGAGGCGGTGCACCGCAACCCGGCGCTGTGGCCGCGCCCCGACGAGTTCCTGCCCGACCGCTGGCTCGTCGAGCCCGGGCACGAGCTGCATCCCGGCTGCAAGGGCGCGTGGCGCCCGTTTGAGATCGGCCCGCGCAACTGCATCGGCCAGACCCTGGCGCTGACTGAGATCAAGACCGTCTTGGCTGTCGCGCTGAGGAGCTTCGATCTCGCGCCCGCGTATGGCGAGTGGGATGCGCTTCATCCGGGGAAGGGGGTCAAGCTGGCCATGGGCGAGCGCGCGTATCAGGTCTCGGGTGGCGGCGGGGGGCAGCACCCGGCTGAGAGGTATCCGTGCCGGGTTTCGGTGAGGGGATGAGGAGCAGACTGTTTGACACTGGTTGCTGTACTTTCGGCTGACAAATACCCTGTCGGGTGAGCATGGTGGGAGGAAAAGAACAGACTTCAGGCGGGATTGGTCATTTCGTGGAGGATCCCCCTGTGTCGTAGACGTTCATGTTGTTGATCTTCCTGCTTGCTGTCACACTCCTGTTCCCATGTTCTCACTCGAGAGTCTTCGTAAATAAACGGCGTGTGCTTGGACGACTGAAAAAGACATATCGCCATCAATGAAGGTGTGTACATTGCTCGCTGATGGAGGAGGTAGAAGTGAGTCGTGTCATTGTGGCCAGTGTATTCATGTAAAGAAAACGAGACCACAAAACAGAGTGCAATGGATAAAGCACAGTGCCGACCATGATTCGTTATCAGCGTGCTAGACGGCCGGAAGCTAAAAATAGAAAATACCCAAGTACCAGGGGGCTTGTGACGGTGACCGGGGCTTATCACGCTGCGAGTGCGGCCCCCCGCTGCACGTCTCCGCCAACCTCACCCCACCCACCACCAACGCAGGGCCACGCTCGATGGAGCCGACGTCGGTCATCTCAGTCGCGGGAGCGTGCTTGACGGTAGTGCTGCGCACGTCGCGCGAGATCAACGAGCTGGTGGCCAAGGCGCGGCGGATCGACCACACAGTGACGCTGATCCTGGCCCGGCTGGGCTCTATCCAGGCCACTGTGTCGCAGCTGCAGTCTTGGATGCAGGCCGAGGGCAGCGACGTATCGCCGCAGGTGGCCGCCGACCTGCACACGGCCATCGGCGCCTGCCAGCTCGTCGTGCGCGAGATCCTACGCCATGTCCAGCGCGTCAAGGCGGGCTGGCTCGGCGGCCGCGTGCGCCATCTCTGGGACGAGGGCCAGTACCTGATGTACCAGCAGAGTCTCGACAGCCAGACTGCTGCACTGGCCATCTTCCTCAACGTCATCCTGCTGTAAGCCGCCCCTCCGCACTCGGCTGATGGCCCACTGACGCCTCTCGGCAGCAAGTCGAGCACCCGCCAGCGCATCCTTCTGGAGAGCATCGAGAGCCAGCGCACTCTGAGAGATGCACAAGACCGGGCGTCCATCTACTCTGCGGCCGAGCATGAGGCAGACGAGCACGGCGAAGTGCCCAAGCCCATGGACCACGAGCGCCGGCCAGGCAGCATGCAATCCGAGACCAACGACGGCTCCGAAAGCACCACGGCCACCATCTCCACCAACTCAACCAGCTCCTCTGCCGGCTTCGACGCCGAAACCAAGAAGTCACGGCGCTGGCTGGGCCTCCGCCGGCACGCCTCACCATCATCGACCAAGCAGCAGCTGTGCGAGGCCGCACTCGTGGGCGACGCCGCCCTGATCGCACGCCTCTGCGACGAAGGCGCCGACGTCAACGTCAGGCACTCCAAATGGTCCAGCACCAACAGCAGCAGCACCACGCTGGCGTCGCTCGACTCTTTCGAAAAGCCCAAGCCGACAAGCCCCGGAAGCCTGACCAGATATCTCTCCTGGCCGACGCGAGCAGCCGCCGTCCAGACGTCTCCTCTGCACATCGCCGCCGAGATGGGCCATCTGGACGTCATCAACACGCTCATCACCCGCGGCGCGAACCCGAACCTCACGTCGGGCGACGCGGGCCGCACGCCGCTCCACGTGGCCGACGAAGACGCAGTGCCGCTGCTCCTCTCGCTGGGCGCGCAGCCACTGATCAGAGACCAAAAGGGCCAGCTCCCGCTCCACGATGCCGCCGCCAACGGCCACCTAAAAGCCATACAACTATACATCCAACACCACCACCAACACAACAACAACAACAACAACAACAACATCCTCGACGCCCCCGACAAGCGCCAGCAAACCCCCCTCCACCACGCCAGCCGCCACGGCCGCGCCGCCGCCGCCGCCGCCCTCCTCGCCGCGGGCGCCTACCGCAACGCCGCCGACGCCGACGGCCAGCGCCCGCTGCACCTCGCCGCCCGGCACGGCCACGCCGGCGTCGTCCGCGCGCTGCTGGCTGCTGCCGCCGACACGGCCGCCGTCGCCTCGCGCGACCGCTGGACGCCGCTGCACGCCGCCGCCAGCGCCGGCCACGTCGCCGTCGTCGACGCCCTCCTGCAGCTCGCGGGCGCCGACATCGTCAGCACCATCATCAACACCCCCGACGCCCGCGGCCGCACCCCGCTGCACCTCGCCGTGCTGGCTGCGCACCGCGACGTCGCCGCCGCGCTGATCCGACATGCCGCAGAGACGACGACGACGTCGGTCTCCTCCAAATCCAACCCCATCGTCGACACCCCGACCGCCGACCGCCGCGGCGAGCGGCCCCTCCACCTCGCGGCGCGCAGCCCCCGCGCCGACGACGCCGTCGCATTCGTGCGGCTACTACTCGACAGCGGCGCCGCCGTGGTCTGCAACGACGAAACCGACGAAAACGAAAACGACGACGGCGGCGGGGGCAGGGGCAGGGGCGCGCTGGTCGACCGTGCGGGGCGGTCGCCGCTGACGGTGGCGTGCGGGCGGCCGGCCGAGGCGCTGGACGTGGTCAAGGTGCTGCTGGCGGCGGGGGTGGCGGTGCGGCACGTCGACTACCGGGCGCTGTGGCGGAACGAGCGGCTGCGGGCGTGGGAGAAGACGGCGGTGCATGCGGCGCTGAACGAGGTGGCGGGGGAGGAGCTGAGGAGGGATGAGGTGGAGTGGGCGATTGTGGCGGTTTGACTTTTGAGTTCGATCGGGGTGGGTGGGTGTGGGTTAAGTACGGATGATGTGGATGTATGTGGTAGTTGGGGGGAGGGGGAGAGGAGGTGGTGGTACCTGCTGGGGAGATGGATGGCGGTTGGATGTCTGTCTGTCTGTCTCTGTCTGTCGGCTGTGCTCATGCGAGAATATGGGCCAGCCTGATCGAACCGCACGAAACCCATTGCGCCAGCCTCGACGCCGCAACGCCGCCGCAGCCATCATGTTATTCATGCCGCAGAGCGCGAGCGGCTGGCCACCGTCCATCTTCTCGCCCGGTAACAGCACGGGCTTCGCGAAGCGCTCCGTTGAGAACTAACGGCTTCGGCGCCGCTTTTGGCCTGGCACTCGTGCTTCCAGCGGACAACAGATATATGACGACACAAGACGGAATGAGACAAGCGATTGCTTGGTGCCGACGACTTCAACGCGCCCAGTATAAGAGAAACATGAAGAGGGAGGAAGAAAAAGTATCGGGGACAATGATCTGGTTGCGGGGTGCAGACAATGCACGAGATACATGCATGCGTTGTAGAGGGCGGCTGCCGGGTCGGAGTGGTACTCCGGAGAGATGCTGGCTGCTCCAAAAAAAAGAAACCCCCCTGAATAAATAAGCACACGACATATGCACTGCACTGCCGTTATTGGTACATATATCTGCGGGTTTTTATCATGGGCATCTCGCAGTAATGATTTGCTTGTCAAGTTGTTTGTTTTCTTCTTCTCTTTTCTTTCGCAGCTCTCAATCGTCTTCGAAAGGCAGGCATGCTCATCATCGGAGAAGGAAATGGCGAGAACGAAGGCCCGCACATGTATAAAATGTAGCAGTTGCCTTTTTTTATCCCCTGCGGGGACGCAGGCAGATAGTCTGACTTGCTCTCTCATACATATGAAATCTCTCCTTCCGTGTTCTGCACTCTTCGAGAGTTACAAGCTCACGACGCGTGTTTAATCGCGACATGGCGTAAAATCAGACCTTGCTGGGCGCCATGGCTTTTGTTGTCGCTCCGGAAGAAACGGGATGCGGTGTCGACGGCTACGGCTGCTGCTCGTGTGTTCCTATGGCCTCGAACATCTTAATCCTCTGTAGTGCTGTGAGGACTCCAACATATGATGCCCGGAATGCGTCAGTAAAAGGATAGAGGGGGAGAGAGAGAGAGAGAGAGAGAGGGATAGAGACGTCGGCCGAATTCTGCGAAGCAGTAGTACGCAGTTACACGAACCTTCTATAGGTGCCATGCGAACGGAAGCGCACGCTGCGTGTCTTAACGGCAGTCAACAAAGTGTTGCGTGGGGCCTTCCGCTTTCCCTTTCCGCTGGGTACGCCGGCGCACCTTGATGTCCCAACAACCATCAAGGTGTCCACCACACAAACTCCAGCTAGCAAGGGGAAAAAAACCAAAAACGAAGAAATCTCTCACACCTTCTACCCGTCATCGCCTGCAACCAAAACACCCGCCTTCACCTCTCATCCAGCAACCAACGACGACACCACCATGTCCCACGAAACCGTCTGGTACTCCCGCCCGCGCACCTACGGCAAGGGCTCTCGCGGCTGGTGAGTCATCCCCACATCCCGTCGCTACGACCACCACCACTGACACGTGTAGCCGCGTCACGGGCGACAAGAAAAAGTCCGGGGTGATCCGCAAGTACGGGCTCAACATGTCGCGCCAGGTGTTCCGCGAGCAGGCCGACGCGATTGGGTTCAAGAAGGTGAGTGGAGCACTCGAGTGGTGTTTTGAGGAAGGATGGAGTGGGATCATGCGTGTGCTGATGACAGTTTGTGTGGCAGTACCGGTAGATCAGGCATCATCGCTCGATGTCCTGTCAAGAGAAACGCGGCGGTCGTCTTCTGACGTTTGACTTTTTGTTTCGCTCTCTTTCTTCTTCTTTTTTTCCTGCTGGGAAGGCGGTGGGGACTCGGACGGAAGGAAGGAAGGAAGGAAGGGCGTCGTGCAATCGGCGGAACCGGCACCACCAGGGAACTCGGGTCGACGAAATGGAAGGATTGAGTGGTCAGCGTACCACCACACCGGAATGCTAGCACAAAGAGAAATATGATGCTACAGCAGTAAAGAGTGAATCGTGAACCGTGACTCGTGCCGTTTGGTCGGTCAGACGACAGACCGCAAGGGGGAAAAAAAAAACGAAAAGAGTCTGAGGAAAGTCGTGACGCAGAAGAGCATCCGCCGTTCATCTATAGTTGTACCCGTTCTCAAAATAGTTCCCATAGCAGTCGACCTCGCCCCCCCTCGCCGCCTGCCCGGCCGCCGGTGGCCGCACGACCTTGATCTCGCCATCCCAATACCCCTCGACCTCCGGATCGCTCTCTCCTCGCGCCACCGCCGCCAAGTACGCCGCTTTCCGATCCTTCCGAAATCTAGTCAACTCAGCACATACATCGACCCTCCGCCTCGCCTCGTGCTGCGCCAGGACGGGCACTGGCGCCGCCGCCGCCGCCGCGGGCAGCACAATCTTCTCGCTCATGCTGGCCAGCGGCAGCGACCGGCCGGGGTCCAGCGACGGGACGCCGCACTCCTCGTCGCCGAAGAAGGAGAAGTCGCGCTCGGCGGCGGACCAGAACGCGTCCGAGTCCGGGTCCTCGGTCGAGGACTTGGACGGGTACTGGCGCCAGGCCGAGGTGGGCTTGCGCGGCGGCGCGTCGCGGCGACGGCGGCCGCCCGGCGGCTCCATCTCCAGCACGAGCGTGCGCAGCGCGAACTGCGAGCGCGCGTACTCGCGCTCGGCGAGCTGGCGGTCGCGCCCGGGGGGCAGGGCGTACGCGCCCCGCGCCGCCAGCCGGGCGATGTGCGTCTCCTCGGCGCAGTCCTTGACGAACTGGACGAGCCGGCGCACGACGGCTGCGGGGGACTCGGTCTCGAGCGGCACGTCGGTGAGGACCAGCGTCTCCAGCCCGGGCAGCATGCCGGGGTGGAGGTGCTGCTCGTTTGACTGCCGGAACTCCAATCGCGCGCGGCGGTCTTCGAGAGCGAGGGATGAGGCTCGCCGGCGGTTGGTCTCGTGTTCGCTGTGACGCGCCCGGAGCGTGCCTGCGGGCTCGGGTGTAGACTCTCCTTCTGACAAGCTCATTTTCTCGGTTCCTTGAAGGAGCTCCGTGACGGCCTCGCTGTGGCTGGTGGGTTCGGGCGTCTCTGTTTCTGGTGGATCGACGACAATCTCTGGCTTCAGTGGTGGTGTCGGGGGCAAGTCGCCTGGTAGTTCGAACACTTGCGGCTCGGAAGCAGGCAATTCGACCGGCAGCGCCTGGTTACCTGGCAGCTCGTGCAATGCGGCGCCGTGTGTGGGAGCCTCGTGTATCTGGCTGGATCCATCGAGCTCGAGCGCTGAGGACGGCGTGTATATTCCAAGATCACCTTCCATCTCAACTCTCCCGACTGCGAGATCGGCAACCGCAGTTTCCTCGGTGACTACGGCATGATTGATGCGCAAGTACGTCAGCCGTGCGGCTGCAAACTTCTTGATGATGGGCGAGAGCTTCTCCGCGCCCGGCATGGCGAAATCTTCATGGTCTTCGGACTCCTCGAAAGATAGCAAATAGGACGGTTTTGGCTTGCGCGTCAGGCCGCTGGCGACGGTGCCTGCGTCGAACACATTTAGCCTCTTGGAGTACAGAAGCCCTGAGACTCCTTCAACGGTAATGTTGTTCTCCGAGATGTACAAGTGCGTGATGCCATCGGAATAGGCGTCGTTGATGAATGCATTACCCGCGAACTCACTAACCAGCTTGGCTCGCAGAACACTGTCAAAGTCTTCGTGGCCATAGTCATCAAAGGTAAACGGATGGCACATGGGAGACGACGGAGACGCTGGCGAACGCATCTCAGTTGACGAGGAGCCATCGGGACGCCTCGAGCTGAAGCAATTATCCAGGAGAATGCGGGCGCTCTTGTCGGTCAGCTGATTGTCGCGGACATCGAGGCTCTTGAGTCTAGTCTTCACGGCGGTGGCCAGCGCCTCGAGCTCGGCATCCTTCAGCCCCAAGGATCGCAGCTTCAAGATCCTCAGGCTGTGGCAATGCTTCAGAACGGACAGCACGTCGGCACCCTTTGCGGACTTCGTCTTGGAGAGGTCGAGGTACAGCAGGGCGGGGAAGTGCTGCAGGGCTTCGGCGAGGCCGGTGTAGGTGGCATTGGTGCAGGCGGAGGCGTCCAGGTAGCGCAGCCAGAACAAGGGGAAGTCGTACGTCATCCGCCGAAGGCTGTCGGAGAGCGACGAGAGGCGCGGGTTGCTTGGGCGGCGGAGGGTGATGAGGGCGCCGTGGTCGAAAAACGGCAGGCGGTAGACGATCAGCGATTGGAGTCGCGGCAGGTACTCGAGGATGTCGCGCAACCACTCGGCGTGGGGGCCGTCGTAGATCTCGGCATGGGCGGGTGGCAGATGGAGCGTGTGTGTCAGCTCTCGGGTGCTCAGCCGTGCCCAAGCGAGCGTCCGCCGGAATCGGACAAGGGCGACTGTCCTTTGGCGTCAGCGATGAGAGAGGGTGACGAGCGATGCGAGGGAAAACGCACCGTAGACAACATCGTTCTCGACGCCGAAGTGCGAGGCTGGGTTGCCCCAGAGCTGGCGGGTGAAGATGGCGTGCCACTGGCGACAGACGAGGGCGGCTGAGCAGAGATCCGCCGACGGTATATACCGCGCGACGACGGGCCAACAGTCCCTGGTGTTTGCCGCCTCGTACGATGGAAGCACGTCGTTCATGGCTGGAACGTGCAGCCGTGTCGTCGTACGAAAAGAGAAGAACGAGAGAACGGACGCGGCGTGCGGCGGCCAAGTAAGCTGGGCTGTCCGCTAGAAGCCGTCACCTGACCATTCCGTCGCGCACCAAGGCCAACCCAGTCCTACCTGTTCTTCCATGAGGATTCGTGGCCTGCGATACTCGCATGCAGGCCCCGTTCGAGTGGAACAATGCTGGGACGTGCGCATCACGTGCCAGCATGTGTTTCTATAAATAAACCCGCTACGTCACCAACCACTGTACTTTCATCGGTCTAGCTACATGAAGCAGGCAACGAAGCGGCGCCGGAACAAGCTAAATTACTTGTTCATCACGTGCAATCGTGTACGAAGTCCAAGCAGATTAGTCACTTTCGGGGTATATGAGGCAGCCCAGCAATCAACACTCGTTCGATCATCAAAAGATCAACACATGTCTTCTATGCGTTTGCTTCACGCCCCGACGTTGCACCCCACCTGTTTCCTTATCCTGCGGTTTTCCATCCTGTGGGGGCTTATATGCAGTTACAACAACTATTCTTTGATTACGCTCTCAGGCGGACGACCCAGCCCCGACCTATACTCGGATACAGACACCGACAGTGGCACCATCGGCTTACCAGCCCTCGCTGATGGCGAAAACTGGTAGTCCAGAGATGGCTTTTGTGTTTCATGCAGAGAGAGCTGAGGATGGGATACACTGCATGTCATGCATGTAGGCGTGGCTGAGTTATGGCCCCTCTGCAGTACCACCATGCACGGATGGTGCCTTGTTGGTTGGTTTAATCTATTTAGTCGTAGTCGCACACAAGGCAGAAACCCCTCTCATGCAGAGAAAGGCCAGCGCGTGAATGATTACAAGGGAGCCTGGACTCATGTGTGGTGATAGGTCAAAAGCGTGGTCTTTTAATAGAGCAGCTTCGCTCTAGCTACCGCCTGCATAATCCCGCTGTATATAGTGTGGAAAATGACCTTCTTCTCTGTAACTTCGTTGACAATCAACCCAAACACGCTTCGATCATCCTCCCTCGTTCCACTTGAAGACATCACCAACTATGTCTAGTCCAGACCCGAACAGCACTTGTCTTTCAGACCCACACGAGCGCAAGTTGTTCCCAACTGAGATGTCTGATCGTACTCTTGGATTGTGGAATATTGGCCGCGTTTTCGGTGTGATTGGCGGCACAATTCTTGCTCTAATCCCTCTGTTCTTCATGGGTAAGTACTCCCAAGATCGAAATATCCATGCGACTAACGATACTATTATTTGAAGTTGTGGCAATCCTGGCTATGTCACTTAGCCAAAAGCCAACCACGATCCAGCCCGGTCCTGATCTCGAGCACATTTTGATTCTTCTACCAACACTATTCCCGATCGCCTTCGCCGCAACTATGGGTCGTTTTTCCAAAACCCTCGGCCTTTACTGGGCCGAACGTGGAGTTTCACTTGGAGTTAGACACCTGCAGGAACATCTAAGAGTTAGGCGCTAATTATAGACAGACTCTTGAATGCCTAGTTGGATGTCAATCTCTATTCAGCGCGGTAGAAAGGCTTTACTTTCTAAAACGTACAGATCTCATCTCCATCTTCATCGTACTTCTGTGGCTCCTTTCGCCTGCTGGCGGCCAATCCGCTATACGACTTCTTACCAAAGAGCCTATCATTGCGACGACGACTTCTACCGTCCGATATCTACCAATCGAAGTTCAATCTCATTTATTTCTCAATGGGGCTGATGACGCTTTTACAAGCTGGGGTTTATACGTACCGCTCTTTACGATGTCTCTTTTGACGCAAAAGACTCAAAGCCAGCCGCGCGACACTCTCGGGAACGTTAAAATACCAGCATTAGATACCGCTCACCCATCCGTGGAAGGCGAAGGCTGGCAGGATGTGGATTACTCACAAGAGGTACAATACACTTCACTCCTTGGTATTCCCACCACAGGGATTCCGGCGAAAGGCGATGTGACTTTCACCATGGCCTCTCGCTATTGGGACGTCACCTGCTCGCAAAATATCTGGGTCAGCAATAAAACCGCACTACCAATCGATTTGAACCCTAACGATACTGGATGGGGAGAGACTGGTTCGTACTTTCACTTGGACGAACATTCCCACCACACGAGTGGAGCATGGATGGAGGGAAAGATGCCCATGTACTTCATGACTGGTGCTATGCAAGCGTGGAATGCCAGCTTTGCGAATTGCACATTGGAGCATATTGTGGTCGAGGCATCTACGAAATGTGAGTCCGGAGCCTGCCGCGTTACCGCCATGCGCCCCGGCAATCAGAGCGCAGGATCACCACTCATCGACCCTTTGCCGCTTTGGACTACTCTGCTCTATCTACCCGAGACCTTTATGTACCCTCGATCTAGTGATATTTGGACAACGGCCTCGCCGCTCGAACTCTGGCTGATGGATCCCACCACTGACCTGACCGTCGTAACCTCGGATTCAAGTTTGTTTTACAACATCTCTAAACTACCTACCGAGGTTCTTGCCTCTAGATTGCGAGTTGTAATAAACGCCTTCTGGCAGTCTGGAAATGCGGCCAGCTACATCGAGGGCAACCTCCCTGAGAATCTGGACAACTTCACTTCTTTATCCGCAACTTTGGGAGTGTAAGGACTATCCCTTACCCACTGCACCATGCGTATGCAGGCCCTCCGGGGGCTAAAAGAGGTACTGGAATAAACCCAATTAGAGTTTATTCTGGCATGGCAGGCTAATATATCTTCGTACCCTGACAGGGAGTCGACAACCTATCCTTTAACAGCAGCGAAGCACATGTTGTACAGCAAGCTGGCGAAAAGTACGTATGTCAGTGTGTATGGGCGGCGCTACTTTCTGGTACTTCTGCATTGTTGTTCTTAGTCGCGTGTTCAACTATGATCCTGCAGTTGGTCATCCTGGCACCGGATATTCTAGGCTATGTATCCAGCAGTGCGAGATATAACCGAAACGTCATCACCTCAACTGATGGGAGCTTTCTCAGTGGGCTTGAGTGGGCGTGTCGGTTTAGAGATCTCGAAGTAATTGTTGGTAACACGAGTGGAGAAGGCGAGAAGGGTCGAATTGCGATGGCGTTGAAGACTGATAATCAACCGCAGAGGCTAGCAAAGGGAACGGTTTATATGTAAGTAGATGGATCTTATCATATTCTTAATTAAGAAGAGTCTTCCGTGTCTATTCATAATTTAGAATAATAAGAGTTGCGAGATAAAATGCCTATTGTGGTGGTAGAAGACTGGTAGCCAGGAGACCTTTTTCTTTGCTGCTTGCAAAGGTAAGCCGGCTGGCCAAGGCATCCGCCTGCCGGATCGGGTTTGTTCAAGCAAGGCACACGGGTATAAAAATGGCTTTTCTTAGACAGATTTCTGAACATCAACACACTCCTCTTTGCTCCTACTTGTTCAGACCTCACTGCCGATGATTCTTACGGCCTTGTTCGTTTCATTCCACGCCTCACTACTTTAACCAATCACCCCAGGCTTCTGCTTGAACGTCCAACCCTGACTGACTAACAACCTTCTCCGAGCGCGTGACGCGGCAAATGGCTTACATCAAGCTCTAGCGTCGCGTTCCGGTGAAGCTTATTTCGACGACCATGTCTCCCCTCCCCAGTCACCCCAGATGTTAGCAGCTTGCGGCGCATGTGAAGGTGGTAGAAAAGGGGTCGTGTAGAGAGCTTAGCTGCATAATCCGGCCGCCAGACGAAGCTCACAAATCACCCGGGAGCCTATCCAAATCCGTGGGTCGCAGTGGATACGTAGTAGCCATGGCAAAGACGGCATGGCACCGGGCAACGGAGGCTCTCGCTGTGAGATTGGTCGAAGATGACCTTGACTTTCAGCCCTCATCTTGCGGATCGCTCACGGCTCACCCGAATTCAGCTGGAGGCTGGAGCAGTTTTCACTCTACGTGTTTGAAGCGCTCCGCAGCCGAGACGATCATCTGTTCTCTGATGAATCTCCTGAAGTGGGCGTCCATTTCAAGGGGAAAAGCGATTCTTTGTCAATGAGATCACGCGGTGGTACAATGCTTACTATTTCTCGAACAATGTCTACGCAGAGCCAAAAAGGCAGATTTGCAGGGCCTTTGCCGAAGGCTTTAGCAGTTATGTGCGTCACGGGATGCCAAAGGTTCCATGAATCTACAGCACTGGTCCTTACATCAGTCCCGAGGTTGTGGGGGTTTCATGGTGTGAGGGCGCTACGGGAGGAATCAGATTTGGCCAAGACCCAGGGCGGTCAGCATCGAGAGGGGTACAGCGAGTTGTGCTAGGGTCGAGGCGGCATACCCGAGGGACTTGGATCGTTTTGGCGGATGGCGTCCAAAACGGGGTCGTAAAACGGGCGGTGGCTCGATTCAACGAGTTCCACACCGTCTTCGGTGGCTCTGTCTTGACGGTGATACTCTTTCGATGGCTTAATTAGCCAGCGGAGAAACCCGAAAGGGAGAAGCTAGCTTACTCTGTGTTTTTGATCGTATCGCTTGCCTCATTCGCCAGATGAAGAGTTTTTCTTGGTCGTCAGGAGGGATGGTGGGCACACCCTCCCCAACCAGTCGCGCACCCAGCCTTTTGAAGACGAGCTGTTGGACGCCGAGCGGTACATGGTCCCATGTCGTAATCTCCTTCTTTTCCCTCCCGGCCCAGTATGCCTCGCTGTGCGAGACGAGGGCATCCGCCTCTTCTCTGGAGAAGAGCTGTTTGAGTCTCAGTCACGGCCGGTTCGGGAAGCCGGGGCAAACTCACAATCAGCTTCTTCCAGGTCATCTTGTCCCAGCCCAGTTTCTCCTTCCACTTCTCGGCGGTCCACTTGTTGTGGCTCGCCATGGTGCCAGCAAGCATCCAGAGGTGGCGGAAATGCACGGCGGAAGACAAGAGGGAAGGGGAGCGGCCGTGTCGTACGATGCCACGATGCGGAACAGCACCCGGACTCTAGCGATTGGCTGGTCAGTGCGTGACGGTGCAAGCCGAGGAAGGGCCGGAAGGCAGCTGAGAGCTCGGCTGGGGCGCGCTTGCACTTGCTTGCGATGCGCCGCCTGTGGCCGAGGAAGGACCGGAGTAATTCGGCACGCTGTGACGCCACAACGCGTCTACATCATCATTCCATGGAGAGGCTTTTTGGGAAAAGACATTTCTGGCATCCCCCCACCCCCTTCCCCGCATCGGCGAATCCCGGCCGTCATCCATGGCTGCCGCAACCGAGTTCGCCCCGGCGCGCTTCCTGCAGCGCGTTGACGAACAGGCTGCCGCTGCAGCGCAGGGGACGACGCAGGTCCAGGAACAGGACTGGCCCGCGAAGCCTGCGCTGCTGATCCTGAACCAGCCCGTCGCCAGCCTGGACCTGCTGCAGCGCCTGTGGGCCCGCACCGGCTACCGCCTCTGCGCCGACGGCGGTGCCAACAGGCTGTATGACACTTTCGCCGGCCTCGACGACGCCGATGCCCGCAGAGTGCAGTTTGTACGTCCTTTCCCGTGAGCGTGCTTCGTCTCGGACCTGCTTCCCTCTCGACTTGTCGCCTGCGCATGTCGTCGATCCCGACGGGCTGGCACTGGCACCCGGCTAACATGCTCTCGCCTCTGCTCTCCCACACAGCTGCCGTCCATCATCCACGGCGACCTCGACTCGCTGCGCGACGACGTACGCACCTACTACGCGAGCCATGGCGTCACCATCTCGCGCGATCCAGACCAGTATTCCACCGACTTTGGCAAAGCCGTCAAGCGAATCGCCAGCGCCACCTCCATCACCACCACCACCGCCGCCGCAGAAGAAGATGGACTGGCTGCTGCCTCATCTCCTACCAGCTGCTACCGCGAGATCCTGATTCTATGCACGCTGGCCGGCCGCGTCGACCAGGGTCTCGGCCTGCTGTATGAGATGCTGCGCCTCGAGAACGCCGCCCTCTCGCCCACCCGCCTCTGGCTCTTCTCCGAGTCGAGCGTCTCGTGGATCCTGCCGCCCGGCGAGAACCGCATCGACGTCGTGCCCGCATCGCCAAACGGCAGCAGTGGCAGCAGTGGCAACAGCCACTTCACTGAGAACGTAGGGATCCTCCCCGCGTTCGGTCCTGCGACCATAACGACCACGGGCCTCGAATGGGACGTCACCGACTGGCCGACGAGCGTCGACGGCAACGTCAGCACCAGCAATCATGTCAAGCGTGGCTCCGTGACGGTCAAGACAGACGCCAAGGTCTTGTTTACGATAGAGAGGGCGGCCGAGCTACCCTGACCGGAAAGTCTCAGGCCCGATGTGCGTGCTAGTAGAATTGCTTGTTGAATCTTAGGAGGTTGATCTGTCTGATGATGTTCCTTGGCAAGTTAATATAGATAGATGTATACATAGATTCTGAGATACTGCACCTGCATGTCAAAAGGCGTTAGGGCTTGTGTCACGCATGGTCATAACATCAGACTATTGCACGGGCACAAGAGGGTGTCTGGATGGCTGTCGCGATTGCACAAAATCCGAAACTTTTTAGTTTGATACCGTCATCTGTCTTGGTGTTGAACCGTAGTCATACCAATCCCTTGCCCTTTTGTGTGCATCCATGCTTCCCAAACGCCTATCAATGCGATCATACTGTTTTACTGCTCCGACATGACTTACTGGCCCTTGGCATAATCCTCCAGGTACTGCGCCAGCTTCTGGGCGCCCTCGGGGGCCACAGCGTTATCTGCGAGGAGCATGGTCAGCAAACATGATATCAACACGGTATGACGGGGCAAGACCCACAGTTGCTAGCCCTGATGCCACCAACGCTCCTGTGGCCCTTGAGGCCGGTCAGCCCCCTCTTCTCGGCGCCGGCCAGGAACTCCTTCTCCTTGGCGTCGTCGCCGCCGTACACCCTGAAGCACAGGTTCATCCTGCTCCTGACGCTCTTATCGGGCACAACCCGGTACACGTCCGGGTGCTTGTCCAGCACGCCGTACAGCAGCTCGGCCTTCTTGTTGGCGACCTCCTCCTGGCCGGCAATCTTGCGCTCACCGAACGCCTGAACCAGGCCCTGCATGACCTGGCCGGCGACCCAGACGTCGAAGATGGGCAGCGTGTTGTAGAGCGAGTTATTCTTGGCGATGGTCGGCCAGTCGAAGACGATGGGGGCGATGGGCAGGCCGAGCTGGCGCAGCAGCTCGGGCGAGGCGCGCGTCGACAGCAGGCTCTTCTTGACGATGACGATGGTCACGCCGGCGTTGCCAATGTTCTTCTGCGCGCCGCCGAAGATGACGCCGTACTTGCGCACGTCGATCCGGCGGCTGATGAAGTTGGACGACATGTCGGCGACCACGGGCGGCGCGTCGTCGCCCTCGAGCGCGGCGGGGAAGCCCGCCGGCATCTCGACGCCGTCCACCGTCTCGTTGTCGCAGTAGTAGACGTACGCCGGCCGCCTGCCGCGCGGCGTCAACGCCCACTCGGCCTCGGACGGGATGAGGCCGAACTTGCCGTCGGCGCCGGCCGCCTTGCGCGCGTCGACGGCGACGTTGACGTGCTGCGGGCCCAGCAGCCGCGCCGCCTCCTGCGACGCCTTGAGCGACCACGAGCCCGTGACGAGGTAGTCGGCGCGCAGCTCGTCGGCGACCGCGGTGCGCAGGCGCGCCAGCACCTCGTCCTCATCGCCGCCCAGCTCCGCCGCGATGGCCGCGCGCCGCCGCTCGACCCAGACGGCCACCAGGTTGTGCACCACGGCGCTGAACTCGCCGCTGCCGCCGCCCTGCAGGAACAGGATGTCGTAGTCGTCGGGGATGTCGTAGAGCTGCGTCATGGCGGCCTTGGCGTCGGCCAGGATGGCGTTGGCCTCGGGCGAGCGGTGCGAGATCTCGCAGATGCCGATGCCCTTGTCCGCGTAGTTGAGCAGCGCCGACGAGGCGCGCTCCAGCACCTGGGTGGGCAGCGGCGCGGGGCCGGCGCCGAAGTAGAAGATGTCGGAGCGGGAGGGCATGGTTGCGGCGAGTCAATTGGTCGGTTGGTGGGAGAGAGAGGAGGTGTCGGTGGTGGTTGGAAAGGCCGGCGGCGGCGGTGGTGGTGTTTTAAGCTCCAGGGCAAAACAAAATTCCAGTCATTCCTTCCCGTCGGACCACCGTCATGGCTGGTTGCATGACTCCTCTTCTCCGCCTCCGCCGGGCGGGATTGCCCCTCCCGATCTCGGAGCCATCGATCCCTCGAGACGGGCAAGGGATTTCTCGGCCCTCATCAAGCTTTCTCCCCGCGTCCGCGTCCGCATCCGCATCAACCGAGATCACTAGCAAAGTGCCGTCCTGAAACACATCGTCGTTGCGCCTTCCTTCAGATTCATCGAGCCCGTTTCCACCCAAGAGCAACTTCACCCTAGGCCCATGCGCAACTTGTGTCATAATCGCATCAAGCCACGGCCAACCTCAACAAGGCAAGCGGAAACACGACGTGTTCTACGAGTCTCAAGGCAACGTGGCCGAGTGGTTATGGCGGTAGACTCAAGATAAGCTCTTGGCTGTCCAAAGCAGTCTGCATTCTACTGGAGCAATCCGCATGGGTTCGAGTCCCATCGTTGTCAACATCTTTTTTGTGTTTTGCCGTGCCGGACGGCGGCATTGGCAGCTCGCTGTTTTGCCTAGTGGTGGGTCTTGGGGGCCGGGACAGCGTAAAAGCGAGGCGTGCCGCGTCCACTCTTCCCACTTCCCACTTCCCCATCCCGCGCCTCGGCTGCCCTGCGGGGACCCCTTTGCTCCACACCTGCGAAACCCCCGACACAATCGACGAAGAAACACGCGTCCGACCTCGTCTTCGAGTTCTGTCTCCTGACCGGCCAAGATGCAATACGCGCGAGATGCGAAACATTTATTTCCAACTCCGGTCATTTCCGCACGAGTCATCGCGCCGTTGCGGTCAGCTATAAGGGGAAAGCAACCTCCACCCGGTTTCGAAACTGCCAAGGGGAAACGATCCCAATCGTGTTGCGAATGTCGATTAGCTGCTCCCTCGTACACACGCGACGCGGGACGGTGGAATGCGGCGGAAGCTCCCGCCTCAGCCCTGGGGCGCGAAGGCGGCACCACGCACCACGACTCGTGATACGGCTTCGTCATCTGGCGATCAAGCACTGCGAAATCCCCTATAATAGCAGCTTGTGTGCCAATGCGGCTGGCCGTGCCGTCCCGGAGCGCGCTCCTCTTTGCCCACGACCAAATGCCATCGGTTCCCAGTCATGTTCTCGACCAAAGGCCCCGCGAGCTTGACGCGGAGACTATCGCGCAGGAGAGCCCCGAGAGCACATGCACAGATGGATCCACAAACATGCAATGAAACCCCCGAGACGGACCACGGCCTGCCACCCCCGATACCGGCCATTTGGAAGCCCTTGGACGACGGCAGTTCACCCAAGGCGACGGACCAGTATCTGCACCCTTGGTACGGCAATGGCAGCAGGACCGGCGCGGCCGAGACGGGGGCGGAAGCAGACCGAGAGTTCCTCACGCTTGCGCTCCCGACTCCGGACACGCTTCCAACCTTCACTGCCCGGGACTGGACGGGTGAAAGCACGCCGAGGCCGCGCACGTTTAGTCTGCGGAGCACCATCAGCCATACGAGCTGGAAGAGCTGGAACAATGACCGCCGGGTCGATTCAGCCCATCAGGGACCAAATTCCGAGAGGAGGACCTTTTCCATGCGCTCGCTGTCCCGGAGACTGTCCGTCGTCGAGACCCCCCCTCCAAAAGACCCGCCAGAAAAAGCCGCACCGCGGGAAGATGCCGACTTCCTATCGCTCCTGAAGGAATCGAGGCTCACTCCGGACGCGGCAGCGGGGACCGCCAGACGGCGCAGACCAAAAAGCATAGCGGTCCACGAAGCCGCCGGCACGTCCAACGTCTCCCTGGCCCTGTACCAACCCCACGAAGACGACTGGAAGAGACAGACAGAGCCCACCGACGGCACTGGGCTCGACGAAAAATGCCTGGCCAGCGAGCTCAACGACGACAAGATCCCCATGATACCTGAGGAGCAGCCGATTGGCAGCACACCACCCCCCCTCACAACTTCGAACCTCCACACCCTCGGCACCATCACTGCCGACTCCCTCCACCTGGCCAAAGACAAAGACCTGCCCGACCTCCCCCTGCCCGCGTACCCGCCCACCAGCGACACCGGCTCCTCCACCTTCTCCGCGACCCGCACCCGACGTCACGCCTCCAACACCAGAACCCCCCACCGCGGCTCCACCGCCGGCGCCGCCCACCACCACCGCCGCTCCCGCAGCTCCACCACCCACTTCTTCGGCCTCGTCCCACGCCGCCGCACCACCGTCACCGGCGCCAACCCCAACGCCGCCGCCACCGCCACTACCTCTACCCGCAACAACAACAACAACAACAACAACAACGAAGGCCGCCCGCCGGCCCCCTCCACCACCCCCCGCCGCGCCCCCACCATCCTCTCCCGCGTCCCCACCCTCCTCCTCTCCCGCACCTCCACCCTCCGCACCCGCCGCTCCAGCACCTTCCCACTCAACCGCCACGCCTCCACCAAAACCAGGCCAGTCAAACCCGTCCCCCTCGCCACCATCACCCGGCACTGCGGCGCGTCCGCCGCATCCGACCAGAACGACAACGGCAACCCCATCCGCGCGCAAGCCGAGCGCGTCGGCGCGTGGGTGTCGACGCAGCAAGAGCGCGGGCTCGTCGCGCAGTTCCGCGAGCAGGGGCGGCGGGACGAGTACGCGCGGGCGCGGGCGGAGGAGCGCGAGCGCCGGCGGATGCGCGAGATGGAGGAGGAGCGGGAGCGGGCGGGGTGCGCGCGGTGGCGGATACGGCGGTGGCTTGTGATGGGTGAGGAGGGGGGGGGCGAGGGCGAGCTGGGTGAGATGGGTGAGATGGGTGAGATGGGCGGGGGCGGGGGTGGGGCTGGGGCTGGTGGCGATGGGGGGATGGCGGTGGTGGATGGGATGGTGGAGTGGCCGGAGGAGGGGATTTGGGATGGGTTTGTCGATGGGGGGGAGGTGGGATCGGTGGGGGAGGAGGACGAGGAGGAGTGGTAGGTTGGTAGGTAGATTGCGTCGGCGACCCGGGCTGATTGGTCGGTACGGCAGAGCCGGGAACTGTGCGGGGAGAAACGCACGCTGCGAGACGAGCGCAAGCTTTCCGGGCTGACGTGACTTGCTCACTGATGAGCTGTGCTGGGGAACCGTACGTGGAGCTCGGAGGCTCAGCGCAAGAGGCCGTTGCGCCCACCGTGCTTCCTTCATTAGTTAGTGACTCCCTGGCAGGTTTGCCTCGTTAGGCCTAGTGCTGAGTCCAAGACGACTCGATATCAATGACTAAGCTAATAGACTTGTCCATGGGCATGCTGAAATCCCGCGTGGCTTGGAGCGAATACGTATGTGGCTGCAGTGCACGGGTGTGGCTAAGCGCTAGCTGGAGCACTGTCACGACACCACGGCTTGGACAGGAGCCTCACCACTGGCTTTAGCTGCGAAGATGGCTCGGGAAGGGGCCCTATCATGGTAGTTTCCATCACCACCCCCTCCCCTCCGTTGAACCAACAACATTGCAGTTCAGATGGAGTTATCTCGGCACGCAGGGACGCCCGGCACATGGGGAGGGAGGCTGCTTCCATTCGGAAACCGCGAGAGCTTGCGTTCTCCGCGATCGGCAGAACTACTGCGGGGGTCGCTTACGGCAAGTAGGGATCATCATCGGTCCGCCCTTGAGACGATCCTCTTGCCTACTCCAAGCCGCTGCTCATACTCCGTACCCGTTAAGCACAAGGACTGTCCCGAGTGTTTCAACGAACAAGGATCCCGGCCGAGTCGGACTGTTCAACAGCCCGAACAAGTGTACCCCGCAGATGCCCACTCGAAGAATCCGCATATGCAGTAAAAGTGCGACACGGAAGTGTAGCTATCCGGAGCGCTAGTTTCCATGTTTCAGCTTTGACTGGCCGCCTAAGGCTCGGGAAGCCAACCAACCTCCTCCTTCGCTCTGAATCGAAACCCGAGACGGTTCACGTGAGCTCTAAGGGGGCCGAGTTGTCCGAGTTATAGGACAGGATCATCAGCCAAGAGTGGATCGGCGGGTCGGAACGTCGGAACCGCAATCACTTCCGCCCCGCACTACGAAGCCAGTCAAAACAAAAGGATTTGATCGTTATACTCAGCAAACAGACTTTCTCTCTTGCTCCTTCTGCCCATCCAAAAAAAAAAAAAATAAGCTTATCGTACATACCATGGGGCTCGCGCTTTACCTTTCGATCCTGGCCTTGGGCGTGCTGATGGCCAAGTCCATCATTCAAGCCATCAGATCGCCGCTCCGCTCGATACCCGGCCCCCCGCTCGCCCGGTTCACGCGGTTATGGTATCTCAAAGAAGTCTGGACGGGAACATTTCCGTGGACGAACATTGACCTGCACCGAAAACACGGTATGTGGCGTGCGCAAGCCGACCGCTTGGTCCATCAAGCGCTGATCTACTCAGGGCCTGTCGTCCGCATCGCCCCGAACGAATACTCCATCGACGACCCCGAGGCGGTGAGGATCATCTACGGACACGGCACCGCCTTCACAAAAGGGCCGTGGTACACGGCCAGCGGCGTGCCGCACCAGGCCAACCTATTCAACGACACCAACCCGAAGTCCCATGCCGCCGAGAGGCGCAAGTTCGCGTCGCTGTACTCCATGTCGGCGTTGGTTGGCATGGAGGAGGCGGTCAACAGCTGCATCGACTACTTCAAGGACAGGCTGACGGACTTCGCGCGGTATGTATAGAGTCCATGCTTCCCTTGGCCGTGCATGGCTGATCAATGTCAGCTCCGGGGAGACGTTCGACCTGCCCTGGTGGATGCAGTGTTTCGCTTTCGACACGATCGGGGAGATGTCGGTACGTAAATGCCATGGGGCACGGGTAGCCGCTGGGTTGACAGTTGATCCTTGACAAGCTATCCAAACGTTTTGGCTTCCTCGACGCCGGCAAGGACCCTCTAAGCATCATGTCCGGCCTGGACGTCTTTCTGCTGTATTGCGCCCGCGTCGGGGTGCTCCCCGAGACACACCCCATCATCTTCAAGATCATGTCTTTGTTCGGCGCGAATCCTCTCGAAAATGTCGGCGAGTTTGCCAGAGAGCAAGTGCAAGCCTACAAGCAAAACGTCGAGGGCGAGACGTTCCTGTCAAAGGCTCTGCGAATCCACCACGAACAACCGGAGCGGCTTTCGCAGGATGACATACTGGGAATTTGCCAGATGAATCTGTTTGCTGGATCCGACACGTCGAGCATCAGCCTCACAAGCATTCTGTGGCACCTCCTGCAAAACCAAGATGCGCTGGTCAAGGTGCGTGTCCAGCCGTCCTCGCCTGAGGCTTCACTGACACATTCTCCCCCACCAGCTGCGGGCCGAGGTTGACCAAACGTATTCGCAAAACCACGTCAAGAACACCGTCACGTTCGCCGAATCGCAAAACATGCCCTACCTGCAGGCCGCCATCAAAGAAGCCTTGAGGATGCATCCCGCCACAGGCCTTCCTCTCAGCAGAGTGGTGCCGAAAGGCGGAGCAACCATATCGGGGCACTTCTTCCCGGAAGGAGTACGTGCTGCATCTCGGATTCCCCCCCCCCCCCTTCATGCGCTTGCTGAAACGAAGGCTTAGACGATCGTGGGCATCAACTCATGGGTCGCGCACAACAACAAACACGTCTTTGGCGACGACGTGGATAAATTCAGACCGGAGCGGTGGCTCGTCAGCAAAGAAGCCGAACAGATTCTGGACAGGTACTGGTTGCCGGTAAGCCGCCTCGCCAGTCCCGCAGCCAGCCGCAATCTGACCCGCTGCATAGTTTGGCCACGGATCGAGGACTTGCATCGGCAAGAACATCGCGCTCATGGAAATCTCCAAGGTGATTCCGCATCTGCTCAGGCACTTTGACCTTGCGCTGGTGCGTCCGGAGCAGGCACCCACCCTTCACAATGTCTGGTTCGTGAAGCAAACCAACATCCGCGTCACGGTCAAGGTGCGGAAACTCGACCGCGTGTGAAATCGAGGGATGTGTTGGGACACAAAGCACCTATGTGAATGCATGAATCGAGCCATCCATCCGTGGTTTGCGCCGTAACTCGGCTCCCGGAGGAAGGAAGAATGACTCATAGACTCAAGTAGAGGACACCAAGACGGTTCGTGTAGACCATGGTTGCTAGCAGTTCCGTTGGGCAATCTTGCTGGGCGTTACCAAAACTCGATCGCTCAGTCTTCGTTTGCACTAGCCGTCGTATAGGCTATATACGAAGCATCTACATAGGCTATAGAGGCAAAAATGAAAAATGAAAAGGCGCTAGTAGCGAAAGAAAACACCTTGCACCACGAGGCAGCTGTTAGTACGCCTACCTCAGGGCCGCTAGTCGGAGACCTAGCGACATCTACCGTATCCAAACGTGTGGATATACCTTACCGAGCATAGCGCACGGCATCTCAGATCTACCACTGGCCGAGACAACAATGCTAAGCCCATCCTTCCCGCCAGATCCCAAAAAGAGTGTTCGCAGGCGACAACAGACTTACGAAGCAAGGGCCCTAAGGGCTGCTAGCTGGCGTGCCGACCCTGGCGCCGTCTGCAAAAGCGAAAAGCGCCGACCCGTTTGACTGGTAGCGAAGTGTACCCGTTACGGTCGTGCTCCCTGCTCAACAAGTACAGGCTCTTTCTCTGTTGTATGGTTTCTCTGATCCGTTCGTGTATGTGGGGCTATGCGTCTGATATCATGATGACGAGGAGAACCAGTCAGCTATCCATGTGGTATAAAATGTGGCGTTCCGGCACTTTCTCTAGAGCAGCACCAGCAATCTCCAACCCACCTTTACTTCGAGACGAAGATGCGTTCCACTATCCTTCTCTTTTTCCTCGCCATCGCTGGCACCAATGCCCGCACATGCAAGAAGGGCGATGACAGGTGCGGTGTAAGTGACGATTTTTCGTAAGCTGAAGTATAATCAACTGATTATTTTGGCTCGTTAGGTCTGCGATAAAGGACGGTGCTTGGTCAGACCCCACTTTTTCACCTGGGATGTCACTTATTATGATTGTGAACCAGGCACTATAGTAAGTCTAAAGGACTATAATAATACTAAATCAAGTATTCTGAAGTAACCTTCGATGTAGTGCAAGCCACGAGACATGAGCAACATAGAAATTAGGATGAAGCAGGCGCAGGATTGGGACCTGGGCAGGTACTGTGGCGTAAAGCAGGACGCCTCGAGAGCCACGTGCGAAAAGCCGGATGAGGATCCATACGCTGAGTGGGCATCATGATCGATTCATCCTCACAACCCTTGGGGGCGCTATCCGTGGCACCTTCTATGGGGGACTAGGCCGCAGAAATGAGACCTACTTCGTCGCCATCTGTACTTGAATCTATATCATCTTTCGCAACAGCGCTCCTTCATGCTTGACCGTGAGCCCCACACGAGTGATTCTGTCTTTCTACGTGTGACGAACGCCTCCGCCCCCTTCTCCCCTCTGATCCAAAGAACCCTCCTCCCGGCCCCCACCCCCCTCCTCCTCCTCCCGCAGAACCACGACCAACTTCTTCGCCGACACGCCCCTCCTCAACCGATCCATGCCCTCCTGCACCCGCCCCAACCCCACGCCGACCACCTCCGGCTCCGGCAAGCACCTGACCCTCCCGTCCGCCAGCGCGCGCGGCAGGAACCCCTCGAAAACCGCCGGCCCCACCCGCGTCTTCCTGACGTCCGTCGCCATGACGACCCCGCACTCGACACCCTCGGGCAAAGCGTCGTCCGCCAAGCCCCCCGGCGGCGGCAGCGGTCTCACCGTGCAAACGCGCAGCAATAACCCGCCCCCGCCCCCCTCCCCATCCCCCTCACCCACGCCCCGCCTCCCCCTCCTCCCCCTTTCCCGCTCCGCCGCCGCCGCCGCCGCCACCCTCCCCGCGACATCCAAGCACGCCTCGAGCGCTCCCCCCATCCCGACCGCATCCACGACGCCCACGACCTTTCGCCGCTCCGCCGCGAGCGCGCCGACGACCGCATCCACGACGTCCGTGCGGCGGTAGTCGAAGACGGCCTCGGCGCCGAGGGAGCTCGTCGCGTAGCCGAAATTGGCCGCGGACGCGGTGGCGACGACGGCGTGGCCGGCGGCGCGGGCGAGCTGGCACGCGGCGGAGCCGACGGAGGAGGCGGCGCCCCAGACGAGGAGGACGGGCGCCGTCGTCTGCGCCGGGCCGTCGTCGTCGGCGTCGCGTCCCGGTGCTGCTGCGTTGGGGGAAGGAGGAGGGGGCGCGAGGTCGGCGGGGGGCAGGGGCAGGCCGAGGAGGTGCGGCTCGAAGAGGGCGCCGGCGGCGGTGGCGAAGGCGAGCGGGAGGACGGCGGCGAGGGTGGGGGCGAGCGAGGGCGGGAGCGGCGCGATAATGAGCGGCGGGGAGAGCTTGACGTAGGTTTGGAACGCGCCGGCGGCGGGGTCGCGGGTCGCGAAGCCGAGGGCGAGGCCGGCGACGGGCTGGCCGAGGCGGAGGGAGGGCGGGGCGTGCGGGCCGAGGGCGACGATTGTGCCGGCGACGTCGCGGCTGCGTGAAGGGGAGGGGGTGGGTCGTCAGTTCATCAGTCTGGTGGTTGGTGACTGAGGGGTTGGTTGTGGTTGTGGTTGACTTACCCTAGGATCCAAGGGTAGGGAAGGGGGATGAAGGCGGTGGATTGGACGACCCAGCTGTAGACCCTTGTCAGCAGCTCGGAGCGTCTGAAGCCCGTGACGCCGTCTCCATTACTTACTCCACGGGGTTGATGGCGACTGCGGCTGTCTTGACAATGATCTCGTCACTGATAGGCGTGGGATATGGGGCTTCCCCAATCTCGAGCGGATAAGCCTTTTCGGCTGTGAGAAAGGCAGCGGTGTTGACAGGTTTGGTCATGATGATCTCACGACGGCTCTACAAGCGACCCGAGTTGATCGATATGCCGAAATGGGTATGACTGATCAGGTGCTTGGTATACGTGGAGAGCCCAAAGGGACATGCGTAGAAATAAGACTTAAGCCGACTTACAAACGGGTCGAAGCTTTATATGTCTTCTTCTACTCCTCTCACCTTTAACATGTGTTACTTGTTTCCAATCGTAGGGCTTATGGCGTTGGTGCCGGAGATAACAGGGCTTACGGCGTTAAGTGAGCCATCGGGGACGGAGCATCCGTGGAGTAGCAGGACAGGCAGCGAGCGTCGGAAAGGCGGCCGGAAATTTAGTTAAATCCGGGACCGTTTTCTTTTCTTTCAAAAAGAAAAAAGCCCGGTAGGAGAAAGGTCGTTACCATAACATAGGGTCGTAATAAAACCTTAGGCTTGATAGTAGTCGTGCTTTACTTCCTTACAGTAACAACTCACTCTAGATTCTTCTGGTGCCGGTTGCTAACATGTCTTTATTTCGTTTCCTATCCCCTTATATTCTGTACTTGACCGTCGCCCTCTCAAGCTCGCCGATGATGCCGCCACCCGACACGGTCCACTTCTCGCTCACCAAGTTCTCGTCCACCGTCCGTCTCATCATGCCACTCTGAGCGTAGTACTCAATGATCGCTCTCGCCTCTTCCCGCGTCAAACCCTTCACCTTCAGGATCTCCACGTTGGACAAGGCCTTGAGACTACGCTCATCGATCTTTTTGTACGGGTTCCACAAAGGCAGACCGGTGGCTCCATTTTGTTTCGCTTCGATCCTCTCGATGGCGAAATCCAGGGCGTTGGACTTGGGCGAGTTGCTGCCCGACGTAGCGGCGAGCACGATCCCACCGTTCGGGAGCTTTGCCGTACCGTTGAGCAGGTTGACGAAATGGCGGACGAGGACGAGGTCGTGTGCGTGTATCGGCTTGGCCTCACGGTCGATGTATTCGCTGTTGTTCATGATGAACGAAAGGTTGTCCATGCACACCATGACGGGCGGACGGGTCAGTCCTTCGGCGGCCTTTTCCTTGTTGCTGAGCGTCGTGAGCTCCTTCCAAAACGCCCGGAGGACGGGCCAAGCGACGTCCGCGTCCCGGGCACCCAATTGCGCCAGATCCAGGAGCCTGTCTCCCTTGAGCGCTACCGGGAGCGTGTGTTCGTGCGCGAGCTTGAGGCTCCCCAAGACCTTTTCGTTGGCCTTGGCAACCTGGGCGAGCAGAGAAGCAGTGTAATTCTTCTGGGTGTATTGCGGGGGGGTCTCTCCGTCGAGAGCAGCATAGGCAGTATGGCCGATGGTCAATTCCATTGCTGTACAGCATTGCAGTCAGTTTGACCGTCGCTAGTCCTATGCACCTCTAGATACGCACCATCGGGGAAGTTGATGACGACCCAGCCCTTGAGGAAAGCCATGCTCATGGCCTGCAGCAGCAGGGTGGTCTTGCCGCTAGCCCTGTCGCCATAGACGATCTTTCTGACGGCCGAAGTGGGCGGCGAGTCGGCCGTAGTGGCATCAAGAGGCGGGCCAGCGGTTTTGTTGCCAGACGCAGCCTCGACGGCGCTGATCAACCTGCCCAGCTCGACAGTCTCTCGCCTTGCGAGCATGGCAGGCCGTCTGAAGAGACCCCAACTTTGGTTGGGCTTGAAGGCGTCCACAGCGCGCAGCTGGTCGACCACAGGGTCCATTGGTATGCCGACAACCTTTCCTTGGATGGCAGCGTCTCCCACATCTTCGGCCTGGAGATCCGGGAGGCCACGAACCTCAAGCGCGTTGGTGTTGCTCAGGACGATGCGCTTGCGCAGTGCCTTCCGCTCGCCGGGAGCTGGCCGCTTGCCCGTATCCCTGGACGAAGAGCTCTTCTTGATCCGCAGCCCCTTGACACCCTTCTTTGGCGGGCCGGCCGAGGAGTTGCCCTTCTTCTGGTTTGGATTCTTGAGCTTCGCGGCGGACGTCGAGAAAGACACGATCGGCGTCGCGCTGGGCAGGAACCGGGGTCGGGCGAGACATGGTGAGGGGAGAGCGGCGGGCCGCAGGGGCAATTGGCCCAGGCAATGTCTTGGGGGCATCGCTGCAGAGCCGAGGGGAGGCGCGGTCGACGGACGGGTCGAGGCTGGCGGCGATGCACGCGACGTGCGAATGGACGGGAGAGCTGGCGGCGCGCAGCGGGCGTTTTTCCACCGCCGGCGCCGGCGCACGGACCCCGACCGTCCAGGAATTTTTTTGCGGCAGAAGGGCGGCCGACGTAACTAGCACCCAGACGACGACTTCTCTGTCGTCCATCCTCCCATATTCCCCCCACCATGAGTGTAGACGCCGACATGATGGACGTGGATGGCGCGCCGGTCAATGGCGCCAAGTCGCGCCCGTACGACCACCAGCTGCTCTCCCCCAGCCCGGCATTCTTCGTGCTAACGGCCTCCTCCCAGGTCTGTGACGGTCGAGAAGCCCATTCCCTACACCTTCGACCTCGGCAACCTTCTCTGCACCGACACGAACCCGCTTCCCGACTCCGGTGAGGACACCATCCGCGACACTGCCCGCGACTGCGCCCAGGTCCTCATCAACCAACTGCTCGCCACCTGCGAGGTCCGTTCTACCAAGGACGGCGTGCTGCTCGACCTCCCGACCGCGACCACCCCCGTCCCACGCGAGAAGCCTGCGCCCAAACCGAAGGAGCCTACCAAGTGGGAGCTATTCGCCGCCAAGAAGGGCATCAAGGACAAGAAGAAGGAGGGCAATCTGGTCTACGACGAAGAGAAGGGCGAGTGGGTTCCCAAGTGGGGCTACAAGGGCAAGAACAAGGACGCCGACAGCGAGTGGCTGGTCGAGGTCGACGAGAAGAAGGAGGCCAAGACGGGCGAGGCCGAAAATCCGCGTACCGCGAGCCGGAAGGAGAGGGTGGAGAGAGTAAAGAGGAACGAGAGGAAACAGAGGGCCAACGAGGCGCGTGCCAGAAGGAAGGGCGCGTAGGCGCACTCGCGAGTGAAGAAAGCAAAAAAAGGCTGTTTGGGGGCTCGGCGCACGGAGTATTGGATGGCTCATGGCAGGCAACTTGGGACGGCGTCGGCACCGCTTGTGGCATTTTGTATGGCTAAGATGATACTGTCAGCATGGAGCAGGAAACCAGTTCAATCCATGAAATATGCCACACTTGTTATCTTTTTTTACCACTCAATACTTCACTATCGGCCAGGACGGCGCACTGTCGACTACTTATTCAGCAACATCCCCCGATGCGTGCGACGTCCTCCTGCACGGTACCAGAATCCATCCCACTGACACACGCGCTCTTGACCGGCAATCAAAGCGACATGAATTGGCTAGTTCATGTTCGCCTCCGCCATGTTGTTACATAAAAGGTGAGCAGACCAAGTGACCAATGACACAAAAAACGTGGCTACGACTACAACTTTACATGTTTAGACCCTGATAGCCCAGCTCGTTCATGTATCGAACGTGCGCAAGCCAAAATCTAGCACAAGAGCTTTCTCGACCGCACGGGACTTGATATGATCATGCCGATCACTGCTGGGCCAAGCTCAGACGGTCGTTCCCTGCAATGCGCACCCGTACAATCTCGTTGAATTGGAGGGCTAGGCGGGAGGGATCGGTCATCCTTTTGCCGACGTCGCCTCACAATTCGTGACCGTGGCAGACGCCTCTCCTACAACAGCGTGATGGACGGTGTCTGTAAGATTTGGAGCGATAGTGTCCCGGGCCTTCCACCAGTTCTCAATTGTTCTGTTCGATATTTTGAACCATCTTGAGGCCTCCGCGAAGGTTGGCCGCCGGTACGGGTCCTTGGCAGGCTCGCGCATGGAGCGGTAGAGGAAGTCTTGATTGACTGTGCGCAGGACCCGGTGGTGTTGTAGGAACATAAGCACCTCAATCTTCTTCGCCTTGCTGTAGCTGCGCTCAACGCGCGTAACGGGCTTGCGAAGGGCGAACGCTCGCTGCTCGAGGGGGCGAGGCTTCGGGCCAGGCTTTTTACGCGTGCGCACGGGTACGGCAGCTGGAGTGGGGGTGGGTGGTGACATTGCGACGTCGCGAGAGGTTGGTGTTGGTGTTGAAGTTGGTGTTCTGAAGGTCCCGCGAGGACGTATTTAAGCGATGGGATGTCTGTTTTAAAAAAATGCCTCTCTATAACAACACGGCCAATCAGGTTGATAAAAACGCCAAAACGCTCGCAAGAGGCTGTTATTTCGATCTGTTAGACTGGATTGCCTATGCATAAACTACGTTGTGGCGAGAATGCATGGGTGGTTTACGCTGATCCCCCCTTTTGGACGCCAAGGTGCGGGATTTGATATCGGTAGAATATTCACCGCCTATTGTTGTACTAGTACGTAGGGCTAATCTCTGCCGCCAAGTCCTCCGATTCAACGAGATTATTGTACGGCAGTAGTTTCCAGAGCGCGAGCGAAGTCGGAGAAGCTTGGCAGAAGTGGGAGGGAGAAACAAGGGTCGCACAGACTCCACCCCAGCATCTCCGCACATCAATCCCCGCCGCATCCAACTTCTACCATTCCAACATCACCCGAAGACAGCCGCCATGGCAGTTCAGACGAAGTACTTCGTCAATGACCCCCATCCAAATGCCAATGCTGCCAATCCGTCCACCACCTCCTCTCTCACCCTCGCCTACCGCACCTACGGCGAGCCCGGGCGGCCGGCCGTTCTGATGCCAACCTGCTATTCCGGCAAGCTGGACACGACATTGAGCTGGTTGTGGTCGGCGGAAGCCAACAACGGCGGCCCGCCACTGCTCCGGGACCATTTTGTGATCGTGTGCGGGCTCCTCGGCGGCAGCGAGTCGTCCTCGCCCTCCAACGCGCCGTCTGCTTTGCGCGGCAAACACTTCCCTGCCGTGACGTACGAGGACAACGTACGGTTGCAGCACGCGCTGTGCCATTCCCTCGGCGTGACCAAGCTCGCGCTCTACATCGGGTTTAGCATGGGCGGCCAGCAAGCCTACCACATGGCCGCCCTCTACCCGGACTTCGTTGAGCGCATCGCCGTGCTCTGCAGCTCCGCCCGCACATCATCGCACAACTGGTGCTTCCTCGAAGGGCCTCGAGCCGCACTGGAGGAGAGCATCGATTTCGACAACGGTGATTACGTGGAGCCGCCGCTGCGCGGGCTGCGTGCGTTCGCGCGGTGCTACGCGACCTGGGCACTGTCCTCGGCCTGGTTCCGGCAGCGGGGATGGGAGACGTTGGGGTTTGCTTCAGTGGACGAATATCTGCGAGTTGCGTGGGAGGAACGAATCAAGGCGTGGGATGCGCATGACCTGCTCGCGCTCATGCAGACGTGGCAACGCGGTGACATCTCGCAGTTCAACGCCAAGGGGAAGGAGGGCGATTTGCCCACGACGCTGGCGAGCATCAAAGCGAAGGTGCTGTTGATGCCGTGCCGCACTGACCTGTACTTCCCGCCTGAAGACAGCGAGGAGGAGTGCAAGCATTTGCAGAGCGCGGAACTGAAGGTTATCGAAAGCGTCTGGGGACACCTGGCCGGAGGAGGTGGCGGGACGAAGGAGGACAAGGCGTTCATTCAGTCGAACGTGGAGCGCCTCCTTGCGTCCTAAGGCGTCGGGTAACGTTCTCCAATTCAGACGAACAATCCATGCCATCTACACAATCCGCACCGACTGAGCAAACGGCGTAATCGCGGTGGCGGCATGGTTTCCCGGCAGCGTCTTTCAACAGAGTGCGGGACCAGGGTTTCCCGGCATGCACATTCCATCCTTGCGTCGATCCTCGGTTTGGCCATTGCGCGACACGGGTCCAGTGAAGCGGGCTGAGCCGGACGGTGTGGGGTTCATTTGGGTTGGGGTTGTGGTGAAGGTCGCGTGGTCGCGTGGTCGCGTAGTCGCCTCGGGAGTGTCTTCTCCGGATGCTGACTCATCGGCCGCGATCCTAAATTTCGAGCGCCGCCGTCTGCTCTTCCTCCCCACTCCATCGCACCCCTCCTGCCGCCTCTTCGCTATTCATGCTGCGCTGGATCGCGCGCATCATGTCGTCCGCTCCGCCGCGTGTGCCCATTCCCAAAAATGGCGTCGACTACCGCAACAAGATCGTCCTCGCCCCCATGGTGCGCTCTGGCGAGCTGCCCTCGCGCCTGCTCGCCCTCCACTACGGCGCCGACCTGGTCTGGGGCCCCGAGACCATTGACAAGGCCCTCATCGGCACGAGGCGCGTCGAGAACCCCGCCACGAAGACGATCGAATACCGCCGCTTTTCCAACAATGGCCAGAAGAACCACGTCCCAGACCCCAACCAGAGGGAAAGCGTGATATTCAGGATAGACCCGGAGCGCGAGAAGGGCAAGCTGATCTTCCAGCTTGGCACTCCAACCCCCGAGTCGGCCGTCCAGGCTGCTTCCTTGGTCGCCGCCGACGTCGCCGGTATTGATGTCAATTCAGGCTGCCCGAAGCCGTTCAGCACGCACGGCGGAATGGGTGCCGCCCTGCTGAAGGATCCGGACAGGCTGTGCGCCATCCTCGAAGCCTTGGTCAGCGAGGTTGGCCAGAAGTTTGAGATTGGCATCAGCGTGAAGATTCGGATATTAGACAAGCCCGAGGACACCGAGGCTCTGGTGGGCAGGCTCGTCAAGACCGGCATCATTGGCTTGACGGTGCACTGCCGCACCACACCCATGCGCCCGCGCGAGAGGGCCATTCGCGACCAGGTAAAGATGATCCGCCAGATCTGCCATGATGCCGGCGTCGCTTGTTTGATCAACGGCGATGTCGAGGATTACGACCACGGTCTCCAGCTCATGGAAGAGTTCGGCGTAGACGGTGCAATGATTGCAACGGCCGCCGAGAAAAACTCGAGCGTTTTCTGCCGCAAGGCTGACGGCGGGAAGAAGCCATGGCAGGAGGTCGTCAAGCAATACGTCATCTTCACTCTTCACGTCGACAACCGCTGGGGAAACACCAAATACCTCCTCAGCCAGCTGATCCCTGGAAAAGACAATGCGTACAAGAAAATGAACCAGTGCCACTGCTATGTGGAGTTGATCGAAGCCCTCGGTTACGACGACCTCATGCACATGGCTCAGGCAACCGATGACAGGCTCAAAATCCCCATTAGGACTACCAAGGCTGAGAAGCGCGCTCTTGCCAGAGAGGCCAAAATGGACGAGGGCGAGGCCAAGAGGGCGAAGACAGTTGTGGCCGTTGAGATCCCCGATGCCCTCCTGACGTCTGCAGCCACTGTGTGAGCAGCAATCACCTTGAATGGGCGAGGTGGGACGATAAACACATCACAGAATAGCCATGAATTCAAGCCACAACTAGCTGAATACGGGCCTTTACGGCCGCAGCTGGGGAAGCGGGTTTAGAAGAGCTGACGCAAACAGAGCGTGGCGCTTCCGCCGGTTAGGACGCGCAAGAGACCCCAACCAAGAGACATCTGCACTTGGCCGTCTCGTTGAAGCAGTGGCGCAATCATGGCGGCTTCTGGCACACTACCAACGATAAGTCCGGCGATGAATGAATCCGTCGTGTATCGACTCGAATCTGAATTGATAGTAGGGAGGAGCTTTAGCATACTCTCCGAGCCGGCAAATGCAAGGAAATACTGGAACTATGAACATTCCCCTCGCACTGCTCCCTCCTAATCGCTAAAAATATAAGCCCGCTCTCCTGTTCATTCTTAGCTGATTTCTGGCGTCGCGAAGGCTTCTTATCTGAAATCTGTCAGGCTTCACTTGCATGCAGTCGGATTGCCGCAAACTCACGTAATCCCCTCCCGAACCATACCATTCTTTCCGACAGGCGAGGACGAAGTCCGGGTGGTGATGGCCATCCTCGTTCTTGCAGTCCACGATGGCCTTGACGTTTCGAGCCCATTCCCCGAGATCGTTGCCGAAAAGGGTTCTCCTCGAAATAAGACACCTAACGTGACGTTGACGGAAGGGCTCCGCAAGCGGGGGATCCAGCTCTCGACAGTCGTTCCGATTCTGCGTCGAGTAGCGGTCCGTTTGGGCCGGACCACCCCCTTGCGTCAGCTTTCGCACTTCATCCAGGATGATGTTGAGCTTTTCTTCGCATTGGTCCCATGATTGGCTTTGCGTAAGCGCTCCGGCAGCAGGATTGCTGTCTCGAAGTAACGAGGCACTCGTTGGTCGGAGTCTCCTGCCGACCGATTCTCTGAGGACAAGTCAGCTACTGCTTTGCCGGTCGAGTATGAACAATGTCGGACCCTGTTCGCCGGTGGCTTCGTCTATCGTCGCTTGGGTGTGATCGCGGCGCGCCCGATTGACCCGTCTCGACTGCGACACTCTTGCCTTGGGACTGCCTTTCGATACTCGCCTCGGCCCTGGAAATGGTGTTAATGAGACCTGTGCAGACAACAAGAATCAACCGATGAGGGACCTTGTCTTCCGGACTGGGAGCAACTCTCGATGCTCAACCCCTTCACCGTTGCTGCGTCGGCGCTGCCCGTCCTGCTCTCGAGAAACCTCGTCCTTTTTCGGCGGCTGCTGATAGTCCAAGGAAGCCCTGAACAACTCACGGATCTTCTGTGTCACCTCGCGCATGCGGCGACGGCCCTGTTGGAGCGAGTCGCCTTCTCCTTCCTCCATTTTCCGACGTGCCCACTCAATTGTTTGGCGCCACGAAGCTCGATTGTCGCCGACGACTCGCTGCACTTGTGCCTGAACCTCCTCGGACCACTTCTTGACGCGCATTGCCTCGCTGAATGGATTTCCCTTGCTGTTGAAGGCATAGGGCGCCACGTCGTGGCGCACATTTGCATAGAAGTGGCTGCAGCACGACGCGCAATGGTATAGGAGTCGTAGCTCTTGGCGGTTTAGCCGGGTTTCTAGTGGCCATCGTTTGCTCCGATTCCTAGCGGTGGAGACTGCTGCCGTCGTGGACCTCCTCGGTATGCGGCCGCGGTGCGGCGTAGAACGACGCCGGGAGTGAGGTTCCTGATGATCAGACCCATCGGTACCGTCGTCGTCTTCTGAGCCAGAGCCTAGGTCGATGATGATGGTCTGTCCGGGACGAGCGAGTCAGCCAGGCGCCGCGCCAATGAAGCTTCCGGGTAGAGGTCCCAAAGCTTGTTACCGGGGATACACTGCGCTCTACGGATGGCACGGGATGGTCCGGATCGGAGCTGCACTTGTCGTCCTCGCCTCCAGGACCCGATAGCAACTCCACCGGCGAGCTTCGACTGTCAGGTTGCCAAGTGAAGGAGGATTGCCGGTCATGGCTTGACTGAGAAGAGGCAAACGAGCCCGTGGACGGTAGGAATTGCTCTACCAGATCGGGGCTCGCTGGGCTTGACTGCATTGTCGTTGTGGCTCATCGGGCGGTGGCGTGCCCGTGTGGAGTTCCCGTTTCAATCGCAGGACGAGCATACCACGTGCACACGCGATGACTCGGATGAGGGGAAGGGGGCTGGGTGGCTACGAATGCGGCCAGTTCCTTGCAGCGGGACCTCTGCCCCGACACGCAGCTGCAGTGGGATGCCAGCGCCGTGCATCTGCCGTGCGCGTACCAGGCCACGGACCAAGGGCCACGGGCCACGGACTTTGTCTGGCGCCGCAACCAGTTGATTTGTGGGCTATGGAGAGAAAGCGACATGTTGGGTCTTGGCTGTGCGTACGGCCCCGGACGGCCAGGCACCCCGGAAACCGTTGAACGCCTCCCATGCACCCATGTCTCAGGTACAAAGGGCTCGAAAAACAATTACAGCCAAGCATCTCGTAGGGATGGACCTCACTTCTCGTTCACAACCTACGCACGAGGGCAGGACACCCCGAGGCTCGGGTTCTGCCTACATTCAGCATTGGACCAGCGGCTGTACCCAGCAGCCTCTCTTGCCCAGCCCCTTCGTGTCCCGCTGAGGCGCGGCCGACCCCTCTCGGTCGAGTCTCTGGAGTTTGATGGACGACGCTGTCTGCACTAGCCTTGGCTTCTGCTTCTTGCTTCCCTGCGCGCCGCGCTCGGCTTGACGTGCCTGACGGCCGTCTCAACCCTCGCCAGACGGACTTGCACTTTCCACAACTCCGGGTCCACAATCTGGACTTCGTCATCGTTTCGGCCTGGGCCGGCGGTTGCGTCCACCTCCTCCCGGTCGGACCTTGGGTGCTCGAAAGCTCGCCGCGCCATCCTCGTGGCATGCGCCACTGCGTCTTGGGAAAATGCGCCCCGCCGGCAGGCTTGGGCAGCCTCCTCGACCCTTTCTGCCAAGTGCCTACTCCTGGACAGTCGCCTGGTTCGTGTCGCCGATTCTTCAGTCTGGCTCAGGATCCCGTCGATGACAAACTCCCGGTACGCGTCGTTACGGCTGTTGAAGGCGTATGGGGCGATGTCGTGGCGGCATTGCACAGGCACAATCTTGCCCGCGATGTCCTGTAGGATGCGAAGCTCTTCGATGGACAGGCGCACTCGTGGTGGCCATCGCACGTCGCGCTTGTCCTTGGTCATCTTGGGGCCGGCTTCCCGCGCTCGATGCTTCCGTGGTTCTTCATCGCCCGATGAATCCTCCATATACCTCCTTTTCTTCCGGCTGTCAGTTTTTGACCTTCAAGCGCGCCCGCAACACATACCACTGCCTTGCGACTCCGCATTGTCGGGTCGAAACCGTCCTCTACCGTTCTCTCCGAGGCGTCCGCGCCGCTCGAAGGCCCAGCGGTCGCGCTTCCCTGTTCCGCGAAAACGGCTGCGCCTTTGAAATCGCCATGGGCTCCGGCACTGCTGGCTTTTTGGGTCTTCCCACGTCGAGGCACGGGAATCTGCACGACAGGACTCCGAGGAGCGCGGTGTTTCTGGCTCGATTCCATGACAGCAATGAAGTGCGGGGAGGAAGGAATGGCTCGGTCACTCGGTGCTCAACTCAACCCTGTCCCGCCTTATTGCCGTGCATCCGGCTCGGTGCGCAGCGGGCGGACTCTATGTGACAGCTCCGATCTCGGTTATGCGCATCTCGAGACGATCAGCCCCCGGAAACCCTGTGCATGACGCACGATGCCGCAGCCGCGGATGCGTCTATCAGGTACCGGCTGCACCCCTTCGGCCAATGGCATGCTCCATGCCAATCAACGGCCGGGCTGCATGACACCCCTGCCACGTCCATGCACCATGGCCAGGGGTTCCTCCATACAGTGACCTACTGTACACCGCTTGCACGTCCTCATTTGCTTCTCTGTTGTGTCGGTGCACGACTTCTCCGCGAAGAACACGAGAGCACATCAATCCTATCAGACACATACCATCTATGACCCGTCAAAGAGCTCTCGGGGCCGCTGAACGTTGCTCCCACGCCTCGCGGAGTCCCTACATCCCTTCGTAAAGTGGCACTAGATACTCATGAACCTTTTCTCCAATCTTCCCATCCAGGGCAGCGAGTATCCGACCCTGCTCCTTCACTTTCTTTTCCAAGTCCCGAATGATCCCCGCTTGCTTCTGGTCCACACGGATCCGCTGCTCTTCACGCCCCTCTCCCCCTCCCCCCAAACCCGCGCTCGTCCTGGCAAGTTTCGTCTCCGCTCCCTTTCGGCGCATCTCCCGCGTGTGCACTTGGCGGATCAGCACGCATATTGCCCGCCATGATCACAACGCGTGGCGAACCGCCACACCCGTTCCCCCCTCTGCCGCTACCCGACGAACTCGCCCTGCCCGCCGTGGCCTTCGCCGGCACGTTCCTCCAGATCCGGTACAGTAGTGCCGTACTAGGTTGACTCCCATCCGCGTGTCTCCTGCCTGGCGTATTTGTCCACGTTTGGCCTGGGATTTGCATTCTAGAAGCTGCCTGATTTGGAGTCTGCGGGCGCTGTGGCTCTCGGGGGGGTCGGCTACGGGCCAGGAAAGAGTCCGTCAGAAGAAGCTTACGCTCCTGTGGGGGTGAAGGTGCGGTTACAGATGCTGATCAGCGACCCTGCGACGGAGAGGTCCTGTGGCCTGACCTCTACCAGAAGCCCTGCAGCTCGGTATCAGCCTTCGCGCACGCATATGTACAGTACGCAAAGGGCGTGGCTAATGATGCTTTCCCCCCAGGCCGCATGTTCCACCTTGATTCACTGCATCCTTTCCCCGCCACCGCTATTTCGCGGGCACCCACTTTTACGCGACACGGGAGATAGAGCCATGCATGTAAAGTATGTTCCATCAGTTGCTACTTGACATAAAAGAAGTCTTTGGGTATCTCTGCACCCGCCTCCAAGAGATCCGCAACGATCACTGTCCCGATGGGTGCCCCGGGCGCCAGCTGTTGTTACGGCCCGGGGGTGCATTGCAGCGCGGCCCCTTTGGCGCGTCTGGGGGTGGGACGCGTCTGTTGCCACCGCTTCTGGGGTGCGCTTGTCGAGGCCCTCCAGACAGTGCGTTGTCGATTTTCATCGTCGCCTCGGCGAGCGTCTCTTTGAGCCTCGCCGCCATCGGCTCGAGCTTGGCGTCTATCCTCCGGTCCAAGGCCTGCCCTTGCTGGTCCATCCGACGCTTTAGAGCCCGAACATCCGCTTGAAGCGATTGCACGATGGCGCCCGCACCGTCAGGGCCGGGGTTGTTGCTGCGGTCGTGCTCGACCGACATGCGGACGGGCCTTGTCGCGACCCTGATCAGCACCAATGGCTTTATGCCGGCTCTCTCATGTGGAAGGGGAGGACTCACTCGTGTTGTTGTCGTTGGGGGCTGGGGCCGCCACCAGAGGCCGTTCGGGCGATCGAACTCGAACCTTGGGCGATGCGCTCCAGCTCGGCCCTGGGCGTCTCCAGCGCCAGCCGCGCCGCTTTGATCTTGTTCAACTTCTCGCGATACGCCTTCTTCGGCTCCCCGTCTCGTCGGAACGCGTACGGGTACTGTTCGCCCAGCCCCTTGGCGGTCGTGCGGTTCTCCCACGCCTCGAAGAGGAAGGGGGTCGAGGCGCGCACCTGGGGTATCCCGATCGGCTTGCGGGCCTTGGCCTTGCGCTTCTTCCGTCGCTTCGCCCCTGCCGGGTCGGGCTCGGCGGGTGTTGAAGTCTGTGTGTGTTGCAAACTCGCGTCAACGGGGGCCCCACCGAGCTGGTTTGTTGGCCTATCTATACTTACGATTGGATCCTTCTTTGCCGGGTCCATTGACACGGTGAAGGTGCGGCGCGCCGAGTGGCTGCCGGCTCGCGAGCTGTGGACGGTGTCGCTGAACGTCCAGTTCGAGGAGTCGGCGGCATGGGTGCTCCCCGTGCTCGCCGCTCCTCTGGCGTTCGGCCTGGTCATGTTGAGACTGTCTCGATGGCGGAGTGTCAATGAACGGAGAAGAATGGGAGGAGTAGACCAGAGGGCCTTTTATGTGCCGCAAGAACCACCGCGTCTCTAGGACGCGTCGCGCGCACCCCCCCGCGTACCCCGGTCTCTCGATGCTTTCTTTTTCTGTGCGAACAGCGGGGGCTCGCGCGAACGTCGAGTCAAGGCGGAACAAGTCGCATGATTGATCAGCGACTGGCTCTCTCCGACTGCGTCCGCCCAGCCCCGTGTCCAGGAACGGCGTTTGGGACGAGGCCAGGCAAAACTTCAATTCCTCTCCGACGCGTACGCAGGAACGAAGCTGGACCCTCTAGGAAGGAGCAACGGCGGGCGCGGCAGCCAAAGATAATTTTATTCGAAGATGTGCCTGTCAACCAGCATCAAGAGGGGGGTCCGGCTCTACTCCTGCTCGACGCTGCAGTCTTGTGTGAAGCTGCGTGCGCTGTCCAGACGTCGGCCAGACAAGACTGCCTTCTTCAACCCTTCCATCTGCACCGACATGGTTGTAGCCAGCCCGTGGATTTGATCCCGAAGCGGAGTGACTGCATCACTGAGACGCCTCTGCTCCTCCCGAAGAGGCTCAACAGCCCATCGGATTCGCTTGTCAACACTGCGGTCTTGCCTCCTGGCAACCTCTTCGAGAGCTTTCTGCGTTGCAGCCTCCATGAACTTGATCCTTTCCTCCAGTACTCGGATGCGACCGCCGTCATCGCTGGGCTCCCGGGCCTTGCCTTTCCATCTCTGTAGGACGACTACTGTGTTTCTTGGGGAACGTGACCTGCGATTTTGTCGTTAGTCCAGGCCCCATGCACGACTGAGCTCGAGTAAAGGCTTACCTTGACCCGTCCGGCCCCTGGATAGGGGTTGGCGGCCGTCGGCTCCATGAGTCGGGAGGGCTGGCCAACCTCCCTGCTCGAAGTTGACGGTCCACGTACTCTTCGAACTCCCTTTGAAATTGAGCCCGCGGCCGGCCATCGGACTCTCTGAAGCAGTAAGGTGCCCTCCGATGACGTTCTCGGGGAGACAATTCCGCCATCCAGCGGTATAGAACATCGATGGGAGCTCGGTCCCTCGGTGGATAGAGGACATCCAATTGTGTTCTGTTGAGCCGAACGCACCGCTTTCGGGGCACTCTGGCCCCAGTGAGTAGCTCACGATGCTTGGGGAGGCATGGATTCGTCAGGGTCGTCCTCAACGGTTGCCACTTGCTTCTGTGGGGGTTTGCAGTGGGGTGCTTACAGCGACGCCTTTGCGACCGTCTTCAGACTCCGACTCTCCGGGGGAAGAATTCACGTACGAGCGCACAGTGCTCGTGTCGCCGGCAAGGTGCCCATCGCCCGTCGTTGCATTTTCCGGGCTAGCGTGGGAGGTGTGGCGGTCATTCGAAAGGCTCGAGTCAGGATCCGGCTTCAGCATGTGGCCACGATCAATTGCCTTGTCGGTGCCTCCATCTGGATGAGGTCTGCATCGTCTGGGTCGCTTGGGCGGTGCCAACTTGGGCGGTGTCAACTTGGGCGGTGGCAGCCTCGGCCGCTTGGCTCGGGTCGACCTCTTAGTCTGTGACTCAGCATCACTGTCGGGCAAGCATTTGCGGTGCGAGTGTGGCGGTCACTTACCCTGACCATATCTAGATGCCGAGTTTGCAGGGCAGACGTGCGAGTGGCGGGTTGCAGCAGCGTGGACTTCGGTCAGGAGCGTTGCCGCCGGAGGTCTAGCAGTGCCGCTTCCGGACGTGTTTCCCAAGTGGCGGACACGATGCCACACTCGCCACCATATCCTGCCAAGGTCAGACCAAGCCTAGACCACATATGCTTGAGACTGCTGTGGAGCGGCATAAGCTGTACAGAAGCTGCACCTACGAGTTGTACTGGGCGTATAGCCCGGGATTGGAAATGACCGTGGCGATCCTTCTAGCATCTGCTGGTGTAAATGATGGGGTCGTTTGACAATGAAACCGACACGCACTGTGCTCTTGCCGGGGGGGCCGGGGGGCACGCCCCGCGGCGACGACATCACTGTGAGTGTTCGCATCGAAGGGCCCATTTGGAATGCAGGCAGGGCTGGGGGAGTGACAGATCTCTTGGCCAGGGCTTTTGCGGTGTGATAGATCGAAAGGAGGAAAGCTTCGGTTGTATATCCCTGCAATAGAGTTTCGGTGGCTTGCTATCTGGCGCACAAGGCGAAGACGGCGTGCATCCAGCGCCGCGGAGCGTGGAGCAAACGGCGCGCGCCAACAAGCGCCAACAAACGTGAGCCGGGCATGCTGAAGACGAGCCGTCGCCGCCATTGTCTCGCAGTCGCGTGGAGGCAGTCTCAGATGCGAGCAGCTGGATGGTGGCACCAGTCGGTCGACCGCGGCAGGCAATACTCACACCAATATAGGCCGTGATGCCACGTTGAGGCGGTTGTGCGCGTTGTGGCCGGCCGGCAGCCCGGTCTGGGGTGGGCAACACCAGGCCACCAGCCGTCGTGCAACCAGCAGCCCGCTGCTGGAAGCCGACTCGACAACCGCAGCCGGGGTGGGCGGAGAGGTCGACGCACGCCGCCGCAGCAGGTTGACGTGGATGCGGACGGGCGAGGGGCGTGGAAGTGATGGCATGGCGGAGGAGCGGCAGGGTGCAGGGCAGGTGCAGGGCAGGTGCAGGGCGGGTGCATGGCAGGTGCATGGCAGGCGCGACGGAGCCTGTCGCCCGCCAAACAACCTCAGGTCCAGCCGCAACCTCCACTCGACCACGCCCGACCTCTCCTCCTCCAGCCCGCCCATGCCGTCCCGACAGCGTCGCTGCGAATGCCACGAGGCGGCCCGCCCGCGCCCGCCCGCTCAGCACCGCGCTGCCTGAGCCCGCCCCGGTGCCACATCCACGCAGTGTCGGCCTCCGCTGTGTGAGCCTGCCGGCGCGAGTCGTGGCGCGTACCGTCACTTGCCAGGACGCGCGAAGGCCATCGCCGTTGCCATCTGCCGTTTGTCATCTGGCGTCAGTCGTCCGCCTTGCTCCTGCGGCGCAGGTGATCTCGCCAGCTCGCCCAGGAGCAGCCCGCGCCGGCCAACCAACCCGTCGTTTCGCCGCTGTGGCGCGCGCGCTCTTGAGATGCGCACACGGACAGAGATGCCGCCAAGCGGACGGACGCTCGCGCTCCTGCGGGCGCTGCTCCTCCGCCGTGGCCGCTGATTACGGCGATGCCGAATCTGGAACCCTTCCCCGGTGGTGCTCGATATCAATTGCCGCCCATTGGCCTCGCGCCAGCCTGCCACGCGCCCCCAAGCCCGCCGCGGCCTGGAAAATTCCGCCCTGCTATGAATCCGACTCTCGCATGGCCGTTGGGCGGTCTTGGCTCCTCCGCCAAGCGCCTTAGACAATGGGGGCGGCGGACGCCATTCCTCTCCGCTCTGGGGTCCCCGCATTGCTTCTCCACACCCTGCGACTCCAGCTCCCCTCTGTTCTCCAGATCCGGCGCTGCCCGGTCGCTGTGCATCCGCTGGTGCCGCGCACCAACAGTCGTGCTGCGTTGCTGGAGCCGAGATGCAGGAACTGCTGCATCGCCGTGTGAGCCTGGCAATAGCCCGCCCGAAGCCCGGAAGCTCCAAGCGGCGCTACGCTTCGTGACGAAAGCCAGTGGCAGACTCCCTTCACCCGGCCTGTGCTCTCCTTACTCGGTTGCCTAAGTTGGACAAGGTTTGTCACCGTTGCACCGTGCCGATAGGCGCATCACGTTCCTGCTGCTTGCTACCCACCCTCCTACGCATAAAAGCCGCCGCCCCTCCTCAACTCTGAATCTGCCCCGGTCTCACTTGTCGAGTCCTCTCACCCAGACACTGTCGCGCTGCTTACAGTGACTTCCACCCTTCGTCGACATGGCCATAGACCCGGTAACGTCGGACCAGTCGGTCTCCAGCAACAGCATATCGCACGAGAAAGCCTTGGAGGAGAGGATCGAGAATTTCGACGAGCCCCGCCACGACGCCGGCTATGGCGTCAAGGCCACCAAGCGTCTGTTGAGGAAGATGGATGTTCGCCTCATCCCCTTCCTGGCCCTGCTCTATCTGTGAGTTCCACCGCCGCGCGCTGCCTGATGGAGCGCAATCGCTGACGCAACTGCCGCAAAGCCTGAGTTTCCTCGACCGTGAGTATCGTCCGCTGACGTTCGCTGGCTTGTTTCGAAGAGGCTGACAACTTGGCTTAGGTACCAACATCGGCAACGCCCGCTTGGCAGGTCTTGAAAAGGACCTGGGAATGGAGGGACTCGACTACAACGTACGATCCACCATCACATTCTCTCGATCGTCCGCTGACAACAACGCCAGAATGCCCTGGCCATATTCTTCCCGTTCTACGTCGCTGCTGAGGTTCCGTCCAACATGATGATGAAACGGACCCGTCCCGCCTTGTGGATCCCGATCATCATGCTTGCTTGGAGCGTCTGCACCACTCTCATGGGTTTGGTTAAAAGCTACCCTGGTTTGATGGTCGCACGTGCCGCGCTTGGTCTCGCTGAAGGCGGTCTCTTCCCTGGAGTTACATTCTAGTATGTCTCTCCTTCACTTGAGACACGTGCGCCCCACTGATAGCACCCAGCATTACCATGTGGTACCGCAGGCATGAGTGCGGCTTGCGCATGGCTGTCTTCTTTTCTGCGGCAACCGCCGCTGGTGCCTTTGGAGGTCTTTTGGCCCGTGGCATTGCTGAGATGGACGGCGTTGGCGGCAGAGCAGGCTGGGCTTGGATATTCATCCTGGAGGGCATCCTCACCTTCATAATCGGTGCGTGCAATACCCTGAAACCCCCTTGTTCCATACGCACTGCTTACCGTGGTGCACTGCAGCTGTTACGGCTTTCTTCGTCATGCACGACTATCCCGAAACGGCCAAGTTCCTCGATGAGGACGAGAAGCGGGAAGTCACCAGACGGCTGAAGCTCGATCGCAGCTCTCTTGCGGACGAGTTTCACGTGAAGTACTTCTGGCACGCCCTGCAGGACTGGAAGATCTGGGTCCACATGTTCATCACGATTGGAATCTACACGCCGCTGTACTCCATTTCCCTGTTCATGCCCACGATCGTCAAAGGACTGGGTTACACTGACAACGTTGCACAACTCATGACGGTAAGTAGTTGCCGAGATAGGCCAGTCCGGCAAGGCTTCCACAACGATATCGCTGACGAAGCGCAGGTCCCTCCTTACGTCGTAGCCTGCGTCTTTTGTATTGGCGGTGGCTTCTTGGCTGACCGGATGAAGATGAGGGGTGTGTTCATGATTGGCTTCTGCCTTGTGGCGTAAGTTGCACCGGCCGAGCGCCTCTGCCCTCCTTGCACAACCCTTTGGTTCCGCGGTTGGCTGACGAAAACTCTGCAGTCTGGTGGGCTTCATCATGCTCATTGCTAGCAAGAACAACTCAGTCAAGTACGCCGGTGTATTTTTCGCTGCTTCCGGCATCTACCCCAACGTGCCGCAGGGCGTGGCGTGGAACGGCAACAACATCGGCGGCTCGACGAAGCGGGGCGTCGGCATTGCAATGCACGTGGGCTTTGGCAATCTGGGAGGCGCTGTCGCCTCGTACATCTACCGTTCGACGGACGCGCCCCACTACCACATCGGCCATGGCACTCTCATCGGCTGCATCACCATGAGCGCCATCCTCAGCACCTTCATGACCTTGTACCTGCGCAATGAGAATGCGCGCCGCGACACCAAGCACAAGAAGCCGGAGGAGTACAGCGAGGAGGAGAAGACACTCGAGAGGGAGAAGGGCGACAATGCGACGTTCTTCAGGTACACAGTCTGAGACCCTTTGGCACTGGATACTACAGGCGGAAAGACGGTTCCGATTGTGTATGGAACCGACGGTTGCAAGACATCAGGTCGCGAGTGCATTATTCGATGGCATAATTAGATGCAGATATCTTAGAGAAAGACGACGGGCATGATCATTGGCACACAGCCCTTGCTGTCTCGGCTTCGTCCCGTGGGCTTTAATGCAAAGTCCGCTCACCCCCCTGCGTTCATCATCTGCTTTGAAGAAACACGAGCTTTTGCATCTTGTAGGTGGCACTTGGCATCACGGCGGTCTCCCATAGGGACGGCGTGGCTTGGGGGCTTGAGTATGCATCAGGGGGTGCGTGGCTGTGTCCTCTCGAAGGCTGAAACAAGCGTGAAGATGGCGACTCATCTTTTTTTTTTCCCGCGAAGATTTGCAACTCATCTGGCATGTGAAAGTGGGGCTGTCTGGTGCAGCTGATGAGGGTCCTTGTCCGTGCGCGTTGGTCGTGATAGGTTTGCGGTGTGCACTGGTGCGGGATGTGCCATGATGGCCCGGGCGACGGGTGGGATTCTGCTCGTGCTGTAGGCGCGAGAGACAGGCGGCGGATGTTGCTGATGCGGGATGTGCCGAGAACGAGGGAGCCGGCCATGGCCTGCGTTTGCGCTCACGCTCATCACAGGCGGCATCTTGCTGCCTGGGGCGCTGACTCAGCAAACCAAGCTTTGCCAAGGGCCAGCAGCAGGGTCCCGCCTTACCAGAGCCCGGCGACGTCATTGCGGAAGAAACGTGTCGCAGCGGCCGTCCCGGACGACCGTCCGAGGGCAAACGGCGGGCAGAAGTGCAACGGGTAGTCGGCAGGCGACCGCGGTGGTCGAGCGTCGTGCTACGCCGAGGGCGTGGCGGGGCACCGGTGGGGAGAGAGAGGCTGAGCCGCGCAGAAGACAAAAGGCGCTGTGGCTGGTGCGGAAGCCGCGGATCGCAGTAGCAGCAATAATAATAATGATGATGATACGAGCGCTGCGGAGCAGGGCACGGCAGGCCGGCACGCACGGAACAAACGGGAGAGAATCGCGGTCCGAATGACAGGGCAAAACTGCCAAACCAAGGCATGACCTGCCACGCCCCAGGCAAGGAGCATGACGGCCCCTTGGCGCCCGTCAGCACCTCCAGCGCGCACCCGCGTTGCGCCTCGTCCATCTTCGAGATGTCCAGCGGCGGCAGCCCGCGACCGACGAGGGAGACGGCGGCGAGCCGGCGCGCAAGCAGGCGCTAGACAAAGGCTTAGCCGGCGCCGATCGAGGCTTGTCGTGCTTGGCGCGGATAGGGCAGCAGCAGGCAATGCGCGCAGCCTGGCGCGGCCTGGCTCAGCCTGGCTGCTCCTCTGCCATTGCGCCGCCCAGGATTTAACTACGCCCTCCCCCACCACCCAGCCCTCGCAAGCGCACTCCGCTTTCCTCCCTCGCGCCCGCCCGCCGCTGCCCGACCATGACCGCGCCCCCCTCCAGCCAGCCCGACCACGGCCACGACGCCCTGGACGACGACGGCGCTGCTGGCGCTCCCTCCGGCCATGAGAACCCCGTGCAGGACGTCGCCGCGAGCCACGAGGAACCCCCGCCCCCGGGCGGCTTCAGCGACACGCCCGTCCCGCATGCGACGCCTGGCTTTACCCTCAAGTTCACCTTCCACCGCGCCAACCACCTGCCCATCGCCGACATCAACACCATGTCCTCGGACCCCTACGTGCTCGCGCAGCTGAACACGGCCCTGCCCCCGCGCCACAAGGAGGACCCGCTGCTGCGCATGCGCTCGCCCACGGTGCATCGCTCGACCGAGCCCGTGTTCGAGTGCGAATGGATCGTTGCCAACGTGCCCGCCTCGGGCTTCAAGCTCAAGGTCCGTCTGTACGACGAGGACCCTGCCGATCACGACGACCGCCTGGGCAACCTCCACATCAACGTGCCCCAGCTGTCCGAGGACTGGGAGGGCATTCACCAGCAGACCTACAAGCTGAGGAAGCGCCTGGCCAGCAAGCGCGCCTACGCCTTGCGCGCCGCCGCCGTCGCAGTGAACAAGGCTGAGCACATGGGCGCCGAGATCGTCGTCAGCATCGAGCTCCTTGGCAGGACTCAAGACCCGTACAACGAAGGCGGCAGGGCGTACACGCTCGGGCCGCTGCTCTGGTACAGGCACAACTCGCCGCTGCTGGGCCGTATCGTGAACCGCACCGACAGTGGCGGCGATGATGAATCGAACCATCCGATCAAGTACGACAGGCACGGCAACAGAATCAACAGATACAAGTAATTCCCCGCTCGCTTCCTCTCGGGGCCCCCAAACTGACCCGCACTATAGCTTCCAGGCGAACGAGATCCAGCTCCGGGGCCCTGTTCCTCCCGAGCTGTACCATCGCTACGTCGAGTTCAAGCCCTTTGTCAGGTCCATGTACACGGCAAAGGGTGTGCGAGGCTTCCTTTTGTCAAAAGCGCTGCACCACCAGCACGCGAGGGTCTACAATTACGACAAGAGCACATCTTGGGGCAAATTCGACGAGCCCTGCTTTGAGCAAACGATGAAGTTCCTCGAGCTCGTGCACTTTGACCAGGGCGGCCGCATTTTCACCTACGTTTTGACCCTGGTAAGCCAGCTTCCCACAGGTGTGGAGCCTCCGCGCTAACCTCGGCCAGGACGCTCTGTGGCGATTCACGGAAACGGGAAAGGAGTTTGGCATCGACATGCTGAGCAAGCATACCATGCACAGCGATGTATCGGTTTATATCGCCTTCAGCGGCGAGTTCTTCATCCGGCGCCTCAAGCACCCACACCACCGGGCGGATGCTGAAGATGAGGGTGAACACCAGCACCATCATCATTCTCACCACCGCGAAAGGAGCGGGGACAACTCGACGCATCCGCCAGACGACATCTCCGGCGGACCTCCTGTGGACGAGCCGCCCAAGGATCCCAAGCACTACGAACTTGTCATCGACAACGACTCGGGGACCTACCGGCCCAACGCCAAGCTCCTGCCTCTGCTCAAGTCCTTCATGGAGTCGCGCCTCCCCGGCCTCAAGGTCACCACGCTGGATTGCCAGGCCGATGCGGACAAGATGGCGCGCATGAAGCAGGAGCAGCGCGACCTCAAGGCCCGCGAGGGAGACCAGATTGTCTACCACCAGCTCAGCGAGAGCGACAACGACAGCAGCAGCCTCAGCAGCTCCGACGAGGACGAGTTGGAAGAGGCGGTGCAGAGCCACCACGCGCGGGTCAGGGACGACCATGTCCTGCACGCCTTCGGCCACCAAGCGCGTGCTCAGCAACAGGCCAAGGCGCAACACCTGAAGAGCCTGGCGCACAGGCCCGGCTCGGGGATGACTGGCCATAAGGGTCACCCGGATCCGGTCGAGGCGCCTGATGTTGGCGCGCCGCAATAGTAGCCCCGCGCACCGGCGGCAGCCGATGCTTAGAGATGGTTTATTTTTTTGGTTTTTTCTTTTTGGTTTTTCCCCCTTCTTTTCCCCAGCATTCTTTGGGGGAGCTAGGTTGGACTGTAAGGTTCTTCAAAGTTGAGCAGGGAACAGGGTGAACAGCGTTCTTGGTTTGTGCTCCTCAGATACCCCACGTCCGAAGGCTTGGATTGGAGCGTCGACGTGCACACGTGCGTTTTTTGCTTGATACGGGGTCGATAGTTTTCAATGTTGATGATAATGCTACCGTTCTACTCAAGTGCTGTCGGATCAAGCTTGTTTCGGCGAGATCCAGGGCGAGACAACTTTTTTGCTGGCGGTGATGAGGTCATGGGCCAGGGTCCCCGCCGCCGATCGACGCCGTCTTGGCAACGGCCCTCCATCCCTTGGACTTTTTTTCTCTCATGCCAAACACCAAGCGCGTCACCGGCGCTCCATTATTTTTTATTCCCACCTCCCGCGCCTGCAACCCGCGCGTGACCAGCCCTACGCTCGGGCCCCTCTCCACGCCAAACACCGCCGCCATGGCGACGACCCCTCTCCCCCTCGACGTCCAGACGAAAGTCGCCTCCACCGGTTTGTCCCTCCTCCCTCCCTCCCCCCCCCCACGCGCGGGGGCCCCGAATCAAACGATATGGAACAACAACGTTAACGCATCCTTCCTTCCTTCCCTCTCCTGCGCCACTAGTCTCCGAAGCCTTCGCAGACGCCTACTACACGGCGCTGCAGGCGGCGCGCCACACGCTGGCGACGTTTTACACCCCCGCCGCGACGCTGCCCGACGGCAAGTCGGTCCCGGCCATCGCCTGGAACGGCAACGTCTACGGCTCCGGCCCCGCCTTCCGCGACGCCTTCCGCGACGCCATGCCCGCCTACTCCTACTTCGAGGTCCAGAGCCTCGACGCCCAGGTGCTGGATCCGAACCCGCCGCCGCCGCCGCCGCCGACGGCCGCCGCCGAGGCGGATGCCATGGCCAACGGTGGTGGCGGCGGCGGCGGCGGCGGCGGGCAGCAGCAACACAGGGACCAGCCGGAGGAGCTGGTGGGGAGCGTGCTGGTGGTGGTCAACGGCTTCGCGCGGCTGGAGGAGAAGAAGGACGGGCCGCAGAGGGGCTTCAGCGAGACGTTCGTGCTCGTGCCGAACGCGAATTACAGCAGGAAGGACGGCGGGAGGAGGTGGGTCGTGCAGAACCAGAACTTCCGATATGTGGTCTGAGTCGAGTCTGGAGAGACGGAAGGACGAACGACGATCGAGAGAAAACGAAAAGGCAACAAAAAAGTTAGAGAGACAACATCTGTTGGTGGGACGGACACGCGACTTGTTAACGTGAGTGGCATGCTCGGCCGGGTGTGGCCGTGCGGCAACTCGGTATCCGCAGAGGCGGGAAGCAGCAATGGGCTGTGCCGGTTCCCGGGTCGATGCTGCAGTGGTGCGGCATGCCGTTTTTCGCATGCCAGGGCTGCTACGAGATCGCATCGCAGACGGGGTACGGTATGAAGCGCCCACGCTGTTCGTTTGGGCAATTATTGACCGGCCAGCAACGTCGGCATCGCTACGAGGTCAAATCGCTTTGTATTGCACAAGTGCGGATGGATGTTTTGAGGGACCCGTGTGGGCGTCAATGCATGACATGTCTGGAACAAAGGCGTCCAGAGAAAGACTTCCGAACACGTCGATCTTGAAACTGTCGCGATACCTATCAGCGCCGACTTTGGGCTCGTCCATTTCCCTTCTACTGATTGTCCCCAAAGGCCAATTGCAACGTTTGCACGCAGCGCGCGAGGACGGTACCCACAATGATTGAACCAATAAGTCTTAAAACGTAGCCGGCCGCCTCATTTGGTAACCAGACAGTATCGAGATCATGCTACACCTTGAAGCGCTCTGGATTATCATGAAGTCTTCCTTGCGTGGGTACGAAGACACTTCGCGCAGTACAGGGCCAGAGACGTCGCCAGAAACATACCATACCCCAAACGGCCATCAAGTCGGTTGGAGAGCACGCAGCTCGATACTGTAAAGGTTTCTTGATGGCTATTAAGTCCTCTAGCAACTTTCGAAGCGGGGGAGTTACAAGGCTGGGGCCGGACAAGGTTTGTCGTTTATCGAACTTCTCGTGGGGGTATGGTTGCTACAGACGGTTCAACGTTGATGCTTTGCAAGTGCACGTGGGGTTCAACATGTCTCATGACGCAGAACCTGTAGGCTCCTGGGCTAGGATCGGTTCCGTCGGCAAAGAGCGGAAGTATGGGTGGACATGGCCCTGACAATCATCAACATTAATTACCGATGCGTAGAGCATTTGAAACAATGCTCCCGAAGGGTAAACGTCATCGACTGCATCAGGGCGCGTTGCGGAAGACACCGCCCTGTTCATGTCCCGCGGAAGGAAATAGATCCCCTCTGCATGAGCTTGAAGCGAGATTATACCAGAAAATCACGTTGGAAAGTGACGTTGGTGCAACGTCGGCGAGGCTGTAGCGTGGCATACCCGCCGCTTGCAAACACGTTGAACTTTTCGCAGGACGTTTTCCAATGACGTGAGCAAGCTAGACCACTTGGGAAGGTGGGCTTGCGGCAGTAGCATCTGAATCAGGACTTGTCTGAGAAAGATGAACCACCGAAGCTCGGAACGCATGCACGTAAGAGGCCGTATCTCTCAGCTAAGCTACGTTTCTTTTCGAGAATTATTTTTGTTTCCTTTGTTTTTGCGCGGTGCGCTGGCATTCCCCCCGGCCATCCACTCATATGCAGCTACGGACATGATCATGACACGCCACAACGACTCTATCTCTTTCTTTCTCTCTCGCTCCGATGCCCCGGAGCCTCGGACCCTTTTTTAGTTTCGTGGTACACGTCGATCGTCCTCGGGCCATCGCCGCGATCAATTTAGGAGAATACGAATGAAGCCGACGCAGGAAAAAAAAAGGAAGGTGAGAGGTAGGAAAAGGGGAGCGTTCGCCCGGTGTGTGTGGCGTGTGGCGCGTGGCGTGGATATATTATATTATATTATTAAAAACGTTCCGGACGCGGAAAACGTTGTTCTATCGACCAGGTACATACCTATCGCGGTCGAGCGCCCGGGTGCGCGCATGCCGAGCTGAACGGATAGGCAATCTACCCGTGGCAGCGGTGGCTCTTTTCGAACCGGGTTGGGCGCGGAAACAATCAAGGCTGAAACGTGTAGGGTAGAACGGCGGTTGGGGGGGGGCTTGCTTTCCGCGTTTCTTGGCCAGATATCGTGGGCTGCAAGGATGGACCCGGGAGCAAACGCTTTTTATACATATGGATCTTTTCTGGCTGCATGCAGATCAATGGCGATCATCCATGTACAACCGCATGTACTGTACTTAGATACAGTGTAGACGTGGGGTCGGAAGAGCGATGACATCGACAGGCGTCCGACGCTAACAACAATGTGTTCCCACGACGGGCCGGGGGGGAGGGCGGAGACGCGAAGCCGCCCAGTGTACGGTCACTCCCGGTCACTATCTTTAGAGGGCCTGTATACATTTCCGTATTCACCGGGGAGAGAAGCTGCGCCGCGGCGCTAGTGGGCCGGTGCGAGTCGAACGCGACACTCCCACACTCCTTGTGTGCTGTTGCCCACGGAATGCTACGCTACAGTCAATAGAAGCGCCCGAGGAATGCTACCCATGAACGGTGCAAATCGATGCTCCCGGGTAGCGCTTTCTGCAAGGTACCAGTTTTTGTGCTTCCTCGTGGGGCAGTCAAGTATAAGCAGGGATCCCCCCTCGACCGAGGTGCATGTCTAGTAGCCACAGTTTGACAACCTGGCAGCCTTGCCCACCACCGCAACACTCAAGGGTGCGGCTGTCATGGGCGGTCAGGCGGGCAGGACGCGGAGTAGGTAAAAGAGCGTAGGGTTTCAATTGAATGAGCCTGGAAAAGGAACGGCTATGCCTTGATCTTACTACCCCCCAGCACACCAGCACAGCAACCCCCCTGCCTATCAGTGGATCATGCCGCTCCTCGCCATCTCGTCGACGTACCTCGCATACCTCTTCACGCTCTTCCGCCGCAAGTCCTTGCCCCACTTGACCATCACCAAGAAGGTTGCGCACTGGGCCAGGCCGATGCAAGCGGCCGTGATGAAGCAATTGCGCAGGCCCATGCCCTGCACCCACGGCGTGATGCCGTACCCGATGGCGAAGCTCATCGTGTTCCTGACCAAGATGACCGTCACGACGGCCTCGCCGCTCAGCGCGCGGTACGAGTCGATGCAGTACGCGACGCTGAGCTGCAGCCCGATCGTGTTCGTCAGCGCGATGACGCCGGCGGCGAAGACGCAGCCGAACCAGTGCACGCCCTCGCTGGCCCCGACGCCCCAGAGCACCAGGCCGCCGGGGATCAGGAGCAGGCTCGGCGCGAAGAGCCACAGCCGGTGCTCGGCCTCGAGCACCCCGCCGTTGCGCCGCGCCTGGCGCAGCACGAAGCCGTCGCCCAGCACGCCCGTGTACCAGCTCGCGATGGCCACGCCCACGAGCGGGCTGACGTACGACAGCCCGACCATGGAGGCCGAGAAGCCGTAAGTCCCGCCTAGGATCAGAGATGCCGTCGCGTTGAGCACGTTGAACCACACCAGGTTCGCCCCGTAGCTGAAGCCGGCGTAGAAGATGACCGGGAAGGTCAAGAAGGCAAGCGGGCGGTAGACCATGCCCTTGAGCTCGTTGCGCTTGTGCAGGTCGGCCGGCTGGAAGAGCTTCAGCTTGTCGACGTAGGTCTTGCGCGGCTTGTTCGCATCCACGGCCGGGTGGGCTTCGAGCGCGCTGGCGTCGGCGCGGGTGCTGCTGGACGGCGAGGCTTTGTTGTCCGCCTTTGGGCGTGCTTTCTCGCTCGTCTCCGAAGCGTCGGGCGTCGGAGCGATTGGCGTGCCGGGCGTGTGGCGGACGTAGTTTGTCTCTTCCATGAAGAAGAACAGGAAGACGAATCCGCCGAAGCAGAAGATGGCGCACCAGTACAGCACCCACTTCCAGCCCTGGCCATCGTTGATGAAGCCGGCAATGATGGGGGCGAAGAAGTTGCTCCCGGCGAGGAGGAGGGCGTAGAGACCCAGATACCTTCCTCTGTCGTGCGTGAAGCTGCGCGAGCGGGTGAGCGCGACATGGATCGACACGGGCAAACGTGGCTCGGTTTGTACATAGCAAAGAAAGACGTACTAGATGTCCGTCACGGAAATCTCACACAGGCTCTCTATGGGGGCGCTGAAAAAGCCCTGGAGGATCTTGCTGGCGGTCCACTGGCCATTGGAAGTGGTGTATGGACCCCACAGGCACATGGCCATGGTGCCGAGACAGCTGACCAGGTAGACAGGCCTCTTGCCATACTGCAGGGCCAGGGGCTGCCAGAACAGACAGCCCCAGCCGGCCAGCAAGAAAAGGTAGCCGGTGCCGGCATTGAGGTCGTTCAGGGTCAGGGTCGTGGCCTCGCTGATGGGCTCGAGCACCGAGTAGATGGCGGCCGAGGCGATGCCCACGACGAGCGTGTACACACACATGCACGTCGAGCTGAGAGCCTTCCGACGCGAGCTCCAGTTGAGTGGGTCGTCGGGGCTGCGTGGCCAGTGGACGTCAGCATGGGTTCGCCATGGCTATATTGGCGGCGGCATGTAGCATGTCGAAGTGGCTGAGCAAAGAAAGGGAGATAGGGGATATCCTGAAGGACATTGGCGGGCGCGAGCTGCAATGCAGGTCTCAGGCGCGGAAGGGAGCTTACTCATCCGAGGGCGCCGGGACGAGCACGATGTCGTGGGCCTGGGCGCCGGCAGCGTGCTTTGCGCGCACGGTGCCGTCCAGGTCGACGAGGTGGACGGTGCCGGGGATCGCAGGCTGATCGTCAGCAGCGAGCCGCCGATGCGTCGCGTTATCGTCGGTTGCAGAGCTTGCAGGCGCCATGTCTAGCGGCGGCTTTTTAGAGCGGCGATGCAGGAAGCAGCGTGTAGGCTTGCGCAGCAGGGAGCAGCAGGGAGCAGCCGAAGCAGGTGCGGGAGCCTTTAAACCGCGTGGGTTGTACAGCACCCCACTGTTGATAGCATTGTCGCTGGGGGGGCTGTCTGATAGCAGACACACGTCCAGCCAGCGTCGCCAGCGTCGCCAGAGCAGGGCAGCGTCGGGAACCTGGCCATTGCCGCAGCTGGCTGGTGTTGCACGACGACCAGGAGAGGCGGGCGGCAGCAGCTCGCGCCTGGCGATGCGGCCGAGGGGCGCGGAGATGGGTTGGCAGCGCTGATAGCGACCTGTGCCGATCGCTGCCCTGCTCGTGGCGACGGAGAAAAAAATCCGATGCCCTCAGCTACCTAGGTAGCAGCACGGCGGCTGCTGAGTCGCCATCCTGGCAGGTGGCAGCCTCGTCCCAACAGCGCCACAGCTGCCCGTGCCTGACGATCGACGCGGCCCAGCTCTGACGTCGACGGCGAGCCGCCGCTGAGGGGCGTGCAGGTGGCCGACAGGCCGGTGAGATGCAAGCAGCGCGGCGAGGCGGTAGCGCCGATGGGGCAGGTCGATGGGCGCGGCGCGGCAGGCGAAAGTGATGTGCCGAACAGAGTTTGATGACGGAGGATGAAAAAGGTAGCAGCCGCAAGGACCGAGCGACGGCACCCGCAACGTCGGCGGCACGGCATCCTGGCGGCTTTGCACTTGTGGCGCCGAATCGAAGGCCACGGAACTTTGTCTCGACGACAAGGCCGCCTCGTCAGCCGCGGCAGCGACCAATTGGCAACTGCACGCCAGTCCTGCGGGCCCACGGCCGGTGGCGCACGCCATGTGAAGGTGGGCCAGCTGAAGAAGAAGGGTCTGTACACGATTGCATGCGGAACATCGCCGCAGATCCCCCATCGAAGCGGATTAGCAGGCGATGCGGTGACGCCGCGCTGGGCCGTAAGGTCGCCCTGAAGCCTGCCTGCTATACCGCAACAGGGCGCGTCCGTATAGGGGAAGGTGGGTCCTGCTGCTCGCATTACCCCTTGCGGCCTAGAGCGCGCGCTTGGGTCGAGATAGCAGATAGCCGACTCCAAAAAGCCTCCGTCTCCGCGACTCGAGCAAGCGAGAGATCGGCCGGAGACAAATGTCGTCAATGCGTTTCGATAGTCGCTGCAATGGATACTACCCTCTACTCTGCACTACCGTGTAACAGTACGCGCCCGGATGCCTTCCACGCTCCGCCCCCGGCTCCGTGCGCCCTCCGCCCATTCTCAACACCAATGCCCGCTACTCTGTCATGAAGTCCCATGCCACCCGCGCCAGCACCTGGCTCGGGTAGTCGACCACCCGGTAGAAAAGCTCCGCTCCCGGCACCACCGTGACCAGGCACACCGCCAAGCACACAATGTTACTTGCGCCTTCCGGCCAGTTCTTGTCGATCCGCAGGTGGAGAAACAGCTTGATGCCAGCGGTGTAGATGACCGTCGCCTGGATGAGGAAGTAGCCTGTCGCCGCCGTCCTGTTAGCTGCCCGCAAGAGCCTCGAAAGAGGGAAAGGAAGAGAGAGAGAGAGAGAGAGAGCCTACTGAAAGAGCGACGCCCCAGGTACGTGAACAGCGGGTTCTTGAAAATCCACTGCAGCACGTCCGACGTCTCCAGCATGAGCATGAAGCCCACGATCACCAGGTAGTTGTCGTCGCGCGCCAGCGGCTGCGTCAGGTCCAGTCCGTCATTGAGCGATCCCGCGTTGTACAGGCCCGTGTGGCCCTTCAGCTCGGCGTTCTCGTACTGCGGTCGCCAAGCGGTCCACAGGTACTCCATCACGAGCCCTGCGATCAGCAGCGCGGCATATGCAATATACGACGGGCAGCGCATGGGCCCGATGCCCGGCACGCGCAGCGGGATGCCGCGCAGCGCCTTCGCCTTGAAGTCCATGTTCATGACCACGTCGGCGAGCAGCACGCCCGTGACCGAGTACCACGCCCACGACTGCACCCACCACGCCGTCGCGATGAAGAACAAAAACGCCTTGACGCGCCACGAGTTGCGCGTGTACGGGATGCAGACCATCGTCATGTACACCGTGTAGCTCTGCACGAAGACGATGCTGACGGTGAAGAGCGTCTGTGACGGAAAGGCCAGGCTGCCCATCTGCGTCGCGTAGTTCTTGTTCACCCAGAAGATCTCGAACATGGAGTTGAACCAGTTGAGGAAGTTCTGAATCCGCTCCGGCGTCTCAATCGTCACGTTGCCGGTGCGGGTCTTGAAATCATCGATGTAGCCGAGCCCGATCTGGTTGAGGACGACTGTCGAGAGCCCGAAAGCCACGGCGGTGGGTATCCAGAGGCGGATGCCGCGGCGGAACACCTGGCTGGCGACCATCTGGCGAGTCGACTCCACCAGGAACGGGAGACAGATGGTCCGCGCCGAGAGCAGGACGATAAACGAGTAGATGAGAGACTCGTTCCAGAAGAGCACGGAGAAGACCTTGCGGAGAATGATTTGGTAGAGCGGGCCATCGGTGTTGGCAGCGCCCTTGACCGTGGCCGGCGCGAAGACGGTCAGGAAGACCCAGACGAAGGACTGGATAACGAGGAAGCCGCGGACGCCGAGGAGCCAGTCGTGCTCGGGCAACAGCGACGGCGGGGAGCTGGATGAGACAAGGGATTGCAGCAGAGACTTGCGGCGAACGTCGGCAACGGCTGGGGCGGCGGTGGCGGCGTCATCGGCGGCGTCCTTCTCGCTCACGCGCGTGGTCGGGAGGCCCATGTTGGATGGTCGATTGCTTGCTGTCTGCGTGCTCTGCGGGAGGGGCCAAAGAGGAATGTCGTCTGGCAGAGAGCGCTGCTGGCCATGGCCGCCAGAGCGCTTCTGAACTTTATCGTCGGCGGGCGCATCTCGCAGCAGGCAGGCTGGGCTGCACGGCCCGGACAGGCATCATGTCGCCAAGGCAGATGGGCCGGGCAATAATGATGGAAGGGCATCGAGGACATCGAGGGGCCCGGGCGGCGCGGCAAGGGCACCACGGACAGGGGTAGGGCCGGGACAGCAGGGCGCGCCTCGTGGAGGGCGCTTGGATCGTCAGGCCGGGAAGAGGTCGACGGCGCGCGCAGTGGGCAGGCCAGGTCGAGACACTACGTAGGTAATAGATACCCACGTCGCTGAGCTGGCTCCGGCGCGATCTGATCGGGGTTGCGGTGCCTGATAGCCATTTTTCGTTTTTCCTCTAGCTTCCGTGCGTCGCCAGGCCTTCCTTCCCTACCTAGCACGCTGCGGTGGTACTAAGCGTTTCAGCCGATAAGCCTCTCCCGCCCGCCTGGCTCAGCCCCCGACCCGTGCGACAGGGGCCCCGGTCCTGCCGTCAACAACGCTCTACCACGTACTACCCGGCAACCACTCGACCTCCTCCCCAATCGCACGCCCATGTCCCGACGCCCGGCGAATTCTTCCGATCCCAGTTGCCGCCGCCGCCGCGGTTCCCCCCACCGCGCAAGCTTCTTTCCCGACCCGGGCAAGGTTATCTATCGTTTTTGCGCCATCGCGGCTCCAGCTGGGCGCGGAGCGATGAGGCGCTGGGCGCTGGACCATGGACCATGGACGCTGGACGCTGGACGCTGGACGCTGGGCCTGGCGCCTCATGCACGCTACCTGCCGTGTCGCCGGGACCGCGAAAACACTGCAGCGCCACGCCATGAATACTTCTTTCATTCAGCACACGCATCCCGGCGCCTTGCAGTAGTCAGTCCTTCTTTCGGCCTCTGTTCTTGGTCGATGGTTGCCCCTTTCGCCGCCGTTGCCCGCCGCGACGTCGAGCCTTCCATGATCGTGGGTGCACGCCACCGCTCGAGGCACACCTGGCACCTGTTCCAATTTCACCGCAACGCGCCCAGGCCGGCTCCATCTGCCGCCGGCCTCTGATGTTGATGAGGGCCAAGGAAAAAAAAGCCCGCTGAATCCAGGGAGGTTCGTCGTTCTACAAATTTTATCATCACGCTCACCTGACGCTCGTGTCCGCCTTACGGGCTGTCATTTCCCTCGAAGATATTGCGCGAAGGGCCGTTTTTGTGTCAGTTCGACGCAAAACTAACACTCCCTTTTTGCACGCCGGGGTCGTCAGCCCCGCCCTGTAGCCCCTGTTGTCTCCCCACATCTCCTCTGTCGTGCGAGATCCTAAAAATTTCCCTTGTGGAACCCGCAGTCGCCCCCCGGCCAGAAACGGCCGTGCCGCTTGGTTGATGGTGCAGCTGCCAAGCTAAACGTCATTTGGCCGGGATCATCCATCCCAACGACACGTCCCAAGAGACGGGAAGGACGGCGTGCGTCTTGATAAAAATATTCTCGTTCACTAGCTAAAGCCTCTTGCGTCCAGCCGTGTCTGTAGCGTCGTCCAAGCATGATCGTCCATCCATTAGGCTTATCGCGAGGATAAGCAGTAGCAAGCATCTAGTTGCGTGTATGTGCAGTAGTGTGTGTGCGCCCAGCTTCGCCGCAGGTATTCCCCAAGTCCGTCTAAAAATCCGCCGACTCCACGCACCAACGTGTAGAAAAGGAAATGTGTACATAAATGCAATGCATTGCGCAGGGGGCCGTGGCTGCATGCAGCTGTGCTGTCCGCGCCGCAAGCGAGCCTCCCCCGCGGCGCCGCTACCCTCCGATCCCCTCCGCTACGACCGTGCCGTGGGGTTCCAGTTGTTGTAATTCACCAGCTGGCGCGCATTTCCGTACAACCCGATCGTGGCGTTCAGCACCAGATAGAACGGGTACAGTACGGAGAACATCACGATCATCCGCAGGTTGACAAACTCCGACCGCACGCGCGCTGTGATCCACAACGTCGCAATGAGACACGCAATACTGCAGCGGGGTTAGCCGATGAAAATCCAGGATTATCGCGCGGGCCAGGCCAGGCTAGCCCGCTGCGAGGGGAGACGTACGTGATGATGAAGAACCAGACCGAGACCGGGAACGTGAACCAGATGAGCTTCGCGAGCTGGATCGGGTCGCGCGGCCATTTGGTGATGACAAAGCCGAACACCAGGCAGGTGTACTGCGTGACGAGGTAGTAGCTGAGCTCGCGGATCAACAGGAGGGAGAAGAGCCCGAAGCGGACCTTGGGCCTTCGAGGTGAGCCCTCGGGCGACTTGTTGTACGCAAGCTTGCAATGCTTGATGCTCGCCTGCGTCCAACCCTGCGCCCACCGCAGCCTCTGTTTCCAGAAAGACGCGAGGGTGGTGGGGGCGAGCTCATACGACACAACATTCAAGTCGTGGACCGTGTTGGCGCCACGTGACACAGCTCTCAATGCAGAGTCGATGTCTTCAGTGAGCATGTCGCCGTCCATTCTTAGATCCCTGAGCAGCGACGCGCGCCAGTAGCCGTTGGACCCGCAGAACAGACCGAACTCCCACATGGTAGCGCGGCCGGGATGCGAGACGGCGTAGATCTTGTCAAACTCGACAGCAATCATGCTCGCCAGCACGCAGTCCTTGGAGTTGAAGACCACGCAGCGGCCCTGGACAATGTCCACGGTCGAGTCCTGGCAGAAGCGCTCGGCAGCCCAGCGCGGCCCATGCGGGTGAGGGTAGTGGTCGCAGTCGTAGATGGCAATGACGTCGGAGCCCGTGTCGAGGGTGAAGAAGTAGTTGAGGTTGTCGGCTTTGGAAGTGGACTTGGGCACCTTGATGACGCGGAGCTGAGGGAACTTGGACTGCAGCTCGCGCAGCTCCGTCTCGAGCGGCTCAATCGGCTTCGGCGTGTTGTACAGGATGTTGATCCTGATCTTGTCGATGGGGTACACGATCTTGGTCAGCGCGTGCAGAGCGCGGTCCATGATGATGTCCTTCTCGTTAGGGAGATAGGCGACAATCAGGATGTCGATGATCGGCAGGTTGGCGTCAGGCGTTGGGAAGTTCCAGCCCTTCTCCTCGGCTTTGGCAACGGCCCTGCGGGCATCGCGGACCGGGGAGAGGCTGAGGAAAGCTTCGATGACGGTGGAGGCGGAGATGTAGAAGTTGGTGGCCAGATAGATAAACCAGAAGATGCCAATCCACTTGTGGGTGGCGACCATGTAGATGCACACCGAGAAGACAAAGTAGGAGAGGACCAGGCAGAAGGGAGTCCACTCGGTCACAAACTCGGACAGGCGGGCCAGAAAGCCGGGCCTGGCGGGTTGTTCGGGCAGGCCTCCATCGGACGACGAGGAACTGTAGAACGACTTGTCGTGGTGCTGCTCCTCCTCGATGGTGACGGTGAAGTCCTTGTTGTCAGCCATGGCGGGAGCAGGACTGGTTTGGGCAACAGGCGGAAACGACAGTGGCTCTTCAGGAAATGCAAGCGGAAACGGAGAAGAAATAGCAAGAGAGCGACGGGCCGGTGCTGGGCGAGGGCACGAGTCGGCGGAAACGAACGATTGCCAGAAGCTCGGTCTGCGGCGTTCGGTGGGTAGGCTTGGGGAGAAGATATGGGCCCGAATTGGCAAGGCCGCTCTTGAATTGAGGATGGGTCGCACCGGGCAGTGGGCCAGGGCGGCTTCCATGCATCGGTAAATTTCTCATCATCGCCATGGCGGGCGGCGGACCAGGGTGGGCTCGGGGCATCAAGGCAGGGCCGCGGGAGCACGGCCCTGTTCTCACGATGGCCTCCTGGCCGGCGTCTGCACGGCTGCGCGACGGCGGGCCTGCCGCCTTGCGTGTCGCTGCACTTGCAATATTGGAAATGAGGAAGTGGCCATGCGGGCGGCGCTGATAGGCGGACGGCCGGGCGCGGGGGATCCGGCGGCGACTGCAGGCAGAGGCGGGCGGCGCTGTCGCGAGCGCGCCGGGCTCGTCGTCTGCGTGGGATCGGCTGGCTGCTGCTTGTCTGCTGCTGGGCCATGGTGGGCGGGTGGTGCATGGCATGGGCGGCGGGCAGCAGGAGCGAGACAGGCAGACAGGCGGGCAGACAGGCGGGCAGGCAGGCAGGCAGACCGGCCGCGGCCACGCTCCCTGTCGTGCGCCGATCATCCGCCTGTCGCGCCGCCATCAATCAAGCCCATCTCGCCCGTGCCATCCACGCACGCCATCTCCACCACCCACCGCCCACTGCCCACCACCACCCACCGCCTGCCGCCGCCACCGACGCCTCGCTTGCGCCGCGAGTCGCTGCCAGGAGTCGGGCCGCCCGGCGCACGGCCACGCCGGGCAACGAGATGCCGGACGCGCCCTCCACCACGGCCATCAATCACCGCCAGCTTGGCATGCAGCCCTCATCAGCCTGGCCCGTCTGCCGATACGACGGCCGCCAGCTCGAAGCTTCGCCTCCTGCACACGGCGCCAAGCCAGGTACCTGACGGCCGCCTGCGCCAGCTGCATGCGCTGCGCAAGGACCAGGGCCCACGCTGCCAGGACGCGCGCCGCGGCTGCTACCCAAATCTCTGTGAGGCCTTTCTGTCGCGCCGCTATGCTTGCATCGACAGTGGGCGGCCGATCCGCCTGTGCTGGCCCGCCCTTTCCAGCGCTGCTCCGGCCGCTGAGGCCGCGCCCTGCTTCCTCTTCTGGCCGGGAGCACCATTAAACGCCCTGCAACCCGCCTTTCCACGGGCTGGGTGCGCGCTCGTTCTCTCTCACTTCCTTGCCGTGCCGTCCTTCACATGGCCTCCTCCACCATGCGGTTCTGCCTCGCGGCCGCCGCCGTTGGCCTTCTCTTTCCGGCCAGCACTGTCGCCGCCGCTGACGCCGGCTGCTCGTGCGGCTTCTACGACGACATCACCGGCGACCTCTTCACCGAGTCTCTGATCCAGTACTTCAACGAGACCTCGGACCTGGACCACTTCGTGCTCGAGAACTTCGAGCACAAGTCGGAGAAGAGCTGGAACAGCAAGTTCCGCCAGGGCGCCCTCCCCGACAATGTCATCGCCAACTACACCATTGCCAGCAACGTCACCAATGGCACCTCGCTCGGCCTCGTCTGCGACCCGTACACTGACGCCCACGTTGTCAATGGCGGCAGCGTCAGATCCAAGCGCCGCGATATCCAATACGGCTCCTTCCGCTCCCTTATGCGCGGCCCCGCCATCAATGCCGGCGGCAGCTCCATGACCATGAGGCTGCAGTTCAACGAGAGCGAGTCTCTCGAGATCAACGTCATGAACACCGACTCCTACGCCAATGCCTGGGTCAACACCCTGATGCAGGGCGAGTGGCCGGACCGTGACCTGGGCATCAACTACACCGTCCTCGGCAACAGCTCGCTGGCCAACGGCACCGCTTCGCCGCAAGACTTCATGGAGTTTCGCATCGACTGGACCGACAAGGAGGTCCGTTACTTTGTCGGTCAGAACAACAGTCGCACCGTGACCAAGAAGAAGCACGGCTCTGTCCCCATGACCCCCTCGCCCTTGTACTTCCGCCACTGGTCCATCGGCAACACTTACGCCATGGAGGGTCCCCCAAACTGGCGGTCTGCTGCCAATGTCGGCTGGATGCGCATGTTTTTCAACACGTCAACCATGACGGACGAGCAACACGACGAGTTTGACGCCAGATGTACCTTCGAGGATGCCTGTTCCATGAACGACATGAGCCTTCGGCTGGTCTCCCCTTACCACACCAATGCTACGGTGAAGTGGAAGTATCACGACCCCCGTGGCGGCCTGCTCACTGCGCCCATTTGGATGTCCGTCATCATGGCCGTGTTCTCGACGTTCCTGTTGATCCATGCCTTTGTGAAGAAGGCGGTCGGCAAGCAAGCCCCCGCTGGCCACGGCCAGCCGAAAGAGTCTGCATCGGACTCGGATCGTTCCTCCCCGGCTCCCGCCTATCGATCCACCGAACCCAGCATCATTGCGTCCAGTAGCACAACACCGTTCAACCAAACGCGACCTTCGACCCCGGACAAGAAGAACAGCGCCGAAGCGCCTCCCCGACGCTCGGACTTTACTCCGTCCGCATCGGGAACCTCAACTCCACTGCCCCGCTATGAGAGCAGGGAATATCTTGGCAGATATGACGACGATTTGATAAGTCCTGTTTCCTCGACGCCGAATTTGCCGAACGGGGCTCCCGACCCATCTTTTTACCCTCCGACTTCGACCAGAGCCTCGTCGCTAAGGAATGCCGTGGTCTACACCGACGACAGTGCTATGCCAGAATTTGCGCTTCCAGATTCGGCCAGGGATTCCGCGCAGACGCTCGTGCCCAGAACTCCCATGTCCCCTCTCTCGCCCAAGTCACCATCCTCCCCAGCACCATGGTCGCCAAAGAACAGGGAAAAGGGATTCGGAGCTGCCAGAGTCAAGGAGGTGGCCGAAGAGCCCAAAGAGCATCCCCTCAAGACCACCACGATTGCGGGTGATGCTAAAGCTGCTGACAAGATTCCCACCGCGAAAAAGGCCCGTGTTGACTATTTGGCCGGGCTGGTTGCGCTTTGTTCGATATTCGTCACCTTGATCCATTTCCACCTGACTTACGTGCCGGCCGTGGTCATTCCAGGAGCCTTTGTCCACTATCCCAGCGAGCTTTGGGCGGAGAAGCTCATCTCCCCGTTCATCATGAACCAGATGTGGCTCGGTGTCTTCTTCACGACTTCGACCCGCTTCTTGTCCGCGAGGTATTTCCGCGAAGGCAAGTTGGAGGTCATTGCAGAGCGTGCCGTCAAGCGTGCGCCGCGTCTCATGATCCCCGTCACTGCCATGGTCCTTCTGGAGTACTTCTTCATCGACGTCGGTGCGACCAAGTACCTCGAGTACGTGCCTTCGGTGTCCTGGTCCACCTGGGGTTACGTGGCCAAGTTTCCTTCCGCGGGCCATTTCATCAGCGAGATTCTCGAGCTCGTCTATCTCATCCCCAATGCCGTGCCGCAGATTACGTTCAATTACTGCACTGGTGTCCTCTGGACCATTGCCGTGCAGTTGCAGGGATCCTGGATTGTATTGCTCGGAGCGATTGTCATCCGCGAGATCAAGACACCCTGGAAACGCTTTGGCTACTACGCATTCTGCGTCCTGCAAAACTGGTACGCAAGGAATTGGGGCAGCTTCTTCTGGCTGGGTCTCATGCTCACCGACCTGGACATCACGTACAAGTGGCGGAAGTACCTGTACCCACGTCCCTTGGCGTACTACCCGTTGATCGGTTTCTGCACCTTCATGACTCTGATTGGTTTCACGATGAACCTTCTGCCACAGTGGGTCAGCTTCAACTTCACCACGCATGAGAACGGAATCCACCCGGACCAGGAGACTGGTCTCCCCATTGTGCAGACGGAGCGCTATGCGTACCCCAACTACTACGAGCCTCGCTTCAACATGCTTCTCTTCGCAGTCGGCATGCAGGCCATTGTGGAGCTGTCGACTGTGGTGCAGAAGATCTTGTCGTTCCCGGTGCTGGTTTGGGTTTTCCCGCACATCTTCACCATCTACCTCATCCACGGCTTTGTCTTCTGGAGCTGGGGCTCATGGCTCCTCGTGACCCTTGCCCACCAAGACTTTGTCTACTGGCTGAATGCCCTCCTCGTCGGGGTGACTTGCTACGGCATCATTCTGCTGTCATTGCCAATCGTCACGCCCGCCATCGAGATTCTCGGGCGCGACATCACCATCAACATCTGGGAGTTTGCCAACGTGAAGCCGCCGCCGAAGAAGGACACGCTTTTCCCGTTCAACAAGCACGAGCTTGGCATGGACGGTGAAAAGAGCGAGGGCCAGACGGTGGTCGAGGAGGTGCGAGAGATCAGGGGGGAACATGACGAGAAGCATCAGGTGAAGTTTGACGAGAGAAACATGGTCTAAGGGACGACGATATGTAGGTTTTGAGTTAGCGTTGGTTCTTTTGTTTTTTGTAATGTGTATCCCAAGCGGTCTCCCCGGTACATAGAGCGAGCTATGTTCTTAAGGTTCGAGTAGAGCTGAACGAGGAATGTAATGGATATCCGGCGTTGTTGATAGTGTTGTTCATAGCCTGGCACCCTCATAGATAGACGTAAAAATGACCGTCACTCTGCCAATGCTCAGCGTGAAGCACAATCTTGGACAGGCTTGACGTGGCCAATGTGGAAGAATGGGGCTGCTGCAAGGCTGAAGGGCGGGAGTGGGGCTGGACGGGCGGCACGGTCGAGACGCAGGAACACCCGTATCTCCGACCGGTTGACCAAGTTTCTTTCCCACGGGCTCCACCAGACAAGCTTCCGCGCTGCCTTGATTCCCGGTCCATGACAGTGATTTACCTACGTGGGCAGTGCACCTCTGACTCCCCACCGTTCCGAAACGCGCAGTGGCACGTCCGCCGGCCGGGACGAACGTGACAGCAGCCTGGGATCGCAAGGGCCAGACCCGGACCAAGAGATCTCTATCCTATCATCTGTCCACATGCTGATTTGAACATCGGTCCGACCGCTGCCCGGCATGTGCCGAAGAAGAATGCCAGCGTCCTTCCGTATGGCACAAACGGCCGGCTTTCTTGCCTTCTCCGCGTTCCCCAACCCTGTTCTCGACCCGGTGAGGAACTCCGTTGCCCGCATCATGCACAGACATGCCGTTCGACCCTGCCGAGCATCTGGAAAAAGCCCATAGGCTCAACAAGCATGCCTGGTCCAGGGGGGCTTTCCCCCTCCTATCCGGTGGGTCACGATCCGCACGAGTCTGCCAAGGCAGCGAAATTGGCCTGAGCAGGACACCTTCACAGTATCGTGCTTGACGGTGTAACGGGTTATCCAATCATGAGGCTATATTGAATCGCCTTTTGTTGACAACCGAAGAAATTCCACGAGTGCCGTCACAGAATCTCGTTGGCTACCCCATTACACCGTCGAACACGTTGATATCGGTATGAAATGGCCCGAAGAAGCTGCCACGGTGCGTTGAGTGGAAATATGGGTGGGATCCGCAAACCACCGTCAACGCCTTATTCCGTGGTCACCGGTGTGCCGGGTTCAATGGCGTGTTTTTAGTTTCGTCCGCATCTTCGAAGGTGGAGCTTTCGTTCGAATGAGAAGCTAGGACCATGGTGTTTGGCGACGAACTATGTGCATGGGGGCATCGTGCCCCCGTGATGTCGTGCTTTGCTTTCGTGTCGTTGTTTCCACCGCCTTGCGGTGAATGTTTGGCTTATCACGCCCGTCAGCGTCGGCACGGATAAAGTTTCGATTGTCCCTGGCTTGTCTCCTCTTCAATACGTATAGACTTACGACATAGGCACTTGGAGCAAACGCCCGAACGTGGATTCTGGCTTCGTTGACACGGGAACACGTTTCGTTGCGGCGGCAGGTTGGTGCTTTTGTTCTGTACAGCTTGCTGTTCACTGCCGGCGACTGGATGGGCTGAATGGGCCGGGTTGTATCTGGGGTTGCCCCGCAGATGCTTCGTCGATATCCGATGTCGGGCCAACTCGGAGATGATACGTATCTATGGCAAAGGCTGCTGCACCTCCAGCCACGAGAAGGCGCGGGTGCAGGCGACGGACGATGCGGCGGTCGAGACGGTGACGGCGCCCGGCCGCGCCGCCCCGCCACGCCGTCCCTCGCAGTTGTCCACTGGGTGTTGGGAATAATAATGCGAAAACGCGAACCGCGGGATGGAGCGGGAGAAAAGTCGGCTCGTGACCAGGTTCTGACGTCCCGCGCCCGTTGCCGAAGGCTGGCCGAAAGCGATCCGGGTTGGCAGCGCCCAGCTTTTGCTTCTGCACCTCCGCTGCAACCAACACCAGGCCCCCGTCCGCCGCCATCCCAGCATCCCCCCTCTCCGCTCTCCAATCCGTCATCATGCTGGCCCGGAGCTCTCAGCGCACCGCCCAGGTACCTTCTCTCGCCCGCACCGCCCGCGCCGCCCGCGCCCGCCGGCTGCGCCAAGTCCTCTGTCCAGGCTAATGCGCTCTTTCAAATAGACCCTCCTGCGCGGCGCCTCGCCTGCCACCCGCTCCTTCGCGACCGTCCAGAGCGACATCTTCAAGCCCACCAAGTTCGGCGGCAAGTACACCGTCACCCTGATCCCCGGTGACGGTGTCGGTGCCGAGGTCTCGGAGAGCGTCAAGCAGATCTTCAAGGCCGACAACGTCCCCATTGAGTGGGAGCAGGTCGATGTTTCCGGCGTTGACTCTGGCAACAAGCACAGCGAGGACCTCTTCCGCGAGTCCATCGCCTCGCTGAAGCGCAACAAGCTTGGTCTCAAGGGTCCGCCGCCCCCAACGCCCGCCCCGTGGCCCACACGAACCCTCCACGCTTACCATTGATAGGTATCTTGCACACCCCCGTCGAGCGCTCCGGCCACCAGTCCTTCAACGTCGCCCTCCGCCAGGAGCTCGACATCTACGCCTCCATTGTGCTGATCAAGAACATCCCCGGCTATGACACCCGCCACAAGAACGTCGACCTGTGCATCATCCGTGAGAACACCGAGGGCGAGTACTCCGGCCTCGAGCACCAGTCCGTTCCCGGTGTCGTCGAGTCGCTCAAGATCATCACCCGCGCCAAGTCTGAGCGCATTGCCAAGTTTGCCTTTGCCTTTGCTCTCGCCAACAACAGGAAGAAGGTCACCGTCATCCACAAGGCCAACATCATGAAGCTCGCCGATGGTCTCTTCCGGAACACCTTCAAGAAGGTCGCCGAGGACTACCCCACCCTCGAGACCAATGACATGATCGTCGACAATGCCTCCATGCAGTGTGTCTCGCGTCCCCAGCAGTTCGACGTCATGGTCATGCCCAACCTGTACGGTGGCATCCTGTCCAACATTGGCGCTGGTCTGGTCGGCGGTCCTGGCATTGTTCCCGGCTGCAACATGGGCCGCGATGTTGCCGTCTTCGAGCCCGGCTGCCGTCACGTCGGTCTCGACATCAAGGGCAAGGACCAGGCCAACCCTACCGCCATGATCCTGTCCGGCTCCATGCTCCTCAGGCACCTGGGTCTTGATGACCATGCCAACCGCATCTCCAAGGCCGTCTACGACGTCATCGCCGAGGGGTGAGTATTTCCGCTGCCCCAGTGATATCCAGCAGAGCTAACCCCCATACAGCAAGACCAGGACCCGTGACATGGGCGGCAGTGCCTCGACCCACGAGTACACCAAGGCCATCCTGACCAAGATGGAGGAGCAGATCTAAAATTGTAGGTTTAAGGTACTAGACGCGTTAGACCGGGCTGCATGGGAGGCTGTGGCATATAGGTGTATTTCTAGCCGTACATAGCTCGCATCGTGCAGAGTGATATCTTCCATTTTTATATCCATGACGCCGTCCTTCCTCAAACGCCGCAAATGCACACCGGGTATATCTCGTGCGAGACCTTGAATACCAACTGTTCCCATGGACGACTTGGCGTAGACTTTCTTGTCCCCAGCCCAGCGCCTAGAACTGAATCCTTCTCTTTCTGCCCGTGTATTTGGACGAGGCCTTGACAACCTTGCCCTTCCTCTCCATCTGGTCCTTCTTCCTCATGATCCACGCTTTGCTTCCCTTCTTGTCGTCTCCTTTCCTCATCTGCGACTTCCTCTTCCTTGAATCCATCACGTCGACATTGTCCATTCCCTTGACAACGCCCGTGATATCTCCCTCCAGATCACCGCCACCGACGGTCAGGACGAGGTACGTCTTGGCGCTCTTGGTGCCCGGATCATCCTCGAGCAAACCTGCGCCGAAGCCGGCGCGGATGGCGGCTTGGCTGATCATGCCCTTCTGCTGGTCGTTCTTGGGGTAGAACTGGCAGACGGCACGGCCGCCACGCCGCAAGCTCGCGTACAGCCCGCCGAAGAAGCGGCTCAGGCGGCCCTGGGCCGTCTCCTCACTGCTCTCGGCGTTGCACAGCCACTGGACGGCCGAGATGCTGATGGCGGCATCGAAGGTGCCGGGCCGGAAGGGCACACCCTGGCCGGCGTCGGCCAGAAACAGGTCGCCCTCAACCTCGCGCTCCAGCGCCACGCCCAGCATCGACGGCGAGATGTCCATGCCGATCCACGTGTGCGGACCGCCCTCGGACGGGTCCGTCGACGACAAGATCTGCCCCGAGAGCCCGGAGCCGCAGCCGACATCGAGGATGAAGGAAGGTCGCCTCAGGTCGAGGAGTTCGAGCGCGCGCTTCGTCATGGAGGCTTGGATGTGCTGAATACGCGAGGACGTCGTGTACTTGTGGGACTCGGAGTCATTGTAGAAGAGGTCTGGCGGGCTGTGTGAGAGAGTCTTAGCGAGGCGATGGCCGGGGAACCTGGGGGGTGGTGTGTACATACAGAATGTCTTCGGGGCGCGACATGGTTGCGTTTTGGCTGCGCGCAGCCTGTCTTCACGACTATTTCACGGGCGGCAAGGGCGGCCTGAAGACGGCGTCTGATGCAAGGGCGATTATGGAGGCAGACGGCAGCGAATTGCGGGGAGCGACGGTGCCGACAGCGAGGCCCAAAAGTTTGGTGTTCAGCGCCGGCACGCTGACTCGGCGCGGATCAGATAAGATGGCCGAGCGAGTCGCATCTCTCGCGCAAGCTGGCGACGTCAGCCGTCGCTCAAGGCCACCTCGCGCCGTTCCTCGCTCGCTCTCCCCATCTCACGTTCTTTGCCTTTCTCTCCCACGCTCTCTTCCCGCACCGAAGGCAGCATGTGGGTGTTACCGCTTGTGGGCTACCTGGGCCTCATCCTGGGCTTTGGCTTCCTCACCTTGGCCATTGGTATGTCCACCTCTCCCCTGGTCGCGTGCATTAAAGGCAGCCTAGCTGACCCCGACTTTTCTGTCGCCTCTAGCCTCGGGCCTGTACTATCTTTCGGAACTCGTCGAGGAGCACACCGTCTTGGCAAAGAAGCTGCTCACGCGCATGATCTACGCCGTCATGGTCTTGCAGCTCCTCCTCTGGCTCGTCGACAGCTTCCCCCTCAGTCTGAGCGTCCTGAGCATGGTCTCCCACATTGTCTATGCGCAAAACCTGCGCCGCTTCCCCATTGTCAAGCTGACAGATCCGCTCTTCATTGTCTCCTGCAGTAAGTCGCGCGGCCCTCTCGAGCGAGATGCCGATTGCACGGCCGGCGAGCGTGCTAACGCCACTCCCTCCAGTCCTCGTTCTAATCAACCATTACCTGTGGTTCCGCCACTTCTCGACGCCCCCTCCTCGCTCAAACTACTACCCGTACAACACCAGCCGCGACTATTCGATTCCAACATTCACCGAGATTGCCTCATACTTTGGGCTTTGCGTGTGGTTGGTCCCCTTCGCGCTCTTCGTATCTCTCAGCGCCGGAGAGAACGTGCTACCAACCATGGGCAGCGAGTACGCTACGGGCGAGGGAAGCAGCTTCATTGCGCCTGGCCAAGAGCCAAGCGGGGCGGCGGCGAAGAAGGCCAATGTGGGACTGGCGAAGGCGGCCGTCGACGGGGTGAGGGATTGGTTGGGGGAGACGGGCGAGGTCATGGGATTCTGGAAAGGGGACAGGGTCAAGCGTTTCTAAAGACGGAAGCGAAGGCCGAACTTAATGAATTTCTGACGCTGGTTGGATTGCCGTGGCCCCGCACTCTCAGGCGCACCCTGCAGCAACAGTCGCCGCGTTGCGCTAGGCTCTAAGCGGCAGGAACAAAGGCCGCATCTGCGGGCCCGTGAGAAGCGCGATCTCGAATCTCACGTCTCGAGTCCGCCCCGCCGTTGCTCGATGCCGGTGGTGGTAAACAAGGCTTGGCGGGCGGAGAGCTTCCGCTCGCCTCGGGGCCCAGCCGCTGGCGTCATCTCGCGACTCAAGCTAATGCCCGCCCCAAGCTCCATCTTCATCTACAACTGCAAAACTATTCATCGAGGGTCATTCGCCCGCATTTCACCACCAGAATGCGCGCTGCAGCCGTCATCCCCGCGCTGCTCGCCCTCGCCGCTCCGCTCACATCAGCGGCGCAATCGCCATTGCAATGGCTGGAGCAGCAGCAGCTGAACCCCCCCACTCCCGATGCCGCAAAGCAAAGTCCTGCCCACCTGCTTCCCCTACCTACCCTGCATGAGCTCCTGACGCTGCATCGGGAAATCGTCAAGATCGAGTCCATCAGCGGCAATGAGTACAAGGTCGGCTGGTGGCTGGTGTCGTACCTGAAGGAGAATGGGTTCAACGTCGAGACGCAGAAGGTCGGCGTTGGAGAGAGAGGGAACACAAGGTTCAACATTCTCGCCTGGCCCGGTGACAGAAAATTCACGAAGCTGCTGGTTACCAGCCACATAGACACCGTACGGGCACCGCCATTGGTGAAGCACTGGTCCAGTCTGCTCACGCCCATATCTATAGGTCCCTCCCTACCTGCCCTATTCCTTCGACACCAAGGATGACAAGATATACGGACGCGGCAGCGTCGATGCCAAGGGCTCCCTCGCGGCCCAGGTCACGGCCGTCATCTCGCTGCTCGCCAACAGCAGCGCCCCGCTAGACCCCAACGACGTGTCCCTGCTCTTCGTCGTCGGCGAGGAGACGAGCGGCGACGGCATGCGCACCTTCTCCGGCTCCTCTCTCAACCCGCTCAACTACAGCGCCGTCCTCTTCGGCGAGCCGACCGAGAACAAGCTCGTCAGCGGCCACAAGGGCAACATGGGCTTCCGCGTGCACGTGACTGGCAAGGCCGCGCACTCGGGCTACCCGTGGCTGGGCGTCAGCGCGAACAACATCCTCATCAAGGTTCTGAGCCGGATACTCGATCTCGAAGCTGGCAAGGTCGAGGGCGCGGAGCTGCCGTGGAGCGACAAGTATGGCAACACGACGCTGAACGTCGGCACCGTGTTCGGCGGCGCTGCCGGCAACGTTGTCGCAGAGAAGGCGAATGCGACGATCACGATCCGCCTGGCGGGCGGCTCGCCGTTCGAAGTGCGGGGGGAAATTGAAAAGGCGCTTGCGCCGGTGATTGAGAGCGCGGAGACGGCCGGTGGCAAGGTGGAGCTCGAGTATCGGAACGCGGGATACCGTCCTGTTGACATGAACTGCGATGTCAAGGGCTTTGACTGCATCACCGTCAACTATGGCACAGACGGTAAGTACCACAATGCATGATAAGAAGGCAATACTAACTTTGGATCAGTCCCTTGGTTGGATGGTGATCATAAGCGCTATCTCTACGGTCCGGGAAGTATCTTCGTCGCCCACTCGGCCAATGAAGCAATTGACGTCCGCGACCTTGAGCGGGCGGTCGTGGACTACCAGAAGCTGATCCTTGCAGCTCTGAAAGTTTAGGTGGGCGTGGTTACAAAGGACTGATCGTTGTGCCCCGCGGACCTTACTCTTCCTACGAGCGTAGTTGAATATGGCACAGATGCAAGCTTAAAGACTGTATCAATATATTAAGTATATTTACCCATGGGATCCAATCACATGTAACAAATAGGGTACTATCGCTATGATGCTTGTCGCGTGGACCAATTGTTTTGCGGCCTGTTGTGATGCACGATCATGACTCGGCACCGCTAGCCTCTCCGCGATTTGGCGAGTCAGCGTTCGTGAACTTTTCCATTGCGGAGTTCCGCAGCGCCCACGTCCTGATCAACCCAGTCTGCAAACCCGCTCAGCCGTGCACATTACCCTACACGTCCCCCCCCCGCCCCGCGACCCTGAACTCGCGCTCGCTTGACCTGTCCGACGACTGTCCACAAGCCCGGACCGCAAGACAAAAAGTCGCACCGCCGAAAATTTTCCTTCCCGCGCTCCACTGCAGGCCGCGCGCGTCCAGCAGCCATGGCGCCGCCTCCCCGCAAACGCTCAAAGACGACCGAGCGACCCGAAGAGATCACCTTTGACAACTCGGCGCGCGCCGAGTACCTGACGGGCTTCCACAAGCGCAAGCAGGCCCGCATCAAGCACGCGCAGGAGCAGGCCGTCAAGCGCGAGAAGGAGGAACGCGTCGCGCAGAGAAAAGAGGTGAGATTTCCGCAACCCGCTCTGCTTTCGGCTTGTTTTTTTTTTCTCTCCCCTCCGAGCGCCTTTGGCTGTTCTTGCCTTTTCCTTCTTGCCTGTCTACAGAGCCGTCGGGCACGTTCCCTGCTCGCTGTTTGCCTCGTACGCGCAACCGTCATATCTGCAGTCGGGTCTGCCTCGAGCTTCGGGACGGCGGAACTCTATTTTGCCCACGCCGGTCACGTTTCTTCCTCTATTTTTTTTTTGAGCAAGCATACTGATGGTATTCCTTTAATCGCAGCTGCGACAACAACGCAAGGAGGACCTCGAACGCCATGTCGCCGAAGTCAATCGCATGCTCAAGGAGGCGAATCCCGATCTTCAATCTTCTTCGGACGACGAAGGTGACGAGGGAGGGGAATGGAACGGTATCGAGGAGGGTGGTGAGGAGCAGAAGCATGAGGATGTCGTGGACCGCGAGGAGGAATACGTTGACGAGGACAAGTACACTACGGTGACGGTCGAGACGGTGGACATCGACCGGGACGGCTTCAAGAAAAGGCCGGCCGGCGATGAGGATGACGAAGAGGATGGAGAGGACGAGGATGTGGAAGGTCGGGATGCAACAAACGAGGCGGGAGGGGAGGCGGACGCAAAGAAGGCGAACGGGAAGCGGGTGTGGACCAAGGAGAGACCGAAGACCGACAAGCCGAAGAAGAAGAAATTCCGGTATGAGAGCAAGGCGGAGAGAAAGGTAACGCGAGACAAGCAGAAGGCGAAAAGCAGGACGCAGGCCCAGGCACGGAAGGCGAAAGGGAAATAGAGGTGGCGGTAGGGAGGGGGCTCATCGGTCCAGCATTCAGACGAAGATCATAACGGCGGAAACGCCACTGGGTAAGTAGCTTGAGTTACGACTCCATGGTGGTTCCAAACAAGCACGACAGACAGCCAGGTAGTCAGGGGTAGAGGGTTGCTATGTCACTGAGGAGGAACTACCAACAGAGAAATGCAGGGCCGCAAGGCCTGCGTGACAACTGCACCGCCTACTCCCACCCAGTTCTAACGCTGAGAACAGTGTGCCAACCATTGAAGTTCGCTCGTTGTGATGATAAAATTGTTGTTGAAAAGGAGGCAGACGCCGGGAATGGAATTAGATGTTGCCAATCTCGTTGACGAAGTCGTCCAGCTCCTTCTTGGTGTCGGCGTACTTCTTGGCCATCTCCTCGTATTTGGCCTCCCACTGGTCCCTCTCGGCCTCGAGAGCCTGCACCTTGCGCTCGTAGTGGCCTGCCCGCACGTCGGTCTGACGGAGCCTGTCGGAAGCCTGTCAGCACGGTGGGGGACAAGTAGTGGGGTGGAATTGTAAGTGGAACGACAACGACGTTTGCATGTGCGCACGCACTGGAACCAGAAACGCTTCGGGGTCAGAAAGGTGACGTACTTCTCGTTCGTCTCGCGCAGGTTCTTGTCCGCCTCCTCAGCCTCCTCCTCGAGCAGCTGCACCCGTCGGGTCAGCGACTCGTTGTGGGTGCCCGCCTGGGAGCTGTCGTCGGCGATGGCCTTGGCATCCTTCAGGTGGGTCTCGAGCTTCTCGACCTCGCCCTCGAGCAGCTGGTTCCTGTGGGCGAGCGAGGTAATCTCCTGCTCCTTGGCCAGGTTCTCCTGTTCCAGACGCTTCTTGTCCGAGGACAGCTCCTCGACCTTGGCAGTGGCTTCGTCGGCCTCGATGCGGAGGGCGTTCATGCGCTGGACAGCAGCTGTCGTTAGCGCGACTCGTCCGTAGACGGCGCCGGCGGGGTTGGGCGCGGCCGGGGGCGGGCGGGCGAGCTTGTGATTACTCGGAGGCCCTGGAGGGGTAAAAAGAGGGGGTTGCTCACCTTCTTGATGGCGTCCATGATGGGCTGAGCAGAGGACTGGGATGTGCAGAAATGGGTATAGGATGCGCGGGGCGGTTGAGGGTGCAAGGCCGTTGGCAGAGGTAGATGGGATGCGGTGGTGGAGCGGAAGGTGACAGAAGGTAGTGCGTTGTTCGTCGCGGCGCGCGGGCGGTGAGGCGCTGGTGCAGATGCAGGCCCAGGGGGCTGCCAGGGGGCGCCTGTCGCACTGCGCCTGCCGGGCCCGCGCCCCGTTGCCCGTTGCTGCTGCGACCGCATGCCGGGCCGCAGTGTAAACAGTCCAGCGACCACATCCGCACCTCCACCCCACATCGCCGACTGCCGTCCATGCCACCATCTTCCTGCAACAATGCTTGCCGCACACGCAGACCGTGAGAACATCGCCGCCGCCCACCAGCAGGCGGCTGCCGCGAAGCCTCTCAATGCCGGCACTAGAGCTTTCGCTGCAAAGACGCCCGCCAACAAAGTCCCCAAGACGCCATTTAAGGTCGCGCTCAACGACGAGAATGGCACCACCCGCGCGGGCAAGGCCGCCTTGAACGCAACCACCAAGGGTGCCGAGAACCAATTGCTACCTCCCGGCAAGAAAGGCGCCGGGCCAGACAGCAATGCCTTCGTCACGCCTGCAGGTGGGTCGCAGCGAAGCCCGACTGTCTTGCGCGCCGTCGGCTAACGGACACTGCCAGGTCCCCGTATGCGTGCTCCGTTGGGCATGAAAACGACCAACGCCAAGGCAGCTGCCTTTGCAACTCCCGCCCCACAGACGGAGCCAGCCTCTGAGAAAACCGGCGTGAAGAGCAGCGACCCGCGGCTCCGTCGTGTCAAGGTAAAGGTCCACCAGGCTTCGCCGGCCTTGGAGCTTGCCAATGATGAGGAGCGTGACATTGAGTACATGCCGCCCCGAGAGATTCGTAAGCCTCCTTCCTGTCGGTCGCACTTCACTGGTGCACTGTGAGCTCATGGACCTTTGTAGCACTCCCCGATGACCCCGAGGACTGGCCGTCCGATATGCAGTACCCTCAGCTCGAGGGACAGAATCTCATGCGTGGCACCTACCAAGTCTACTACGATCCGGTCGATGATGATGGCGTCCACCTTTCTGACAAGCGCATTGCCGAGCAAAAGGCCAAGATTAACGCTAGCCACGAGGCAATGCTCCAGAAGAACATCGAAGAAACCCTTGGACCGTTGACCGACGATGAACGCGAGCTCTTCGGGTTTGCTCCTGCGTTGAAGCCCGCGCCCAAGCCCCAGCCTGCTGCAACTCGGCCAGCAAGTGTTGCGAGCACGTCCAAGTCCACCGCCGCCACTACTCGCCGGCCACTGAGTGTAGCCGCAACCTCAAGGCCAGCCGTGGCGACGTCTCGGACCGTTGCCTCCGCCCTCGCAAACAGCAATAATTCCACCGCCTCTATGCGAGCCCACACGCGTTCCCGCTCTGCCTTATCCACTACTACGCCTCCGGCTACTGCTCAAGCGCGACAGAAGCCGCCGGCACCAGCCATGCCGAAGCCTTCGAACCCCTCCAGCATGAGATACCAGGCTGCCACGGCTGCCTCACGTACAACCCTAGGCTACGGGAAGGGCCGTGCGATCGGCACTTCTATCCGCAAGCCGCTGTGTGTGTCCTCCGGTAACCAGCAGCGTTCCGTTTCTCAGGGTACCACGGGTCTGGCTCAAAGTGCTATCACTACAAGTGCACGCTCCGCAGGACCCTTGCGTTCTCGTTCAGTTCGGTCTCGCCACGAGTTGGATACGACGACCGCTGCCGATGCTTGGTCTCAGGACGAGAACGATGACCCAGAGATGGAGATGATTCGGGAGATGGCGCTTCGCAACCTACGCTTGACCGATCGGGTGGATGACAATGACTGGTTCAGCCGGGCACAGTCCGGAATTTCCGCCTTCGATATTGCTGATGAGGAAGAAGATTTCCAGTTCACGGTACCTGAGGCTTAGATTGCCAGCTTAACTCGTACCGATCGGATGAGGCCTACAAAAGGCTGGAATGTGCGATCAGATGAAACTGCAGAACTTCCTCTACTCGACTCGACGGTGTAGCCTTTCATTACTTGTACTCTGCCCCTTTTCTTTTTATCGATTGGTTCTGCAGGCAAAGAAAATTTGGGGAACGGAAAATTGGGAATACCCCGGTCATAGCAATTACGACGCTGCTCGGGAAGCAAGCGCTTGAAGGATTAGTCGTTGCTGCGAGCGCCGACATTCATTGCTTGAAGACCCAAGTTGGCACTTTACACGGAGCATGAGGCTGGGGCGTGTGTTTCATTGGGGCACTGTACTTTTTACACTTGGGCAACAAGGCTCCTTTCACTACATGTATTATGAGGCTTGGTCGATCACCGCGACAAAAGGGCCTAACAGGAGGAAACTTCCTATTTTGACATATGTAAGATTATTGGACTGCCATGCACCTCTACAAAGTAGACCGTGATCGATGACTTATCCTAACGCAACAGGAGTTGCGGTTGTGTCGCGATTTCGCCCGATTAGATTTCAGTTGTTGCTTCATCGCTGCGCTGTTGTGATGTCTGTGCATAGAGGAAGAAGCCACCATGGGCGCTGCCCAAGATGGAAAACAAAGCTGAACAACTCTGGGAGCGAGCATACATAATGGTTTTCCCATCGCGTGCCCCAGCTATTTACTTTTATCCCGTCCGTCCGTCCGTCCGCAAGACCAAGCCCAGACCCTCCCTCTTCAACGCTGTTCCTTCTGCCGTAGTGTCGTCTCTAAAAATAAAAATAATGACCAAAAATGAAACATCGCCGTTTGCGGATCAGGTGTTTGTCACCTAATCCGTACCGGCCAAGCAGCTGCCTCGATTCTGCTTGATCGCATGCAAATGAGCCAGTAACAATCGCCGACCTATTTTGTATTCTCGACCAACGGCCGATGAGGCATGTTCACGTGCGGGAATCTCTTTTTTGTTTTTTGGCGGCCACTCCCGCCCTTCTCTCAAATAAACTCCAATGTCCCTGTGGTCGTCATGATGGGCCAAGTACTGTTCGACACCGGTTTCAAGAAGCTTTCCTCGGCGTCAGGATCAAATGAGGCGATGCTGTCATGGCTGAACAAAGTCAAGGAAAAGGGGAACATAGCACTCGGGCAGTTCAATAGTTCCCCGCACTTCGGGAGCGGCCACCATCACATGAAACGAGAAGGAGAGTAAAATAACGAGGCCAATAGTCCAAAACTCCGTACCTGTGCCAGTCGCCATGCTATTGAAAATGAAAAGCCAAAAAAAAAAAGAAAACCAACAAATTAACAAAAAAAAAGTCGAAGAGATTGGTGAGAAGTTTCGACTTATTTTAGTGCTTCGAGGTCGGCCGCAGACACCAACAGCGCCTGCGGTGCCTGGAATGGTCCAGGTGACGACCGGAGAGAAAGCATCGTTCGTGGCAGTTCTCGGCGCCCAAATGTGGTCCTTGGGCTCCGGAATGGCGCATCAATATACCAGTGTGGAAATTTTAGAGACGGCCTCCACGGCTTCGCTGGCTGCCGCCGGGCTATGGTCACTCGTCGGTGGCGTAAAGATTCTGATTCAGGATCTTGTTCATGGTGAACATGTGGACGCGGTCCTGTTTGAAGACAGCACGCATTGGCTCGTCGCAGCGAATCTGGCGTTTGTCATTGGGATCCTGGAGATCCCTTTCTTTGACGTATTCCCAGATTTTCTTGACACACTGCGGACGTGACAGCTGGGTCTCACCAAGAAGCTCGGACAAGGGTGCGGAAAGTATCATCGGTTTCTGGGCGTGAAGACAAGTTAGCGCGCAAGGTAGGTCCGCCAATGTGCACGATCATTTCCGGGGGAACATACGTGGAAGCCCCCGTTCCGCTTCGGCTCCTTCTTGGATTCACTACCACTGGCGAGATCGCTATCATCATCGGAGTTTATCTTGGTCTTGCTCTTCTTCTTACGAGACTCGCCCTTCTTCTTGGTGGGGGCCTTCCGCCTGGACGCACCACCGCCACGAGTCGACCTGGCGCGCCCGTTTTCCTCGGCTTGTAACCTGGCAGCAAAGGCGGCGTCATCCTCTACAGACGTGCTTTTCTTGTGCTTCTTCTTGGGCGGGGTGGAGGCAAGGTCCGAAACATCAGAACCATTGACGTTCTCGTCAGGGTCCGGCCTCTTCTTGGACGAGGCCGGGGTGGATGTGCCGGAGCCGTTGTCTCGTGCCGAGCCGTTGGTCGCAGGCGCCGCGGCGGCGGGCACGGGCTCGATGGTCCCCGTGACGGCGTTGTCAGCGGCCACGCCGTTGCGCTCCGAGTTGACCTTGTCGAAGCGCGCGAGGATGAGGTCGGTGATGGCGTCCTGGGAGCCAAGTGCGTCAGCACCGCAACGTCTCATGGCACGCGCGAATGGACGGAAGGCGGGGCGCAGAGGGCGCGAGATGGGGGCGGAGACTCACCTTCTCGGGGGTTATGTCGTGGTCTACGCGCGCTTGCAGGCCCTTGCGGATCCGCTTGGCGGAGACGGTGTTCAGGTCGCTGTGGGCCAGGATATCATCGATGACGAGGGTGTAGGATGCCTCGACCTCGGGCGGGACTAGAAGGGAGGGGCGTCGTGTGAGCGGAGAGGGAGCGGAGAGGGAGCGGGTCGGCCAATTGAGGGTGAGGGAGCACGTACGAGGCATGGTTGCTGGGGGTGGAGCGGGCAGGGTCTGCGGCAGGGCAGCAGCGCGGGGGCGCTGGAGGCGGGCAGGAGCTGGGCGGAGGATTTGCGAAGATGGTCGGCGGCGAGGCTGGCGTGGCAGCGCTTGCAGACGGCAGAGCGCGGCGGTCCTCGCAGCGGACGGCGCGTGGGACGGGAGGGTGCCGGCGCAGCGCCGAGCTCGTGGGGAAGCTGGAGAAGCTGGGGCGAGCACAGCAGCTGCGGGCGGACGGGCGCGGAGCTGGGGCGGGCAGGCGTCGGACGTCACACGGGCGGGCGTGCACAGCGGATGGGAGGTGGATGTGCGGGCGGACTGGAGCTGTCGATGTCGATCCGGAAGAGGGAATCGTGATGCTGGCGGCCCTGACTAAGCAGCTCTAGCTGGCCGCTGGCCGCTCTACCTAGCTGGCCGCTCGCTGCTCCCATCTTGTCTGTCTCACACACTGCGCCGTCACGCGCCGGTTCCTGCAGCCCGCGCAGCCCGCGCAGCCCGCGCCGTCCGCATCAAGCCACTGCCGCAGCCTGGTCACTTGCACTGTGCATTCATGCTGTCACTGCCAGAAGACGCCGTCCACCAAACCAAGCTCCCAAAAACACGTGCCCCCAGACGCCCGACTCCCGACGCTATGCAACCCCCGATGCCAGCTCCCTCCCTTCACATGACGCCGCAGCCTATGCCGTACATTGCCCGCTCGACGTCCCGCTTGACCACGAACCAGTCCGCCCTGCGCTCGGCGAACTCGTACACCTCCTCGGTCCGGAAGATGCCGTGGTACCGGTCGCCGTCCGCGATGACCGTGGCAATCTCCTTCGCGTCGTTTGCCGAGATCAGATAGATCTGCGTGAGCTCCCGCAGCGCGCTGAAGTACTGGTTCAGCGACTTGTTCCGCAGTGTCACAATGTACGAGTGGTACGCGTTCATGTCGCTGTCAACGTCAGATCCAACCTGCTCCGCAGCCGCCCGCCCGCCTGCCTTACCTGATAAGCTTGATGGCGCCGTCGATGCTGATGCGCTGCCGCTTGATGTGCTTGCAAAGCGCCGTGAACAGCCGCACCCCCACCTCCTGGTTGAAGACGTCCAGCATCGTCTTGTCCGTGCTCCCCACCAGCATGTTGATGTGCGACGACACGAGCTCGATGATCCTGCGTGCCGTCGTGCTCGGCCCCACGTCCGACATTTGCGCCGCCGCTTCGAGCGCCGTGCCTGCCCCCGGGTTGAAGTCTTTCGGGTCCTGCGTCGTGGCGCAGAGATACTCTACCTCGTCCATCAGCACGTCGATGCCCTTGTTCAGCCCGGCCGCCACTCGCTCGTCCAGCATCTGCTCGAACCGCTTCTTCTCCTTTGCCGCCTGGCTGAGGAAGTCGTCGCTCTCTGCAAGCTTCGTTGCTACCAACTCTTGCTGGTAGAACACATCCACCATCTGCTGGATCAAGTCTCCCACATTCACCAGCTCCAGGAACGTGACCAATGGTTGGACTCCCGGCTGGTCATGCTCGCTGACCTCCCGCGGGTTGTATTTTGAGAGATGGTCGATGGCCTTGTCGAATCCAACCTTGATGTGACCGGACCCAAGGATTTGCAGCAGCGCAACGAATATCACTTCGCACTGCTCCTTCGACTCGGCGCCTGACTGGCCGCCTATCGGCACCATCAGAGCCACGCGCTCAAGGCTGCCCTTGGCAAGGTGGACGAGGTTCAGCGCCACTTCTATGCTGAAGAGCGACTTGATCCCCTCTAGGCGGGAGTTCATGATTGCAGCCTTGGCCGAAAGCTCCGACGTGGGCGCCATTGACCCGGGGCGCGGGCTACCGGAGCGCTCAATCGGCACGGGCGTGGATGACCTCGATTGGCTCTTTATGCTGCCGCTGTCTCCATTGACCGATATCTGGTCCACCGGCTTGTTTGAGGCAAAGGGCATGACGCTGACCGGCATCATGATAACCTTCTTGAACGAAGTAAGGAAGTCTCGCTTGGCCACTTGTCGGTTGACGTTGGCCATAAAGAACGATTCAGTCGATGCTTCTTGGTCCTGTAGCCGCTTCTCCCACGCTTCCACGTCGGAATTGGCCTTGTCCTTGAAGTAATCAAGTTCGTCCTGTAGATACAGGTCGATGTGCTGCTCGAAGCATCGTGCTACGACGCGGTGCGCATCCTCCTTGAAAGTCGCCTCGGATGTTTTGGTAGACTGCAGTGAAAGCTCGAAGCGTAGAGCCTGTTCGAAGAGTCCAGAGGTCGCCGTCAAGTATGATTCGATGCTGCGCTCGTGGGCCTCGTCGAGAAGCGGGTTGATGTACTCCGAAACAACATCTTCGCCTATTCTTTCCAGAAACGGTATCATGACATCGACAGACGGCGGAAATACTCGATCGATGAGGGAAGCTTGCTCGTTCAGCGCCGTTGCCAGGCTTTCGAAGAATTTCTGGGAAGGCTTGAGTGATATGCTATCAGCCGAGAGGCCACTACCCAAGCAGTCCAACGGATCTCCCAGCCTTTCTTTGTGGAGCATTAGAGGATGGTTGTGTATGAAGCTGTCGATGGCTGCCGCACCACCGTTGAGCGTGACTAGAACCTGGGCATATTTCTTCATCCGACCATCGATGTCGTGCGCCTCGTAGCCCTGCTCGAATTCTCGAAGAGCAGCATTCTCGAACAGACCCATCATGGTATCGAGCCTCTCCTCCCGCTGCCAGCAGCCTTGCGCGAAGTCGCTCCGGGCAAAGACCTTGATCTGTGCCAGCATCTTTGCCTGCTGCTCGGGATCTCTGTACACCCTGAACAAGACTGGATCCATATGGCTCCTCGACCGGGCCAGGTCGAAGTAATATGGGGCCAATGATCCATAGATTTTCCCGTACTCAAGCCGTGCGAAGCCACGGGCCGAACAGACGTTGGACAAGACGTTGAGCGCGAACTCGGGATCCCGGTAGCTCGTGGTGGAGGGGTCGATCGGGCTAAAGCCGCTGTCCATGGTGCCTTGGCGCGCACGGAGGGGGAGCTCATGCGAGCTCCTCAGCCGGTCCTCCTCCACGCCAGCGTCGAAAAGAGTGGCTCCACCACCACCACCACCGGCAAGACCATTCACGCTGCCATTGATCATGGCTCCTGTTCGCAGCGCCTCTTCCGCCTCTCGTGATCGCTGTGCCTCGAGCTTTCTTTTCATTGCATCTTCGAAGCGCTTCCTCGCCTCCTGGTCGTTCCAGCATCCCATGCTCTTGAGCCGTTGTATCCACCGGCTATCGTCGTAGACCATCTCTCGCATTCGTTTCGAGGTGCGGGCGAAGCGGATCATGTCGGGCACGGGAAGGTAGTCCAGAATCGCGGCGATGAGTTCTGCAGTGCATCAGAGGAGGGCAGGCGCGCGCAGGGGGCCCAGGCGTACCTGCTGGAAGCACCGGCTTGGTGCTGACCATGGACGTGACGCGCAGCGACGAGAGGACGTCCTGGCGGGACGCGCCCACTACGGACTGGCGCGCGAAAGAAGACATGGTTGGAAGTCGGGTGAGAGCGCGCGGGGTTTAAACCATAGCTTGCGGGTGGTTGGTGACGACTCCGGAGCGCCGGGCGAGAAGCTGGGCGAGGAGGGAGGAGGTTCAGGTGTGTACGAGGTTGCAGGTGTGTGAGGGGAGCTGGCTGCTGTCTGGGGAGCGCCGGAGGCCCCCCGCTGGGGGCAGCAACGCCATCCACCAGCCAATGGGAACGCCGCCCTGCCAACCATGGAACCTGGCCATGGCAGAGAGCATGCGATTTCCGGAAGGCAACCGCTCGGTACCGACTCCGCTTTGGTGTGCGTGAGCCACAGTGCTGTGCGGTGCAGGCTGCCTTCGCGGGCCTCGGCGATGCTCCCCGCCGCCGGTTGACATCAACTTAGCGGCTTCGCAGCATACGCTGTAGCCGGGGTTGTTGTAGAACGCATTCACATTCGTCGTCATTTATTGTACATTTTAACTGCCGCGCACGCACACGGCGCTGAGGAATGCTGTCCTCCGGCATCCCCGTAAGGGCCGTTGCCCGGTGCATGTGCTGCTAGAACAAAGCCTCTGCGGGCAACTTCAACCACAGACGCAGTCTTTCCCGTGGGTTTCCCGCTCAAGCCGCACGTTCCGCTCGTGCCCGCTCAGTGGCTGAGAGTGCTCCTTCCCTTCGCCTTTCTCCTCTTCAGCAAGGCCCTTCCCTTGCGTGTCCGTATCCGACTCAGAAACCCGTGGCGTCTCTTGCGCACTAAGTTGGTGGGCTTGTACGTGTCTCTGGGGCCATTCCGCACTTGGATGCCTTGCAAGGCTGGGTGCGACGAGACCTTGGGAAGCACGTCGGGCGCGTCTGCGGCTGCGGGCGAGATGTAAATGGGTTGCGTGGTGGCGATGGCGCCGCTGGTAGGGGACAGTTGCGGCCTTCTGAGGGAGAGTAATGAGATAGACCGGACCCTGGGCTCTGTCAGTAGATGCGCGAGCATGAAGTGCATGCAAGATCGTCCATACTGTTGGACAGCGGCGAATGTGGGCCGCAATGCCGATGCCGGCGGTGCCGCCACAGCAGGGCGCGCAATCGCTCGTACGCAGCGGATGCACTGCATTTCGAACGGAGCGGGAGGGCAAGGTTGGCGTGCGCGGTGGTGAGGGCAGGAAGCCGCAGAGCAGACCGAAGCTCGTCCAGCCGACCTGCAGCAAAGGCGGTGGCAGAATTTTTTCTAGACTTCTTCCCTCCACGGGCAAATTCCCGCAACAACCGCAACACCCGGACCGTCTCTTCTTTCCCTCTTCGATTTCTCCGAGATCTTCGAGATGAGCCTCAAAGCCTATGCCCCGCACGTTACTCTTGGCAGCAAGCCGCTCTCCACCGGTGCCGCCCAAGAACTCATCGCGAACTATCTAAATGAATCCGAATCCAATTCGTACCTCCACCCGGATGCGATTCTGACGGCATCCAACGTACAATACCCCCTGTCCGGTGGTCCCCAGGGAGGGGTCACTATGCACGACCTGCGACGGGTCGAAGCTGGTTTGAGGGGCGAGGTGCTCAAGCCCGAGGTCCCCGACGTGTCTGACGACATGGTGCTGGACGAAATGATCGACGACACGAAAAAGCGCATGCAGGCCGATCAGGAACAACAGGAGGATGGGATCGAAGTGGGCGAGATCGGCCAGCGCACAACCGCCGTTGTTGAGGGTGGAGACATTCCCGAGGTTGTTGAAGAGGGTGGCGGAAAAGCACTCGGCAAGAGTAAAACCGATAAAGAGGCTCGCAAAAAGGCAAAGAAAGAGCGCGAGCGCCAACAGAAGCTCGAGAGGGAGGCAAAGCGAAAGACGCACTCTGAGGCCTAATTACCCCCGCCCGGGATCATGGACCACAGCCCCCGAGCGACATGTTTCACGGACGTCAGGCGCAAAGCAAGGAGAAATATACTTGAATTCACACGACCAAGTGCCTCACGTGGCGAGACCAATTGCGGAGGAAGTCCTGCTCGTCATCTACATCCTACCAATCGAACGCCGGTACATGCATTTCCCACTCTATGGCATTTTCCAAGGCACCGTCGCCACAGGCTTACAGCTCGCGGTCAGCGGCCTTCGTGGGCTTCTCGCTATCATCGGTTTTCGATGCCTTCTCGCCTTTGTAGCCAATCGCCCTTAGTCTTTCGGTTAGGATGGGGTGCGAGTAGTGGAAGCTGGAGTACATCCAGTCGGCATCCATTGCTGACAAATTCTGAATCTGAAGCTTGATGAGCGATCCAGCCAGCTCCTGGGTGTACCCCTGCTTGACTGCAAACGCATCTTAAACAGGATGTTAGCGGCAGAAATTACCTTCGGTGGGGTGTGGACATACCAGCTTCGAACTCGAATTTCCTGGTCAGGATGTTCATCAAGAGCTTGATGACCGAGTCGGTCGGGCCCAGGACCTCGTTGAACAGGAGAAAGCCAATGAGGATGGGCTGCTCGGTGTGGAAGCCGAAGGACTCGAAGAGCGAACGGTTGTTGATGAAGACCGAAAAAAGGGCGAACATGTAGAACAAATGGAACTGGCTGATTCCGAGCAGCTTTGTTGTGTGACCCATGCTCCAGTGCCCGAGCTCGTGCGCCAAAACCGCTTCGACCTCCTTGTTGGAACTCTTCTCGAGAAGTGTGTCGTAGATGACAATCTTCTTCTTCCATGGCAGGCCAGTGAAATAGGCATTGCTGTGGGCGCTCCGCTTGCTCCCGTCGATGACTTGAAGCTCGGTAAGAGGGAACTTCAGCTTGGCCGCGAGAGCCTCAACGCCCTCCTTCAGAGGGCCGGGCTCAAGAGGAGACAGCTTGTTGAAGAGAGGCACAATGAGGATCGGGTAGATGGTGATGGCGGAAACCTGGACGGCAAGCATGAACATCCAGATGTAGTAGAAGAAACTGGTACCGGTCTTCTTGATGATGGCCAAGAAAGCGCTCATGATGGGCACGCCGAAGACAACGCCAAGAGCCTGGCCTTTGAGCATGTCCGTAATCCATAGCTTGACCGTCAACTTGTTGAAGCCAAACTTCTCCTCCAGCACGAAGTTCTGGTAGTATGTGAAGGGCAAGCTAAAGATGGTGTCGATCAGGCTGAAGGCGAAGAGGAACAAGAGCGAATGGCCAATCTCTCCCGAGATGAAGGACGGAGCGAAGCGAGCAAGCCAGACCCCGGTCAGAGCCCAGATCTTGGGGTACCAGTTGTACTGCACTGTTGCGAGAGACTTGAGCTGGCCGAAGAAGGAGGAGACGAAGCTAAACTTGGCCTTGGCGCGACCGTACGCCTGGCTTTTATCGAAGGTGTCCTGGTTCACTTCATTCTCAAGGGCCTTGGGGCGCGCGGTACGCTGATAGACGCCGAATTGGCGGTACAGAAGCCAGTTTTCGAGGAGGAACTGGCCAACAGAGAAGCCCAAGACGAGATTCTTCCACGGGAAGAACGGGCGGTCCAGGAACCGGGCCAGGCGCTGGGACTCGGTAAGCTCATGTCACTGCGAAACGAAAGGGAGCCGCACCTGTAGCAGTGCCTGGATCATTGTTCCGGTAGCGGCAGCAAGTCGACGGGTGGGCACAGTGCAGGTGCTCCGGCGCTGCTCAGGCTTAAGAGGACAGACAGCGCTTGGGGCCGCACGAGTCACGTAGCCAAGACATAGGGCTGACACTCCGACCCGCCGTTTCCACGGCACGTGCAGGCCCCACTGCCAGCCGGTCCAAGGCCACGAACGCTTGTCACGGCGGCTTGGAACGCGTGGGCTTCACTTGTTGTCTGCACCGCACAGGCATGGAAAAAATAATACTTCGCCTCCGTCGTGCTCTGCTGTCGGAAAGTGTGAAGAATTCGCCGCCTGCAAACGCTGCCAAAACAAAACGAACGACGAAGCCATCCTCTGCCCATTTCATAAGAGAGCATACGCCAGACACCTCCCCTTCGTACCTCTACCGAAGGAAACCTCATGACTCCGTGACACACTGGACGATAAGCGAAAGACATTAATGGACCGCCAGACCCTCCGACCAACAGCAGAAGAAAAAGCACCGAGAATGGTTCATGACCGCATCCACCAGCTCCCCGGTCTGTGAGATGAAAAAAGCGTCAAAGTCCAGAGAAGACAAGATATGCATGCGAGACAGCAGGAGAAATAAAGAAAAAAAGAAACATGAAATATTGCGGTCGTTGGAAAGGTAGCAGATCAGGCTGGGTATAGTTAAAGGGCGGCCTCGGGCAGTCGATGCAAAGGGACCTAGAAGGATGAAGACGAATGCCAGCATGACCCCATGGGTGGTGAGAGAGAAAGCTCAAGACAAATTCTATGCAGGACTTCTCCAGAAAAGGTGCTTCTATCACGGAGGACTTCAGTAGGACGAATTCCACCCAGCATCCAAGATGCCTTCGAACCTCGGTGTGGCAGGACGCAAGCCTTCTCAGTATCCGTCTTGTCCTCGAGCTTGTCGTCTTGCCCGCGAGTTGTGGTCATAGCCGAGTACTTGGCGGCCCCTCAACAGCCCCGCAACACGTCTGGTGGCAAGCTACCAGCAATGTTCTTCACACGGGCAAAAGCGTATGTTTCAAGGTCCACCCACTTCAAGAAGGCACAGAAGTCTGTTGCTGCTGCTGCTGCTGCTGCTGCTGCTGGGCGACGACCTCGCGTGCATAAAACTCGACCAACATGGTCCCGTAAGCTTCCATCTCTTCAAGCGGCACGGCTAGGCGGAAATCGTTCAACAAGAGGAACTGGAGTTCAAGGTGGTTCAATTCTACAAGCGGCAATCCGCCAACCTAAAATTTGTCAGTTCGCCCTACGGCTTTCCGGTCGGATTGGCAGGCTTACCTTGGCGTATCTCGAGTTCGTATAGAAAATGTCCGAAAAGAACTTGCTTGCACAGGTCACACCGGCTATGACCAGACGGTGGATGTTGAAGCTATCAACGACAAAGAACTGAGACAGGTTGTACGGATCACACTCTAGAGGGGGGTCTATCTGTTGGGGAGGCGATGGCGGATGGTCTTCCTTGATAGTGGCATCGCCTGGCTTAGCCGGCTTCCCAAGCGAGCCCGATGGCGGAGGCGTTGCAGCTTGGACCTGCTCTGGCCGCGGCGATGATCCGCTAAGTGTAGTTCCGGATATAGAAACGGAACTCTTCCGGCTTCCGTCGCTGGCGGCCACGGAACGCTCCAAGGACTGTTGGTTGGCCTGGCGGAGGCTCTGCATCAACCCGGAGTTTACGCGCTCCGTCATACGATCGAAGTAAACCAGCAGGCTGAGAAAGACTTCGTATGTCGTGGGGCAGTATTTATGTATGCGGGTGAGATAGCTCAGGATGGAGATTGTGGGCACGTTCTTGCCATGGAAAGCAAGAACGCTGGTTGTCTGCTGGCTGAGCCCAGTGGTACCCTCAGGAGGGGGTATTTGCCGGTGCAGATGCTCGTGCTGGCGGTCATTGGTGGTGGTGATCTTGGTCAAGAGACCTGCCACCATTTCTATGATATCCGACACGGGCATCTCGCTGATCTCATACTGCGGCCCAGCCTCATTGGGATTTTCACGTGCGCGACGCGCGGCGCGAGTCTGCGAAAAAGGGCTGGTCTCATCGGCGGCGAAGCTCTGGATGTGAGACAGGCTTTTCACCTTTATCCGTTTCGGCGAGGCGGCGGTCCGCGGCGAGGCCTGGGCCGAAGATGGGGCCGACGACGACGGCAGCACGGCGGGGCGAGGAGCCGGCGGGACAGCGACGGCCTGGGTAGGCGTCTTCTGCGACGACTGCGGCTTGAAGCGCGGGCTCGGTGGGGGCTGCGAGGGTGTCTGAGATGGATTGTAGTGCTGTGGCACGGCGTCCGACATGGGCGTGTCGACGGGCGCAGAGGCAGTGCGCGAGACGTGATGGTCGTTGTGCGACGGCCGAGAGGATGTCGATCGCTGAGACTCGTGCGGCTGGTGGTGCGAGTGCGCGGCGGCACCGAACATGGTTTGGTAGGGAAAGGAGTGGTTGACCACGTCGCTGCTCGTAATCACGATGGAGCCCATACCAGCGTGTTGAGGCGGGAGGACAAAGATCTGGCCGGCAACGGAATGTCAGCAAGCCTCAGACTAGCAACGGCGGGCTCGAATCTCGTCTGTGGGGAGGGGCGGTCAACGCTCGATGCAGGGGGGTGCGAGTGGAGTCGCCGCGAGCAAAGCTTCGGGCACGTCTCACGTACTTGGCGGCGAGGCGCGCCAGAGCGGGAGAGCGACGGCGAATAAGCGCGCGGGGCCCGTGGCTTTGCCTGTGACGTGCTGCGGCGGCGAGCGTCGGGTGGAGAGAAGGATGGCAGCCGCTGGAGGTGAAGGGCAGGGCTGCGATAACGAAAGGAGCCGCGTCGCTGGGCGCAACAACGCCGGCCGACGTGCTAGGGGACAAGAGCCGGACCCACGCTTACCTTGAGATGGGGACGTGCGAACGGTTGGCCGCGAGGACGAGGAGGGGCGCAGCAACGAGCGGCGGGAATTGGGTGGATGTGTTGTGGTGTTGCAGAGAGGCCGTGGCGCTGCGCAGTCTCTTGTTCGAGGGAAGCCTTGAACTGGTGGGCTGCGCTTCCAATTTGCCAGGGTCGTCGTCACAGCCAGCGCCGGGCGCCGATCCCCGTGTGCACCACTTCGACGCCAGTCTGGCTTCCCTTGCGCCCGCGTCGCAACCTTCTCCGCTCTTCCAGCGGCAAGCTAATAGCCAGGTGCGCGCTCGCCCGGTTCTACGTCTCGCCGGTCGCCCAGCTACGACCGCGAAGCCCCCGTGTCTCGAAATTGTTGCTTCCATGTCTTGGGTATGACGCCACCCGGCTTGCCATTGCTTACGAAGTCTACGCTACAGCATTACCTGCGCCAACCCGGCCTCTATCCTGGCCCACATCAATCATGCTGTCATTCCCACTTAGTTGCCTGTCTACGTTTGCCTGCCAGGGCCGCGGTAGTCCTGGTCCGGCAGGTACAGGTGCCGCTGTGCGCCATTCGCCGTCAACACCACCATGCGGATCACACCGCCAGAGCTGCCGTCCCACTTGATGGCCTCCCGCAGCGCTCCTTTGACGAAGTTCACGCCCTCTTCCTCCGTCATGCCCTCCCTCCAGTTTGCATCGCAGTAACCATAAATGTACGTCGATCCAGAACCGCCAATGGAGTAGGCCTGCTTGTGTAGAGAGCCGCCGAGCGGAATCGCGTAGACTTGGCCGCCGTGGCGGGGATCGTAGCCTGCAATGATCATGCCCGCGCTATGCCACCGTCAGCCGGGAATCGGCTCACCAATGTGTTTGTGACGCACCTCAACATGTCCTTGTTGTCGTAGCAAAGCTCCTGGAACAGCGCCGCAGCCGTCTGAGTCGTCGGCCTCTCATTGTTCATGATACCGTACATGCCCAGATGGTAGTGGACGATGTCAGCAACGGCCTGTGTGTCGGCGGCCGAGCCGGAGCGGCAGCACCATATCGTGTCGTGCACCTGCGTGAGCTTGTCGGTAACACGGTTGGCAATGTAGGCGCCGGTCGTCGTCCGGCTGTCGGCGCCAAGAATCACACCGTCTTTGAAGTTGATGGCCATGCTAGCATCGGTCAGCGCGGGCGTGGTGGCCGAAAGCAGAGCATCTGTGGACGTACATGGAGGTTCCGAGGCTGGAGCACGGATTAGCAGAAGAATCTTCAGGGGTGTGCAGGTTGGGACGCACTTGACCTCGCCCTTCTTCAGGTGGTTCATGTCGACGTGGATGCCATCTGATGTCCGTTAGCTGCTGGAGCTGGAGCTGGAGCTGGAGCTGCGAGAGCTTCGGGCGGGAGGCGGCTTGCCTTCACCTAGCGCTCCGGACGGCTGCGAGATCATGGCGGCGGGGTGGGCAGAGGGCTGTCAGGGAGGTGGTCGACGCCGGCGGGGTGCAGAGGAATGATGTCGTGGAGGGGGGGAGGTCGATGGGGTGGATGGTTGGTGTCGGCGGAGCTGCCACAGAGCTTCACTGGAGTTGCGTGCAGGCCAGGCACCCAGGCCACCAGGCTCCGCGCGTAGGCTGGTGCCTCCCGCCGCCGGCGTTTTCCGGCCGTGCGTGCGGCGGCGCCTCTGAGCGTGCACGCGACGATCGCTGCCTTCTCGCGCCCCCACAAATGCGTTGATCTTGCTCAACTCCTGACGGGCCATAGGTACATACATGCCCATGACCGCGCCTGCTGCTGTCCGCCGTCGTTTGCGCCTGCCTCTGTCCGCCCTTGCTCGCTCTCCCCGGGCAGCCGCGACTCATGACCTGGAGATCGCTGTTCCGACTCTCAGGTAGCTCGACGCCGGCCACCAGTCCTCCGCCCTCCTCGCCCACCTCGCCCACCACGCCCAAGTTGTCGCACCACAGTTCGCGCGCGTCCGCAGACTTCGACGCCGACGCATACTCGGCCATGGACTCGGTCTTCTCCTACCTGCGAATTCCCATCCTCGCCTCCACCGGCCTGGCCACCGTTCTCAGCGGCGTGCTCTACTTCAAACAAAAGTACGCATCCAGTCCGCCGCGCGCTCAATGCGCCCCGCAACTCGGGACACTGCGCTGACCTGCACACACCCAGTGATATCATCTACCCCCGCAACATCCCCCCGGGCGCGCGAACAGATGTCCCTCGACCCACCCAGTTCGGCATCTCGGATTTCGAAGAGCTGATGATCCCCACTCCTGACGGCGAGTCGCTGAGCGCCTTCTTCATCCGCCCCGCCAACAAGCAGCATGCTCGCAACATCACCTTTCTCATGTTTCACGGCAATGCCGGCAACATTGGCTACCGGCTGCCAATTGCGAAGATCCTGGAGGCGGAACTCGGCTGCAATGTCCTAATGCTGCAGTACCGCGGTTACGGCCTATCCACCGGCACGCCCAACGAAAAGGGCCTGACGATCGATGCGCAGACCGGTCTGGACTACATCAGGCAGCGCGCAGAGCTACGCGGTACGAAGATTGTGCTCTACGGCCAGAGCTTGGGCGGAGCCGTCAGCATTGGCCTTGCTGCGAGGAACCAGGAACAGGGAGATATTGCCGGCATCGTTCTCGAGAACACATTTCTCAGCATCAGAAAACTAATCCCCAGGTGAGTGGCTGCTTCGTTTCCCATTACTCTGCCCTTCTGGTTGCTGACAATGCCAGCGCTTTCCCGCCCGCGAAATACCTTGCCCCGTTGTGCCACCAAATTTGGCCGAGCGAAGACGTGATGCCAAGGATCAAAAACATGCCCATTCTCTTCCTCAGCGGCGTGAAGGACGAGATCGTGCCGTAAGTGCCCCGGGTGCGGAAGCTGCTTCGGCGTCTAATCAGTAGCCTTGGTGTCAGACCGTCACACATGGCCAAGCTTTTCGACCTTTGCGTTGCCAAAGCGAAAGTCTGGCGCGAGTTCCCCAACGGCAGCCACAACGACACGGTGGCGGAGCCCCTTTACTTCGAATACATTGAGGACTTCCTCCGCAGCCACGTGCTTTGCAAGGCCAGTCCGGAGAAGACTTCGCATGCCAAAGTTTGAATTCAGCACCCCCTCCCACCCGAGCATTGTTACTCACGATACCCCTGAGAATGGCGTTGCATTTCTCATAACTGCAGCACCGGCGAATGGCCGGCTTTCGGAATTTGCCAAGCGTTTAGGTCCGCATGAGTGTTTCTAACTCTACGATGTTGGCTGGACTCTGCGCGCACTAGGAGGGCATGCCGGAGTGATCGGAACAAGACGGGGCCGTTGCTTCGGTGCATTCCTTCTGCACAATATGCCGAGGTCTCAGCAGCCCCAATTTCTCGGCAGCGCTTGGAAGCGTCTTCGGATCGAGGGGCGCTAATATCATCCTCCACGGTGCTTTGAGATGCATGCGCCGAACGAAGCGTGAAGACAATATCAGATGGTGTCCAAATTCAGGGGAATGGCCGACTGGCAAGGACATGTTTCCCATTGTAGCGGTGGCTGAGACTAGCAGAACACCGAGCTATCGCAATTTGACATGTCGGGCAATGATCCCCGAGCAAGCGTCGGAAAGGGCGCGTTATAGCGCTGGCAGAATCACTAAGAGTGCGAAGGGCATGAGGGCTTGGGTGGAGATTTGATGCATCCGAGGGAATTCTGGAAGTAATTTGCGGCAATGCCGATCCAACCACAGTCAAAGGATCGACGGCGGCGATATAGCAAACAACCGGGCCGAAGTGCAGGGCCAGGCCCGGCCCGACGCAAGAGTGCCAATGACGTTGAATCTCTGCAGTACTCATGAGGCGAGCCGGAATGGCAGTTGTCACTGGTCGTTGTGCTGGTCGCTATCCATCGAGTAGAACAGGACGACGTTTGCTGACCCGATTGGGTAAACGCCGCAGGGGCGTGGTAAATCTCGCCCATCCGTTTCGCCGAGTTTTGTTTCGCTCGCTGACAGGGAACATGACGAAACGTATCTGATGACATGGCCAGGCTGTCTTCCACCTCGCTGTCAGGCAATGCGTGGTGTTGGGTTGCGTGAATGCAACCCTGGCTGTGATTCGCCGCTCTCGACGAACACGCACGTATGCATTGCTCTTTTCCGAGCGCGTAGGAAATTGTGTTCGACTACCGACCGGTGTCTGATATAAGCGCTTGCTCCTTTGAGCATAAGGAAGGTTGGTTGGAAGATCGACGCACGGATCTGGTCCGAATTCGAGAGATTTGGTGGCGCCATGTACCGAAATAACTTTTGCAACACAGGACGATTGAGTATGTCCACTGTTTATCAGGAAATGCAGGAGATCGGCGTTCTTGCTGTATGAATGCTGAAATCACTTCTCCGTTTGCAAACTCGGTAGCTCCTTGCTCGAAGAGATAAATGGCTATGTATGTTAGAGTCATCATGTATATCTCTTTGTCATGGGAATGGGGGTTGTCTTCCGCTGCTCCCCACTTCATATAGTCGCATCGCCAACGCACAAGTCTGTTTCGACGTGATTGCATCGTTGAAATGGCTCATGGGTCATTCCTACAAAGTAAGTGAACATCGACGGCCTAACTTTAGTTCTAGGAAAGAAGAGAAGTGGAGTAAGAGAAAGATCACAAAGAAACGAGAACTGCTTTATCTGTCAGCTTATATAACATTATCCACCCAAAAAGGCCTTAGCTCTACCCGCCTTGTGCAACAGGCTCCAGTGCAACAGGCACTACACAGGCCACACCTATGCCGGTTAGCCGTAAATTTTGAGCATTATGGCGCTGCTGGGTGTCTCGGGGGAAACGTAGAGGAAGCGATGTCCTGGAAAATGGCCACGATAGGAGTGATGGTAGGTTTCTCTGATTTGTTCTTTTGCCAATATGCAGTGCTGATCGCAAGCGCCGGACAGTGGGCGGCAAGGATCGGTCTCTGTGGTGAGGGGACCGGCGAATCAATGAGGATTGTGAAGGCTTCGTTAGCGGCACCTCTATATCTACTAGCAGTGATCCCTTTCATGGATGGGAGGACAGTACCCTTATTATCACCATACCTTGTTGGAATGATTGTGAGGTGAGGCGAGAGGAACATGGAGCACAACAAGTGTTCCAGGGCGAGGTAGACCTTGGTTGGCAGTGGAGAGAGAGATCTATCTATTCATTCTGAGAAAGTAAAAGCAGTGGTTCCAGGGCCCATTGAGAGTTATCAAGATCCTCGGTCGTGGATCGCAAGGGATAAATTGCATTCTACCAAACACGTCGTGGAAGTCCAGATCAGAACCATTTGCAGTAATCCAACACCCGTAAATGCTCCGACTGCCCACGATGAAAGAGTACAAAGACTCCCGCGAAACACATCAAAGAATGGTGAGACCTCTTGAGACTCACCGTGATTCCGCCTGCAAACCTCTGGAGCGCGAAAAAGAAATTCCAACCGATGAGACCACCAACGCCTTGCTCAATGCTTTTTCTTTTCTTGGAGGGAAGGGGAATCCAACTATGCCTCCGCCTTGATCATAAAAATCTCCTTCAGTGCCTGTGGGTCCATCGATGCCCTTTTCTTCTGGGCGATATACCGCTGCCGGACTGCAAGACGGCCTCCAGCAAAACCCGCGGTAGGTGTGCTGGTCCCGGATGCTGGGGCCGAAGTAGTCACCGAAGTAGTGGTGTCGTCTTCCGAAGATGAGCTGTCACTGCTTGACTCGGCCTTCTTCTCCTTCTTCTGTTTCCTCTTCTTCGATTCCTTCGCCCCCTTCCTGGCCAGTCGTTCAAGCTTGCGAGCCTTCTTGGCCTCCTTCCGTGTCATCTTGTCTGGCTTCTCTCCGGATTCCTTCCCACCAGCCGATGCAGAGGTCAAGTCAGCGGTGTTGGTAGAGGGTACCTCGGCTTCGGGTTTCTTAGATTTTCTCGACTTGGATTTCTTCTTGGCCCGAGTTTCGTTGTCATCTTGGCAGCTCGAATCCGATTCTTTTCTCTTCTTCTCCTTCAGCACCGACTCGCTTTCGTCATGCTCAGGCCGTTTCCGCTTCTTCTCGGCCGGCCGAGTCTCGGGCTGCCCGGCCTCGGCAACAGGCTGCTTTGCGGCAATGTCCTGGGTGACCAGGTTCTCGATCTTGTCACCCACCAGCAGACCGCCGCTGACGAAGCGGATGCCACCCCAGCGCTGGTTGGTGTAGACTTGAAGCTTCAGATCGCGGTGAGCGGACTCCTCCTTCTTAAGCTCTCCGTCGCTCTTGCCGTTCAGCCGGCCAAGCAGACCCTGGAGTGCGCTCAAGCCGAAGGTGTCGTTTTCCGCCTTTCCTCGCTTCGCGCCCAGACCGAGGGTATCGTCCTTCACGGCAACCCTGATGTGAGAGGCGTTGGCGGCCGTGTAGTGCGCGGCATGCTTTGCATCTTTGGCGCCGAGGAAAGAACCAGGGGACCAGCCCTGCTTGAGGAGGATCTTGTGGCCGAAGCGATCGGTCGACTTGCTCCAGTGGGTGTTGTTCGGGTCCGCCGAGATTTTCGTGCGACTGCAATCTGTCAGCTACAGAGCGGCAGGACGGCTCTGGAAGCGCGGCGTACTTCTTCGGCCCTGCGAGACCCATTGTGAAGGCTGAGCGGCGCGTCAACGCAGTACGTGCTAGAGATTGGAAATTTTGGCGCGGCGCCGGGACGACGGGCGAAGGCGGAGGTGCTCGGCGACCGGAGTTTGGGTTTCGCCGTCAGCTGGCTAGTACTACTACCTAGTACCTACCTCCCTAGTCCGTACCTAGAAATGTTCTGAGTGAGCGAGAGCAAGCACAACAGATCATCACCACAACCATAACCGCAACCTTGACAGTGGCTCTGCACCTTTGCCGCAATGCCCGCATCCTCCCCGCAACGACAGGGTCAAGCTTCTTCGCATCACCGAGAGTCAAGCCTGGAGGGTGACCTGGATGGCATGGTCAACGACATGTTTGAATCCGTAAGCCGCTGGTGGGGCTGAGTTTTGCACCTCACTCTGTTTGCATTGCTGCCACGTCCTACCCCTACTCCCGCCGGCTGACCACCGCTCTTCTTGATTGTCGTCTGTCGCAGCCGCTTGTATGTACATCTTGCCATTGACACGGGTGACGTAGACACGCCATCGCCGCGAGGCAAGGCGCACTGATCTCACGAACCACCACCATGCTCGCAAGGTCGAAGCCGCAGAGAGCATCAACAAGACCTTTGATGATCATGAGACGGATGCGTCAGTCGTCGGCACCTGTCCCTGTTCTCGCTCGTGGCGATGCGTGCTCACAATGCTCTCAGTCTCCAGCTCCGCAAGGCCCAGACTGCGCGCTTGGTTGGTCTCTTGAAGCGAAACGATGAGATTGAGCGCTGCATGGCCACAAGCGTCAAGACACTCGAACGCGCATACCTATCACGGTCCGCAGAGCTGAGGGCCGCGCTGGAGAGCCGCATTGCCGAGCTGCAGTGAAGAGACTCAGACTCGGCTCTTCAGCCACACAAATCCTTTTACGCAAAAGTGGAGATCAGGGGCCTTGCACTTCATTCCAAGACGACATCTTGCGCTCGTCTGCTCGTCAGAGGCGGGGTTGGTTTGTAACATTGCTGATCGCTGCTGATCTGACTCGCAATGGGAGGCTGGCAACCGAGGAAGGCGGGCCCAACCAGCCTGTAATGCACGTTGCCTCATTCTCGCACAGAAGACCGGGTCATGACACGGAGTGGTCCTTGAGTGCGCTGACTCTCGACATGCGTTTATTTGCTGGGTGCGTTTCAAGAAGATCGGGTAGCCATGCAGGGAGCCCAATGGCCCAAGAGGGGGTTGCAGCAAGCGAGGAACACCTAGGGAGAGCGGAACGGAGCAGTGTAGCGCGGTACGTGGCAGCCAAAGGGCAGAAAAATAAAGTCATGCCTGGACCAGCGCCGCTTCGACCAGATGTGAGAGGAGGGACGGGTTCCCGGCGGCTACGCGACAAGCCCGGCGAGACACGGGCGCTGCAGGCGTTCACGCGGGTCAACACCAAGCGACAGGTACCTCGTCGGCCTGGGCGCACGGTGGGCGCACGACGATAACGACAGCCTCCCCACGGCAAGTGATGCAGGCGCCCGCTGTGCCCGCAACGCAGGGTCGGCATGCCGCAAGCTCCGTGAGTGGGCCCGTGCGCGCAAGTGGGAGATTGACAGCTGAGTTTTTCTTTGTGGCCCGCGTCACATGGGATTTGGCGGGAAAGACGGTGGTGAGCGAGTCAGGCCGCCGTCGCGCGTCGGCCGTGTTTCGGCGGGCCTGCGGCGTGTGAACGTCTGCCCAGCCAGCAGAGGGCAGAAAGGCCGCCCGCAGCATGCGACCTTGCAGCGCCACAGCTTAGCTCCAGGGTTCAGCAGAGCAGGGTCCTATGGCCAAGCCCAGAGGTGGCGACGGCGGATCTAGGCCCCGCCCAAGGCGCTTCCGCGAATCACATCGCTCGCCTAGCACTTGCAGCAGCCTTTCAAACCACTCACCCACTGTCCCAGTAGCCAGCCCCGCGACCCAGACGCCTTGCGCTCAGCCCACCGTGTGTGTTGCCTCCTCACTTTGCCTAACGCCCCTCCCAGCGCCGTCGACAACGACGCCCGCTGGCCCGCCGGACGTGGCGCCGCGTTTCGCTGCCGGTTACACGCCGCACTAGGCGACTATGGTCCCGCTGCGTGCGTGCCATGGCCTGATTCAACAAGTGGATTCTTTGCTCGCCTCCTAGCGGCCGCCGCTTCCCTCCGCCGTTTGCACGTAGTACAGTGCGACTTGCTGATCCTTCTGGAAGCCCGTCGCCCTGTGTCGTAGGTTTTGCCGCCGTGGTACGCCAGAGCAACCTACCTATGCGTAGTGCATTTGCTTTTGCATCCCCGGGCCAACTGCGTGCTCAGAGTGACCTCGAGCCTCTCAGTCTCTCATGGAACCTTCGCGTCCTGCGCTCGTAGCAAAAGGACCCCGCCCCACCGCTGACTGGAGCACTTCGGACTTCGCTGGCCAATCTCGCTGCCGGCAATCCCACCGCCTTCTGTGCACGCCCGTGTACTCCACGCCTGGGTGAGTGCGGAAATAGGGATGCTCAATTTCGTAACCCATGCCGGGCGCCCTCGCTGCCAACCGGCTTTTCGTCGACGCCACTTCGTCATGGAAACGTGGTCAGACCTCTTGCGAGTTCCACAAAGCCACAATAGCGGTCCGGTCGACCCTCCTTTTAACTGCTTTTGCACTGGTGAAGGTGCTCCTTGCTTTGGCTCATATGGGGCCCGATCCACGAAGCATTGCGAGGGCATCTCGCGCCAGTCGACCGCCGTATTCTCGGCGACAAAGCATCAGTGGCAGAGACACTTTCGCGCCCATCGCTTGTATTGGCGGCCTTGTAAAACTTTTTTTTTGACCTCGTCTTGTCTGCTCGCTGATCTTTGGTCCCTTGCAAGATCGGACGGAGTTCCAATGGGGGCGCGATTGGTCCTGAAACTTGCATCATGGTGGGTTCGACGTGAGAAAATATCAAAGGGCTAGAAGATCATCGAAAGATCTAACGCGGGAGGAGATCCGAGCATATTAATCGCCATGTACCACGGGACTATAGGAAAACGAGATTCCCGTGAAAGAGAAGAGGTAGCGAAGCGAAACCACGGATGACTGAAAATGATTGGATAGAACAAACTAGTTACCTACAGAACATCAGTCCGTAACGGTATACATTAAATGACTTCCACAGTCACAGGACGTCATTAGAATCGTTGCTTTCGTGCGCTGACGAGGGGTGCGACACAAGAAAATAGGATCCTGACCCGGCAGGATACCGCTCTCAGGGGGAGCGAAGAGCGACCCGAGACATAAGGTCGTCTATGCGGTGCAATTACGGAGCTGCACCATAATCGAGATTGCACGAAGCCATCAGAGAGGCCGCATCTGCGGTCCACCCATTTGACTAGGCATCTGCATGAGAGGCATCGCGGAAGGCCCAGCAGCCGGGGGTCCTAGCCGGTGGAACATCTGGATGAGACGCTTTCCGACGCCTGGTTCAAGCTCTGTTCCGTCTCTTGCTATTTTCACTTCTCTGTTTGCATTCCAAGGATTTCGAAGTCCTCTCGTCCTGTAGAACGGGAGCCGGTTCGTTGAAATCCATTCAATCCTAAACGGCTTGCCCCAGGTTTGTGGCGTGTTAGTGCCGTCTAGTTCGACTGGTTGCACCGATCCATCCGGCTTGTTCTCTTCCTCTTCATCCTCGGAAAGGTCTGCTTCCCAGAATATGGTGCCGCGTGCGGAATCGTCGATGATGCGTCCTTTCGGTGCCCATTCCGTCGCAGCTGTGGGTATCGACTTTGGTGTGTCTGATGATTCTGAAGCTTGGGTCTCAGGAACAGAGTGTATTAGATCAATGCCGTTGTCATTGATAGAAGATGCCATGCGGGCATATCCAAAGTATTCGCCTGATTTGTTAGCGGAGAAAATCAGGTAAACGTTCTCGGCAGTCTGTCCGTAGTTAGCAGGTGGAAATTTTACCACATGTGGGCTAGGCTAGGAAAACTTACGTCGTAAGCTTTGTTTAGAGCGTCCTCGTTGTGTGACTGCGTCGCCCAGATACCATTACGAACACTGAGCTCCAAGTCTTGCAGTGTGAGACTCTTCACGACAAAGAACTTCTCTGCAACCTTGCCAGGTGGGCTATCTTCTCGAGGCTCTCCATCAACGTCGCCCTTCTCCTCTGTTTCGAAAACCGTATCGCCGTCGGAGGCAACAGGATTAGGAGGATAGGGCGATGTGCTCTGTTCAGGCGACTGACTACGTTGGCGGGGAACAGACATAGCAGACGGACCGGTAGGTACTCCAGAGGCGGGAGCAGCACTTCTACGGAGACGGCATACAAGTCGAACGCCATGGAATCGCGAATCGTGAAATCTGTGCATAGCAGCAGTGCAAGAAGCCTCCGTCTTGTAATTAACGAATGCGCAATTGCTCTTCGAGATCAGGAACAGGCTTTCTATGTCCTTGCTTGCTTCTCGGGAGAAGTGATCCTTGAGGTCTACGACAGTCGTGCCTGGTGGGAGATTACCAACCCACAGGGCGTGCCCAGACTGCCGAGGCTTGCGAGGTGGACCGCGTGGCAGAGAATTGTGAGCGGAGTCCGACGCAGCTTTCGAGTTGGCTGGTGGCTTGTTAGCTAGGGCAATTGGAACTTCGGGCAGTGACTGACCTTGAACTGCTGTAGCGAGGTCACCAGCTGGGTTTGGTACGGCCGCGCCGGCCATGGAAATAAGACCAGTTGCAGGGAGGGTGTTTTCTAAACCGACACCGGTCACCGCGTGAGCTGTGGGTAGGCTCGCCCTTCGGGCGGCGGGGTTCGTACCGTAGGCCACCGGCAGCTGGGAAAAGGGTCCCGGGTAGTACATGTAAGGCTGGGCATGAGGGTATTGCATGAAGGGTTGAGGCACTTGAGTATGCGCCATCGCGCGCTGCTGGGTGGGAGCGAAGGACGGGTAGGAAGGCGAGAACTGGGAAGTGCCGTAGCTTGGACCGTAGGCTGGCTGCGACGGGTAGCCCATGGCGGCCTGGGGATACTGAGAGATCTGCTGCAACTGGTAGACGACCGCGGAGGTAGAAGCACCCGAGATGCCGCGCTGCGGCTGGTGTGGGGACTGAACGGGGGCGGGACCGGGCATGGTCGAAGTGTAGTCGGGAAGCGCAGCGTTCATGGCGTTCATGGCGGCCATGCTGAAGGGCGCCGGGGCCGGGGCTTGGGCGGGCGGCATGCTGTAGGCATAGACGGGATGCTGGTGGTGGTGAGAGAGCCGCTGGACCTCTAACGAGCGGATCGGATAGTGCGGCTGGAAAGAAGTGGCGGCAACGGCCGGAAGCGTGTCGGCGCTGGGCTTGTCGGGCGGGCAGGCGGCATGCTGGAGAGCAGTTCTGGAAGGCTCAGAGGGCGGAGGGCCGCTCTCGCTTGACGCATCGCCCATTGGATCTTCCACAACCACGGGCAGGGCAAACCACTGCTGCACCCAGACAAACGACATATTAGCCCATTGCGGTCCGCACGGCGAGGACAACGAAAGACAAGCGAGTGAGACGGTGGAGGGCGGTGATGGCCATGGTTTTGGCGCCTACCTACCAGCTAAGTATACTCTCGCGAAGAGCAGCGCGGTGGGCGTGGCGACGGAAGAGGGAGCAGCCGGTGCAGAGATGCCAATCACGAGATAAAGAGTGCGAGGGAGAGTGCGAGGAGGAGAACAGGCTGCTTTGCCCCGGAACAAGGCTCGCTTGGAGCGGGTTCAGGCAGATCAATCTTGGGGCGGGCCAGTGAGAGCACGCAGGAGGGCGGTAGGCGGTGCTTGCAGGAACTAAAGAGGCGGCAAAAACGGTCAGACTGGGAGCAGCCGCGAGAGGGCTGAACGGCGCGTCATCCTGACAGACACACACGCCGCCGGGTTCCTGGGGCTTACCTTGCGGACGCACAGGCGGGTCCGGCGAGCGGGAGCAGCTGGAGGTGATCGGCCGCTGGGGCGCTGCCACGGCTCTTCCTAAAATATCACCCTCACTGCGGCTGGTGTGGTGGCGAGTGAGACCCTGGCCAGCACCACCGCGGACCCTGCACCTACGCTCGCCGGTCTGGACTGCGGCCTCTGCTGCACCGCGACGCGTGGGAGCCTCAGCGCTGGGCTCGGCTAAAGGGAGCCTCTGCTGAGAGCCCCATCTCCAGGGCCCGTAATTTGTCCCGTGGCATTGGCAGGCGCGCCGCGGGCACTGCCGGCGCAGGAGTCATGAAGTAATGTCGGCGTCTGCGCGACCGCCGCCCTGGGGCCCGCCATGGTGCCTTGCCGCGCGATTGCTGCTGGCGCGGGGCGGGCGCCGCGCGACTTCCTTGAGGTGGTTCGTGGCGACGCCACACCTAACAGTCCGCCGCCAGGGATGCCCGCTGCCCCAGACGTCAGGACGCGATCCGGCTGCTTCCTGATGCCGCTGGCCGCCGCTGGCCGCCGCTGCGTGCAGCAACCACCGGCCCCGGGGCGCTGCTCTCGCCCGCGCTGCTCGCGCTCGCCGGCTGCTGCCCGCGCCGCAGCGTTGATCTCGCCTCGCCCTTGCAAAAATAGCACGCTCGTGGGCAGGCGATCGACGGCTAGACACCCAATGCAGCGCCCTCTCGGCGATCACAGGCCCTCCCGGCGTGGTCGCTGTGGCGAACGCCCGCGGTGCGCAGGGGCCATGACGCCGGATTACGCGACACCACGCACACGCGGCATCTGATCTTCGAGCAGCCTCGACTCAGCGCTGCGTCGGCGGGAGCCGCATACTTTCGACGGACTCGGCTCCTACGCGAGAGCGCTCTACCTATGCTGGCCTCTGTGGCGGCTTCGACGCCGAACTGCCTCATCAACACCCGTCCCCCATGCCCTCGCCACAGCCGATTTGTGGGGTTATCCGTGGCCCGCGCTGCCCACGTCTCGTCCGCTGATTCGCCCTGTGGCGCGTGCACAGCCTCATGATGCTGTTCGCCCCACGCCCGGCTGCCCAGCGCGCATCGCATCCGCCAACGCGAGCCGTCCAATGCCTATCCCGGGATGCTGCTCTCCAGATTCCCGGCGCTGCCGTTTGTCGCGTGCCCCCCAGGTTCTGGGCTGCCACGCCCCGTTCCTTTCCTTTCCCCTTTCGGGCTCAGCCTCGTACGATTTCCAGAGATTTGTCTGCCCGGGCTCTGGAACCACCACATTGGTGAACGGCGAGACAAGCCTCTTGAGCACGAGTGGAGCACTGCTCGCCCGGCTCTTCTCGGGACACTGTCTGCCGGGCGGCCATGCGAGCTGGATCGAGTAACTGCAAGCTTCGCCAGAACCCGGCATGCATCCATCCTACCGGACCTACTAGTCCGCCGACATACAGCGTCCCCCCAGTCCACTTTTTGCTATCCCTTGACCTAGGTAATTCGGCCTCGGAAACCCAGCTTCGGATTCGCGGCCCCTGCATGCGTAGCGCACGAGCAAGGAGATTCAGGGTGCCGTGCCGATCTACTTTCCTGGATGTCCGCCAAATGGGAAAATTCTCTCGGGCATATGTCACTGAAAATCCTTGTAGGTGGAGCTCTGCCCCATCCTTTGGCCCTTTTTCTCGGCTTGTTCCACGGGTTGCGGCTGAAGGTGGCTCTGAGGACGTCACCTACGATGTCTTCGGCTAAAAGATTACCACTTCTTGTCCGAGATGACTGGTGGCTGAGCATGCTTCGGCGCTAACATTGTATAACTAAATCCGACGGGAGCCTTCCAGTATCCGTTCTCTCGGTGTCCTCGCGTCTTCGTTCGATTCACCATGTGGCGCGTCCAGGCACCCCGGTCAGCTCAGCCTCGGGACTCCTGGAAGTGGCAACCTGCCAGCTCATGCACGGTATAGGGGATGCTGAGAGCTGAGGATAACGGATCAGTGACACGTGGATGGTGTACGTCTCCGACCAAGATTGTCTCTCCAGGGCTAGCGCAGTTTGTGGTGCTAGGGCCGATTTGATTGCTCATTGGATGGCCCTGCCACGAGACTAATCTTTCTCTGCAAGAACTCCATGAACGGCTCACCGACTTTGATGAAGGGCGTCTGCCAATTCACTTAGCCGCCCCTTTCCAACCCCTCGGCGCCACTGCTGCCCCGTACAGGCAATACAACAGGACTGAAACGGCACGCATATCAGGGTAATTGCCTGACCCGCCCACAGTCACGCCTCCAGTTTTGGGACGGGCTCCTAAAGACTTGGCAAAGCGCAGCTTCCCCTAGCACCTAAATCCGCTTCGCTTGCACGCCCCGTCACACACCACAGCATGTGGGGCTTTTGTTTTTCCCGCGGCAGCGCGATCATGAGCTTGCGTTGCGTCTCGTAGGAACAAGGATAATCTCCATCCATGTGGCTTTGCGGACATCGATCTTGTCGATCCAGTCGGGTAGAGGCGTCACCGGACTTAGATTGAAGATCAAAGACGGGCGTCGGGCTGAGCGGGTCGTCGAGCACCACTGAGCGAGCTCATGATGTTCTTGTGGAGTCGGAGCGCGGCTTTCTGTCTCCCAAGGAAATGCCGTAGGCCATTCGAGAGTTGAGCGATATGGAGTCGGAGCTAGTAAAGATGATGGGCAGACGTAGACTCGTGCATGCGACGCATCACTCTCGCAGATTGCAGCACGAGGTGTAGAGCGACGGCAGCGCTGTGCGGATCTATCGTAGTCGATCTGACGGCGGTCTACACGCGGACCTTTGCAAACACACAACGTCAGAAGGAAGGTTACCGAAAGGGGAAATCACGTGGTCGCGTGTTGCGAGGGCTTCGCGCTAGAGCGGGTTTTCCTCGTATCGGGGCTTATCGGGCTGGTGCCTGCCGGACCCTGGCCATCATCATCACCATGCCGCGCCGCCCGCTCACTCTGCATCTCCCGGATCTCTCCCAACCATTCTTTCGCGATGGGCAGCGTGCTTCATCTTGCGACCAACGTACAAGCAGCCGAAGTCTTCTCGTCTGAAGGGCGGAACTCGGCTCCATCCCAGCATGCTGCGGCCATTTTCTGCGACTATTGCTGGCCGCCACTGCATCCCGACCCATCTGGCTCTGGAGAGCCTCCCAACAAGCGCCGGCGCGTCATCGCAGACGCCTCCACCGCGACAGGGGACGCGGGTCGCGGACGACCGGACCATGTCTGCCTAAGTCGTATTTCGTTCGAGTTGGTGTGTATCTTGGCTACCACGTTTAATCTCTCGCTGAGCGAGCATATAGGTGTTTTCCGACCGCGAGCACGTTCTCGCAACAACCAGACAAGCCCCGGATCTCCTGGTGGCTGGCGTAGAGCTGACGTCTGCGTCTACTTTGCGGTTGCAACTGTCCCGGAGCGATTCCCCCAAAACCCTTGCCGTGGCCCTCGCAGCGCAACAGCCTCTTGAACCGGCGTTGGCTCATCTGGATTGGATCGTAAGATTCTTGAATGCCGGCCCTTCTACGAAGAAGAATACACCGATATCTCGAGTGCTGTCGACGCGCGTATCCGTTACCCCGGCCTCTTCTGACGCACCGAATCCTTGCGCCGAGCTACAGTTTCTGTGGGCTGTTGGCATCGAGGCCGAAGAAAGTAGCCGGGCGAACAGCACCATCGCCGCGCTCGAGAAAGAAGTGCTCTCCTACTATTTCCCTCCATCCAATACGTCCGAGGTTCCGTGGACTATTCAATCCTTCTACGAGAGCGTGCATGTACCCCCAAAAGACTCCACCCAAACCCCTGATATGCCGAATGATCTCTTGACCTGCACGCTTTACCCGTTCCAACGTCGATCTGTCCAGTGGATGTTACAACGCGAAGCCGCCAGACTGAGCGCGGGGAGCGTCGCTCCTCTGGAGGATGATCATGCCCGACCGGCAGACCCTGCGCTATCTTTCGAGCCAAGCTTTGATTGCAACAAGCGCCAATGCTTTGTGAGTCATATGCGAAGAATGGTCATCACCCATGGTTCCTCGCTATCAGACGACGAAACGGCCAGGAATCGGGGGATCCTCGCAGAGGAGATGGGTTTGGGCAAGACAGTTGAGCTCACCGCATTGATCTGTCTCCACCGGCGTACGACCCAGCAACCCACTGTTTTCGATCGCTATACGTGCTCTGAAGTTGCCGCTAGCGGCGCAACCCTCATCATCACCCCGCCGGGAATATTGGAGCAATGGAAAAGCGAACTCAGCACTCATGCACCTCAACTGAAGGTGTTTCATTACAGGGGTATGCCGCCGATCACGGCAGCGAAGAAACAAACAGATTCAGACATGGTCAAAGAACTGCTGAAATACGATGTTGTGATCACCACATACCATGTCCTGTCTCGGGAAATCCACTACGCAAACACAGCTCCAAAGCGCGACCTGCGCAGGCAGAAACAATATGAACCCCGCCGGAGCCCTCTTGTTCAGATCTCCTGGTGGAGATGCTGCTTGGACGAAGCACAGATGATAGAGAGCGGCGTTAGTCAAGCCGCCACGGTGGCTAGGGTAATTCCACGGATAAACGCCTGGGCTGTCTCTGGAACCCCGGTAAGGAAAAATGTCCACGACCTTCTCGGACTGCTCATATTCCTTCGCCTTGAGCCCTTCTGTAGCTCTAAGTCTCTGTGGAGCCGCATTGATAAGAAGCACTTTCACAATCTCTTCTCAACCATCGCATTACGCCACACAAAAGATCAAGTTCGCGAAGAGCTTCGGCTACCGCCTCAGAAGCGAATCGTCATGCTCGTTCCTTTCACTCCAATTGAAGAACAAAATTACAGTCAACTATTCCAGCAGCTCTGTGAAGACTGTGGGCTGGACCCAGAGGGAAAGCCGGTGGAGGATGACTTCGACTCGGATGATCCGCGCATTCTGGAAAAATTACGCGGCTGGCTGACCCGCCTCCGGCAAACCTGTCTTCATCCACAGGTTGGTGGTCGCAACCGCCGGGCCTTGGGTCGTGGCAATGCGCCCTTGCGAACGGTCGATGAAGTGCTTGATGTCATGATTGAGCAAAACGACACTCTTGTCAGAGCGGAAGAACGGGAGCACGTCTTGGCTCAGATCACGCGCGGCCACATTCTTGGCTTTGTGAAGAACGACACCAGGCGTAGTCTCAAGGCACTGGATATTTACAACGCAGCTCTGGAGCAAGCGGAGGTGTTTGTTGCTGACGCTCGCCGAGATTTAGCTGAAGAAGCGGCGAGCCTGAATACCGATGGTGCGAACTTGGACGATAAGACCGGGAGCGAGAGCGATGGTGAAGAGGAGGATAAGGACGAGAAGAATTTTGGTCGCATGGCTGTCCTACGCAAGGCACTTCGATCTGCTCTCGAGGTGCAACACATTTGCACGTTCTACGTTGCATCTGCCTATTACCAAATCAAAACCAACGAGGACTTGACAGAACCTGAATCAGACGCCTTCAGGGAGTTGGAAGAGTCAGAGACGCGGTACTACGACCAAGCGAAGGCGATACGAAAGGAACTTCTACGGGAAAGCCACTCAAGAGCAGAAAGAGCCATGCGAAAGATCAAGGCCCAGGCCGAGGTACGTACGACGATGCCTGGAGGGGACGTTATCCACTGTCCTGTCTTACTAATAGTGCCTCTCAGTCTCCGGTCTCAGAGATCCCTCTTTCCGATGATCATGGCGGCATAGAAAACCAAAGGATCCTGGAAAAAATGGACCGCCTGACTGAAAGTCTCAACGAGCAAGGGGCTCAACTTAACGAATGGCGACAGAAGGCTGCCAGTATACTGCTCATGCCTTTGGTTGACGAAGACGACGGAGAGACCACCGGCGAGGAGTATGAGGCCAGCACAAAAGCCCAAGACGAGCTTCAGGCATACATTACCATGCTTCGTGCTATCATCGCAGACAGGCACCGCCTATTGACGGGCCAGACAAATAACTTCGTTGGTGAGGAAACGAATGCGGCTCGAAAACAGGCCAGGGACGGAGCTGGCCCAGCGCCCGAACTCCTTATGGAGTTGGCCGCAAAGCGAGATCGACTCAAGCCTACAGATGGCGACGATTCCTTGAGGGGCATCATTGCCGAAGTCCGATCTCTAGCCACTACCTTGCAGTGGTCTTCGGAGAATAGGAACGCGAGGGCCAACGCGGAATTAAAACTGGCCGAAATGCAACTCGAGAACACGGGCAGAGTTTTCAACGCAGAGATCAAGAAGCTGGCAGAACTAGAAAAGGAGCTCGAAACGAACCGGAGTTGTATGAATTTGCGGGTGGAGTTCTACAGACAGTTGCAGGTTCTCAGCGATCAGCTCCGACCGTACAAAGAGGAACTGGACGACGAGCTTGATCAAGAAGCTCTGCACTCGCAGCGGCAGAAAGAGCAAAGGACAGCCGATCGACTGGCGGGTCTCAAGACGAAGCAGAGGTTTCTACTGCATTTGAAAAACGAATCGAAGGAGCAAGAGGGCCCTCGACTATGCGTAATCTGCCAGAATGACTTCGACATCGGCGTCCTCACAATATGCGGTCATCAGTACTGCAAGGAATGTTTCACGGTCTGGTCAAGGCAGCATCATACTTGCCCGCTTTGCAAACGGCGCCTGAATTTGAAACGGGACTTCCACGAAATCACGTACAAGCCGAAGGAACTGCGCGCGAAAGAGGAACATCAAGTGGTGCCGCTGCCAGATGGGCCTTCTTCTTCTGAGACCAGCAGCTCGTCCATCTACACCGAACTAAGCCAGTCAACAATGGACGAGATTAAAACTTTGGACCTGAACGGGTCGTTTGGCACCAAGGTTGACACGCTGGCCAGACATCTGTTGTGGATCCGCCAGAACGATCCGGGATCCAAAAGTGTCGTCTTCTCGCAGTACGGAGATTTCTTGAAGGTTCTGGGCGATGCGTTCCGTCAGTTCAAGATCGGGTTTTCCAACATCGCAGAGAAAGGAAGCATCGAGAAATTCAAGCAGGATGCAAGCGCCGAGTGCTTCCTCCTGGACGCGAAATCGGATGCGTCCGGGCTGAACCTGGTCAACGCGTCGTACGTCTTTCTAATGGAGCCGCTCATCAACGCGGCAATCGAGCTCCAGGCGATAGCACGGATCCACCGCATAGGGCAGCAGCGGGCGACGACAGTGTTCATGTATCTGGCGGTGGATACGGTGGAAGAGAACATCTACAAGATCAGCGTGCAGCGCCGGCTAGAGCACATGGCAGGACAGGCGAAGGGCAAGTGGCGGTCAGACTCGTCGGTGCCGGCGGTGCAGGAAAAGGAGCTGGATGCGGCCAACACGCTCGAGATGCAGCAGGCGCCGGTTTCGCGGTTGCTCGTGCAAAAGAAGGGCGGCGGCGAGGTGGTCAGCAGCGAGGACGTTTGGGGCTGTCTGTTCGGGCGAGGGGACGGGCGGCGGCGGGCGAAGGCGAGCGGTGCAAGCAGGGCGGTGGAGGTCGAAGTCGGACGGTTTCTGCGGGGGGCGGCGGCGGAAGGCAGGACGGGACAGTGAAGGGCATGACGTGGAAGGCAAATCAGAGCAAAGCAGAGCAAAGCAGAGCAAAGCAGATGAAACAGAGGATGCATGGCTGGACGAGGCGCACGGGCGGGGCTCTTCACAGGCTTTTGGCAGGCGCAAGGGCGGCATGGCGGCACGGCGGCAGGGCGGCGGCACGGGAATGGCAGTGGGTGCTTTGTCTGACGGCGACAGATGGCAGAGTGGCAGCGTGCATTCCGCACCGACCCGTGGGATCGGATGCTTGGCGAAGGCTTGAGTCGTTTTAAGCTGCCGAATCGGCGCGAGTCGTGGGGCGGCGCGCTGGCGCTGCTGGGCCACTGGGCCTCCACGCCTTGTGGCCTGGCGGCGGCCTGGCGGTGGCAGCCGGTGCGCGGGGCGCTGCACTGCGCTGCGCTGCGCTGCGCTGGGCCTTGAGCGTCAGCGACCAGGCAAGCTTTCTCGCACGGCCTAGCAGGCCCCCTAGCTCCGCGTCCCCTCGTCCATCACAAGGAGCCAAGTCAGCGGCCACCCTTGCGCCGCCCAAGCCTCCCTATATTATACTACCAGCTCGCGACCCAGTGCCTCTGCCCCTGCGCTGTTCCACCGCTTCGTCTTGTCCCGCATCTTGGCACCTCAGGCTCAGCGAGCCAAGAACACCACCGCTCATCACCATCCGCGCCCTGTGTGCGTGTGTGTTCTGTACGCGCCCCGAACACCCTCCCCACCCTGCCCGCCAGCCTCGACGACGCGCCCGCCGCCCCAGGCCTGCCGCCGCTCCAGGCCTGCCGCCGCCCGCCGCGCCGCCCGCCCGCACGCCGCCACCCCCCATGGCCGCCGTCGCGAGCACGCAGCCTGCTGCTGCTGCTGCTGCTGCCGCTGCTCCCGAGTGCTGAAGCTGACGTGCGATGCCACAGGTCGCGCCGCCACCGCCGCCGCCGCCGCCGCCGCCGCTGCCTCCGAAACCGCCGTGTCGCGCCTCGCTGCCACTGCCGCCCCCTGCCGCGCGCACAACGGAGGCTTCGTCGCTCGCCGCGCTCCATCTCGTCCCTGGCTCCGCCGCATGATGTGAGCACCTGGACCCGAGCATGCCTACCAGTACGGCTCGCGCATCCCCAACAACGTCGCTGTCGCCGTCCCCGGGCCCGGGCAGGTCGCTGCTATCCCGCATCAAGTCGCCCTTCGGCTCCAAGGCCCGCCACATCTCCGAGTTCTACGTCAAGCCCGATGACCCGCACCGCCAGTACTCGCCCGGCGACATCATCACCGGAGCCGTTATCCTCAAGGTCGTCAAGCCCATCCGCGTCACCCACATTGTCGTGTCTCTCCACGGCTATGTCCAGGTTTACAAGAATCCAAACTCGCCCGGCGATGGCTACCGCTCGCACTACTCGGCGATAGCGACCGGCAAAGGCAGTCGCATCGGCGGCTACTTCGGCAATGGCTTCGCCTCGCTGTTCGAGGACGAGGTCGTGCTGTGCGGTGAGGGTCGTCTTGGCGAGGGTACCTACCAGTTCAACTTCGAGTTGGAGTTCCCCAGCAAGGGCCTCCCCAGCAGCATCGACGTGAGTTGGCGCTCGTTCCGCGTTGCTCCGCGTGTAAGCCACTAACCCGTGTCCAGTTCGAGCGAGGGACCATCTCGTACATGCTGACATCAACCATGACCCGCCCCACCACCATCATGCCCACTGCCACGTGCGACAGGAAAATCTACCTGATCGAGAGCATAGACATCGCCCCCTTGATCCGTCCGAAGCCGAGAATAGTCACCCTCGAGCGCGTGTCCCGCCGGTCAAGAGCAAAAAGCAAGGTAAAAAAAGGCACCAATACCGGCTCCGGCTCCAATGGAGAGCGATCCAACGGTGAAGGATCCAGTGGCGACCAGTCCAACGGCCATCCCGCAACAGAGCCGTCTCGGAGCAGTCGAGTCTCTGAGCTCAGCGAGGAAGTCGACACCCCGGGAAGCCCTGCACCCAGTGATACGAGCTTCGAAAGCCATTTCAGCAGCAGCCAGGGTGGGTCCTCCAACGCATCAGGAGCATTGTCGGCAAGAGGGACGGAGAATGGTAAACAGGGCTCGAGTAAGGCCGCCTTTGTGGACAAGAAGCCCATCACCGCCACCATCGAGCTGCTGAAGGCTGGATTTCTCCGAGGCGACAGCATCCCGCTGAAGATATGTGTCAGCCATACCAAACACATCCAGAATCTTCGCGGAATCATCGTCACTCTGTATCGGCAGGCGCGAGTGGACATGCATCCCGCCATCCCGGTCGTCATGAACGCGAAGGGCGAGAAGGTCTCCAGCGAGGATTACTACCCGAAATCAAAGACGGGCCTCGGCGGACTCTCCCTTTCCTCCGCTGGTTCGAGTCATGTTTTCCGCAAAGATCTTGCCCAGTCGTTTGCGCCTCTGATCGTGGATCCTCGCACTCGTACCGCCGAAGTGAAAGCATCAGTGTGTGTGCCAGACGACGCGTTTCCTTCCATCACGTCTGTCCCCGGGGCCATGATATCCTTCAAGTACTACGTCGAGATTGTTGTGGACCTGCAAGGGAAACTCACTGGGCTTGATAAATATTTCTCTAATTCGGGCATGATGCTCGCCTCTGCCCCACAACTTGGAAAGGCCGAGGATACCGCCTCGGGCGTCTTTTCTGCTTGGGGCGGTCATTTTTTGGATACGGAGCAGTTACGGAGAGATAAAGGCGTTGTCTCCTGTGTATTCGAAGTTATAGTCGGCACCAGGGACAGTGACAGGCGCAAAGGAAAGCGAAGAGCGACATCCGAAAATGAACTGGACCACCCTTTTTCCGTCAGCGGAGATTCGAACGGTCTTACCGAGGAACAATCCCAGCTCACGGGGTACGCGCCGCAGCAAACCAGTCTTCCTCTGCAAAGTGAGCAACACGGCTACTATTACGGCCAGCCTCCTTACGACGAAGGATTCACCGAGGAAGTGCCGCATCCATATGCTCACCCGACATACCCGGTGTCGGATTTGACGAATGAGGATGCACTGCCTGAAAAGGAACGGCTGCGACGGGCAGAGGCACGCCTGATGCCAAGCCAGCCGCCTGTGGAAGGAGGCTCCTCAACAGCCGATGCGATACACGTGCCTTCGGCACCGGTCATTCCGGAGGAGAGGCCCGGCATTTTGTATGGGACTGCTTCTTCTTCAGCAGACGTTGCAGGCCCCTCCGCCCCTCCTCCGGAAGCATTCGGACCGCCGTCGCCAAGCGCTTCGGATGACACGGCGGCCCCGACGTATGAAGAGAGACAGGGAGAATCAAGTCACTCGGCCCGACCGGCAGCCGCCGATGACAAGCACGATCTCGCGCGGAGGAGGCTCGAAATGGATCGCAGTGCGCCCGACGAGATGACGGGCGAAGACACAACGGGCGGCGGTAGCAGCGCTCCGCATGCTCCGCCAATCGACACTTTCACCCCTTCGGCACCCGTGCTCGACGATGAGGAATACGTCTTCCCTTCCACACATCCAACAGACTTACCGAGATACGAGCGGTGATGAGCAGTAGCGAGGCGTTAATCCTTTGGCGTTTGGGGATGTCGGGCATGAACAACGGCTTGGGGCTCACTGGGTTTGGTCTTGGCCGCGAGCATTGAGCACATGGATTTTCTTAATTGTTTATTTTTTATTTTGGTTTGGCGTGTTGTTGATACCCAGGTCCGGCTCGAAATGGTGGCACGGACCTTTGGCTTAGCTTTGGGAAAAAGACAGGGTTCAGTAGTGTTAACGGCAGCACATAATGCCTGTTCTGTCACCTTTTTTCTCCAGGGAAGAAATGAAAAATGATTGCATTATTGGAGCTCTCTCGTTTCGCTTGAGAGATCAAGGGGAGGGGGGGGGGCATTAGTCGCTTGAGTCTGCTTCTGCTTTCGGCTGTAATACGATGGGTTGGAGTTTGGGATAATAATAATCGAGGAGCGAGGGCAGCGTTATCACGGACATGCCTAATGTAGCAAGTGAGAGTCCGAAGATAAGTCATGTTGGTGGTGGGTGGATGGTGCACGGCTCACAGGCTGATGTGCTCGCCCACCTCCAAGTTTTGCAACACATCTGCCATGCCTACCAGCGACAAACCCCGTGCTCGACTCTCACGTCGGTGGTCGCAGCTACATATACCGTCTGAACTGTCTCGTATACCTAGCCCTCACAGCTCGACCTGTACCTCCGTCGGGCCCCATTACCCAGACCGCCTAGAGTTTTTCCATGGCGGGTTGGTTGCCGTGAATAGTCGATCGAAACTTTTTGGGAAGCACTACTGTGCGTGCATTTGGGGGGAGGGGAGGGGGCGGGGCGGGGCGTTGCTTCGGCTTGTTCCTTGCGAAACGCATGGGAGAGGGAACTTGATTCATATTGCCAGCGCCAAGGCGTGTGTGATGTGCACTCACTGCTCGCGACGAGACGATCTTATAAGGGCCTGCCACGTTTTTCTTGTTCGTTCCTTCTTCTCTAAAAATTCCTCTCTCTGCCCCGTGCATGCTATAAGCTAGGTACCTAGGCAGTCCTTCTTTCTATTTTTGACTCCTCGGCCGCACGTGCACGCAAGACCATCATCCATCGGGCGTGTCCTGGGGCCATGAGTAGGTCTTACGTGAAGCGCACAGCATGATGGCTGGCTGAACGCAATCGTCGACGATTCCCCCATGTGTGAGAGGAAGACGGTAAGAGGCAGGGTTTGATTGGCGTTGGCTGTGATCGGCATGGATGCCCTCGTTCCTGAGACAGAGCATGGTGAAGCCGGCCAATCGCCGGCGCCTGTTTCCTCGGCTGCCGTTGCCTTGTGGACGTCGAGCCAACCAGTCAGTGGCTGCGAACCGGGATGGGCGCGCGACGTGAGGCCGCCACGCTGGGAATGGGCGGGGGGATGATGGGCGGCGCTGCACGAGCACACACAGCAGAGCGGAGCGAGGCGAAGAGGGAAGGTGCGCGATTGCAGGGGGGAGATGCCATGGGATGGATGAGGCTGCTGCTGCTGGCCAGCAACAGCCGCAGCCGCAGCGGGAGCAGGTCACGGTATGTGGTCGCGAGCGAGTGCTGTACAGTAGGTAGCTAATATGACCGGGGTGCGTGGCTCATGGTACCTACTAAGCGCCCAGCGCCCAGCTGCTCGCTCTAAGCGCCCACGCGCTGGGCTGCCGTGCGGCCCGTGCGGCCGTGTACTCGGTACCGTCCCCCACCCCTCCAAAGCCGGCCGACGCTGATTCGCCCGAGCCCGGGCGCTTCGAACATGCACCATCTCACACAAGCAAAACGGCGACGCGCCCGCCGCCCCCTTCCCACACGCCCCCCCATGTTTCGTGTCAATCCTCTCTGAATGGGCCTGCTAAAAATGGCCGTGCTGACCCCTCATTGGTCCAGCAACGGGCCCCGGCTCCCATTCCCAGCTCCGCTTTGCCCCC